TCGCGATAATGGAATTTGTAACCCGTTCCCCTCGTCGGCCCATTTTTAAATTCGACTTATTTATAATTTCTTTTATCTTTTCCTTCTTAACGTCGGTTTACGCTTTTCGGGGAGAGTTTCACTTTTAACGCCGCGAGAAAGCGATCGCGATCCCTCTCGGCTGGAATGCACCGAGGGCAAAGTTCAAAAGAGAAACCAATCAGGTCGAGGATTTTTGCGATCGGGGACCTCGACTGGGGCAGGACGACCGATAAATCCTCGACTGGGAACGAACGATGCCGATCGAGAATCGAGAAATCAAAAATTCATTCAAAATCCCTAAAAAATTATTGCTCCGCCAATAAATGTTGGATTCTCGGTCGATTTCTTTTTATCAAAACCCCCGTATCCGGGGAATACTCCAGATCGAGTGACAACGATTTCCCAACGGAGCCGACGTCGCCGCAGACCTCAAGCTCGTATTGAAAAATCGACGCGTCGCGGCCAATCGATTCCGGCCGATCGATCGGCTCGGCTTTTCAGCCTTCGATTTTCGCAATTCCTCGGAATATCCCCTCGAGGATGCCGACATACGCACGGCGCGCCTCTTTGTCCGCGGACCGGTTTCTGGAATAAATTAAGACGCCCCCGAGCCGTCCGAGAGGGTCCCGAAAATTCTTGCCAAAATTCCTACTTTTCGAGGTTATCGTTAATAATTTTTTCGGGTTCATGGGGTACATAAAGCCGGCTCGTAAATAAATATTTGGAGCGGCCGAGGCTGGCTCGTCGATCTCTGGAGCAGGTTCGCGCAACCGGTTCGTCGGTCTCGAGAAAAGTCAATGTCACAGAAATGAGTCGTCGCCGGTCGAATCTCCTTCGGGACGACTCTGGGGCGAGAGGGCACATCCGGGCTGCTCCTTTCCCGGGGTATCCCCTACGGATCGAGATCCGAGAGTCGGTCGGGTCTAGTAAAAGGAGGTGTGGCCACGCTCGAGAGCCGGTCGACCTCGTTTAGGACCGGTAGAGGCATAACCACTGCCCACCGAACGATCCGGAGTGACCGAGACGGCAACGTGCATGCCTCCTCGTCGGGGCTCTTGGAGATATACCGACGTCTCATTTTTTCGACCGGTCTTCACCTGGAGAGGAGACGGTTGAACGTCCCTTTTAGACTCCGATGTTGCGTCAACTTTCATTAGTCATTTTTCTTTTAAATACTTTCGCGTTACTTCGGGGTGGCGGGAACTTCCCATGCGTGCCTCCCGGTGGTTGGATTCGTACACGAGGATGGGTATTTCATTTTTCTCGGGGTATCATCCCCCGTAAAAAAGAAAAGAAAAATCGAACCCAACTTTGACGTTCAAAACTTGTGTCAAAGAAACGTCGAGATTAATTTTCAAGCGACGAGACGTCGGCTGCACGGTTTTTCGACGAGGGTCGTTCCTCCCGTTAGGTCACTGAAAAATTTATTTAATATTAATTCCTTCCTCGAAAACGGACGGGCCGCGCTCGCAGACCCGGTTGACCTCGTTTAGGACCGGTGGAGGCATAATCCCTGTCCATTGGCCATGTACGGTACGTGAGAATGCACCTGGGGCATACCCGGTGAGCTCCCCACTTTCCGACTTTGCTCGTCCTTTGTAAAATACGTCTTCGTTAACGCGAAGTAACAAAAACCCGTCGGTTTCTCTCATTTTGTATTATCGCTCGACCATCCTTGGGTCGGCGCACCATAGGGAATTCCATCGGAATTCTCTCGGGCGAGCCAAGGGCCCTCTCGTCCGGCTCTGCCCGAAAAAAAGAGAGGCCCGAATCGGCGTTGCGCAAGATGGCCAGCTTTTTGAAATGCGTGTCACGCGAAACAACCGCCACGCAGGAATGCGAAACGCGATTCTTCCCCCGCGTGCAAAGTGCACGATATCGCCGGCGCGTTTCCGCCTCCCCGCGGCTCTCGCCTCTGTGACCGGAACGAAAATAAGGATTCCTCCGAATTGCGTCTGGTGTTGATTTACTCTTCCTGGGTTTCGTTTAGTATTTTTACGAGATGTCACGTCTCCTTTAAAATTCTACGCTGGAAGAGAAAAAGAAATTAAAACGAACGCGAGGAAGGGAGCTTCCGTTCGCGCCCGAAGTCGTCGATCTCGACTCGACGTTCGCTCGCGAGCCGGAAGTGCCGTGGCTTGCATTTCGCCGCCGTGCTCGTCGTTTCCCGGAGACTCTCCGCTTGCCGTTTAACGGATTCCTCCCGAGGAATCCGCCCGATCGCTCGGCTGGTCTCCTCTTTGCGCGTTAAACGGGTAACGGCGCGGAGAGGTGAAAAACGGAGAAGCGGAAAAACGAAACGGGCAGGAGCGGCATACCGAGAGCAGCCTTGACCGATCTCGCGAGTGTTTATCAACGCGCGAATGATTTTGCGCGGAATTGGACCGACGCCGAGAACGCGGTTTATCGCCGTTCGTGTAAGGAGAATTAACGATTCGATTCGGATTTAATAACGACTTCGCGGCGGCGTCTTTCACGGGCCGGTCGCGTCGTTAAGCTGGTTTCTTCGATCGCTCGAGCCCTCCGTTACCGGTTGAACGACCCGACTCGCCGTTATACGACAGGTGAACGGCGTTAGCGAAACGTCAACCCGAGCTTCGGACTCTCGTCCTCTCCTCCAGGACGGGTCAACTCCCCGCCGTTATTCGATCGTTCGGGGTCGGAAGAATCAACGGACATTAACGGCGGATCTTCCCCGGTCCAGCAACGGACGTTCAAAGGAGACTCGTTGAGCGTGAAGACAATCGCGACCGAGGGTTTCGCAACGAGCCATTGTTTCTGGACGATTTTGCGCCACTTGGAGGAGATACGCCTAACTGGATTGGGGATCCGACAACGCGCCGTTAATCCCACTCCAGGTCGCGAGATAAATAAACGAGAAAACTCCCGGAGTGCGGAAAGTGCTTAACTGGGTCTCGGGGATTCTCCGTTTCGCCATCCGGCGAGCCGAGCCCCGACGTTAACAATGGCCAGGAAGTCGCGGCGGATTTCGTTCCAAGACTTTCCGTTCGCACAGTTTCTGCGAGAGTCAAGTTCAGGAACGATTCCGTCGCGATTTGCAGCTAACTGCGAGCTGTCGGCGACTTTACCCACGGATTTACGCGGCCGTGGGAACCGACCCGCGAGATGCGCGCGCATCCCGCGACAAGGTGAAACCGCCTCGGCAATGGGAATTATATTTCTCCCCTGGCTGTAATCAATTAATTTAACAAAACATCCAGGTCCCATCCTCGACCAGGAAAAAATTAATTAAAACGAGGGAGAGATAAAATGATTATGGTATTCTCGTAAAAATCATTCGAAGTATTATCACGGAGAATTTTCAAAAAACGTTCCTCACGTTTAATAGATGGAAGCGGAAGTTATAATGCAGTTTTACGATCACGTGCAATCATTCGCTGCGAAGGCTTTTAATTGGATCGTTCATGAGAGCAGGCCTTGAAACCCAGTCCGATGGCCAAGGGCGAACCAGAACCTGGATAATTTCTAAATAAAGCGAATTCTCTACGACAACGCGGTTATTTGGACGGAAAGAAGTCAAATATGTCTCAACAAAAGGTCCCTTTGTCGAGTGTAATTTTTTTTTTTCAATTTTTTAATGGAATACAGTCCCGTCATGCGCGCTCGTACGAGTCCAGTGTCAATCGTCCACTGTTCGTTCCGCGGTAAGAACGCGCGTCATCATCTCGGAATGCTGCAAGGCCTGCCCCCTCTCGGCGCATTTCTTTTTACGTGCATTACGCGCGTATTAACGACACGTCGGGTAACGCCGCGACGTTTTCGTGATTAATTCTCACCGTAGGCGCATTGGCCGCTGCATCGAATCTCCAGAGAGGGCAGAAACGAGCGTAAACGTAAAAGTACTCGCACGAGCACCTACGCGTTTCCGCGTGTGCGTATCTCTCCCTCGCGATATTCCATTCCCCTCTTTCACCGAGTACCCCAAGGTCAATATCTTGAATTCTCGGGAGGAAAGAAGCGAGACGCGTTTCTTGCCTCGGCGAGACCCGGGCGTGCCCGAGATCCTGGACCGCGAACTAGTCGAAGATGAATGGTCCTCGAAAGTGGGGAAAAATGCCCGCAAGCCTCATTGTTCATTTTCAAAGACCACGTCCATGGCGGGACTTTTTGAAAAAGTCGCAGGGATCGAAGAGAAATCGCATTAAAAAAACGCGAGGCGGGGATTCCGCGGCGCCATCGTGGCGCGTCCTCGCGGGACGCCACGGAGACATACGCGCTAAGAATTTTGACCGCTCTTCGCCGAAGGTTCGATGGCTCGATAGGAATGTCTAATTACTTACACGAAGGAGACAGGATTAGCCGATCGGCAATTTCATGATCGATTCTCTCGACTTAAGGGTCAAGTGCAGCGGACGAATCCCTGCAAAGTCATCCGCGACCGAAGGGGCGCGCAGCAAAGAGGAGGACCGGAAGTCGGACAATTACTCAGTCGAGCAACCGGCAGCAATTGTCGTGATTGCGGTGCACAGTGGTCACCGACGACCAAAGGGGACGTGCCCGAGCTCTATGCATCCCTTGAAGATACTCCGACGTCGGCATCGATGCCCTTTGAGAGATCCTTTTTATGCACGTCCGAGGCAAGAACTTTAACGGCGCCGTTAAATTTTATTCCAAATTTCGCCATTTCCGAAATTACAGACCTCCGAACCCCCCCATCTTCAAAGCCGCGTCGGTCGTCGTTCAAACCCCGAATAAAAAAAAAAAAAATTCGAGGAAAATAGCAATTTCGGAAAATTGCATTCCGCAATTATATAACGAATCGATAACGTTTTAACGCTGGCTCTGCGTCGAGAATGCAGATCCAGGCCGCACCGGAAGTGGGACCCCAAGTTCAAGGCCGTGATAATCGCTCATCGATACCGTTAGCGATTGCGAGGACGCGACCGACGCGACCGACGCTCGAGTATGCAGATCACGGGCGATCGACCGTTAAACGAGCTCTTGATTCTTTATTCCAGAATGACGTTGTAGCCGAGGGTCGCGGGCAACGCGAGGATAGGAAGAGACCCGGGACCAGGAAGCCAAGAATGTCGGCGCAATGCTCGCGCTTCGTCGAGAACGCCTGGAAAAGGGAGCTCTGCTCGAATTGCTTCAAGTCGAGGGAAGAACACGTGGACCACGTGGACTCTTCGAGGTCGACCTCGGGAAAGGTTCCGCCGACCTCGAAGACCGTCTGCAAAAAGCTGCAGGTACGGATCTTTCAATTTTATTTTTTGCGAGACGCTCCGAAGCGATAAACATTTTATCCTTCGACGCTGAAAAGCTTCACCGTTCAATGGAGCAAACTCGTTTCAAGGGTGCCACTCATTTTTATTTACCGATTTATTTATTTTTGCGAGAGGGTACTTCGCGAAATTTTCTGACACGGCCGTGAACGCATCCGGCTGGTCTCACGGGAACGGCTGGCTTCCCAGAGGAATCCGGAACGCGCTCGGCAAGGATTAACGACCGTGAACCTTGAAGATCCTCGATGAAACCGGGTTATCCGGGTGCCGAAGAGTCGCGAAAGAGCCGAAAGCGATTTCCGGGATTAACGAGCGGGAACGTTTCCCCGTTCTCGAGTCACAAATCGAGGAGATCGTTTTTGCATAAAAAGAGGCACCGAAAGACGCGGAACGGCTATATTACGGAGTGAGAAAAAATTCCCGTGGAACGTTCGGAACGAAAGAATTAGACTTCACTTGGATGAAACAATTGTTGACGCAATATACCAACAACGTTCCCGGGAACTTTTTCTCCACCTCATCCTCGAAGAAGAAGCTGTCCCGGTCTTGGTTCCATCAACAGGGTTCCCGTGGATCTTTCCACGGACGCGGTGACCCGCTTTTCCACGAGTTTCCCGTAATCTTGCGAGTTCCCTTTGTGTCGAGACCCTGAAGAGGGAAAAAACCGCGACGTGCCGCTGAAGAAATCTCTTCGTACGGAATCTTCGACAATGCGCTAATGGCCGGGGAAACAATGCACCTGGAGAACGACTCCGCTGACAGACAACGTTCCGTTCCCCTTAGCCTCGTGAAAAAAAAAATATATGGCGGCCAGGCGTTTCCAACGATATTTTTTATTCTCTCCGCAGAGCATCCTGAAACCGAAGACGTCGATCCGGGGGAAGAAGAGGGTCGCGTTCCCGGAATGCCTGACCCAGATCATCGGCTACGGGGGAGAAGACTTCTCCGACCCCGAAGACTTCGAGATGAACGAAGAGTCCAGCCTGGAGGATGAAATTCCGGACAGCGAGGAGGAAAGAGCCCTGGGAAACCTGACGAGAGCCAACACGAACTTCAACACGGTTACGGCGAACCTGACGGAGGTTTCCTCGGAGCCAAAGAGGTCCTTCGCGACCTTGATGCTGGGAAAAGTGCAAAAAGACTCAGAGGGGAAGAAGAAGACCCTCCTGGTGTCCGTGACCCCCTTCGGCGGGGACGACAGGGTCCCCATGGTCCCTCGACCTAGCGACAAAAGGACTCCGACTCCGCGGAAGGAAGAAAACTTCTCGAGAAGATCTTGCGAAAATGTCCTCGAAAAATGCGAGGTGACCTCAAAGACCACGAAAGGCCCCGAAGAGAAGCCTACGGAGGAAGGAAAGAAGAAGGACGCTTCTTCGGGGCTGGAAAAAATCGTGGACATGCCGCTGATAACGTCCAACAGCCTGATATCGGTGATGCAGAAAACCGACAACGGGTCACAGGATACCGATAAGAGACCTTGCGAGAAGAGGACCTCCATTGCGAGGAGTCCAGCCATTAAAAAAGCGGATTGCGAGAAGCCAAAGATATCTCTTCAGAACGCGTATGGGGGAAGGTGAGTCAAGGCGCCATTTTGGTGTCAAACTAGACCTTGACGTGATCTAGATCGTGTAAATTTGTTGTCTCTTAACAGGTGCGAATACTCGGGCAGGATGACGAGGCAGGACTCGCGGATGGAGAACGGAGTAGCCTTCGACTCTGGCATCCAGTTGACATTGACACCCTTGACGAAGCCCAACGTCATCGAGGACGACGAAGAGGTGTCCAGATCGGAGAGGTGCAAGGACGCGAACACTATCACCGTGAAAGTGGAGAACGAGAGCGAGAACGCCGGGCCCAAGATGGCGGACCGCAAGGTCGATGGCGAGGCCTTGAAGAGCTTCGGCCTCGAGGTCAGTCGGGAGTCTGCCGGAGAACCCGATGGAAAGGCCGACGAAGAGGATATTCTGGAACCTCCGGCCCTGCCGAGGAGCCCTCCACCGATCGAGACCAGGACTTGCAGGATCCCTCTTCAAGGTGAAGCTACCACCTTGGAGGCCAAAACCAAGCCAACCGTTCCTCAGAAGCCGTCCACGATGCTCTGCAAATCGACATCTCCGCCCAAGTCCTCGCCATCGTCCAATCCGAAGAAGACCTCGAGCAGCTACGTGCCCCCTCCACCCTCCATCCAAAACGCCGCTCTTCAGGGTACGCGAGGTCTTCAGCTTCCGGAAGGGCGCAGTTCTCCAGTCTGCAAGTCGGAAGAGATTCAGCCGGACGTTGCGAGGCCCAGTCAAAATTCGAGTCAGAGTCAGTCCTCGAAATCTCACCGACTCTGCGAGGAGTCGAAACTCGACGAAAGCAGCAAGGTCCAACTGGAGGCCTCCTCGAGTTCTACTTCGAGCTGTACTTCAAGTGCTTCTTCCTGTGGTCAGTCCGTGACAAGTGGCCACCGTTCGTCGAGTGGTAAGACCTGTTCGGCACCTGCAGGTCATAAGTCGAAGCCTCCACCTCTGTCTCTGAGCAAGGTGTCCAAGGACGAGAACGAAGAGGACGACGAAGAGCAGGCTACCATTTCGGCCGAGGTGACTGCCGAGCTGATTCGGTCCCCAAATAAGAGAAGGATGGCTCCGAAGCCTCCGGCGACGCCGACGGAGGAGCTTCCGGCTTCCATGTTCGCCAGGAATCCTGCTGCGAGTTCCAAGTCCGATTCCCCCGTGGTTCGGGAAAAGGAAAAACGGGAAAGGGCTTCGTCTTGCAGCCCGAAGTTCCGAAAAGCCGTCAGCGAGGCTCCCGATCCTTGCCCGGAGGCACCGGAATCGAATTCCAGGAGGAACATCTCTTTATCCCAGGACAGCCTCGCCAACAACGAGAAGATGGAGGAGAAGAAGAAGACGCGCTCCAGGTTTTCGCTGAAGAAGTTCCTGAGGATGGGGTCTAAGAAGGACGTGGACACGATCGGTGGGTCTGGCAGGATTGACGAGATCCCCTGCACTCCTCAGCCTAAACCTCGTCTGGAGATCATCCATCCTTTGGAGCTGGATGGCGCCGCGGTTGAGGTCCTTGGTCACGAAAGGATCGCCAAGACCGGAGAAGACGTCGTGGATTCGAAGAACGAATCTGGTCAGAATTCGCAGACACAGTCAGCTGGTCCACATCACGCCACGTGTGAGTCCTAATTTTATATCCCTTTAAGGAGTTGCGATGCTTCATTTCCAAGACGTCCTTTTTAATTTCGTCCTCTGATCGGTCACTAAGATCTCTTCTTTTAATCCTGAGCAAAATTTGTAAAAATAACGAACGGAACAATTTATCGTACGTTTGTACCTTTAGTTATCGTGGATTAAAAAAATTAGTGTCTCAGGGGAGATCTGTAAAAAATCGAAAAAAAAATGTATATTCAACAGCGAGACCCGGGAAACCACCACCACCTCCCAGGAACCAATCTCTGGATGACTGGGCAAGACTCGACCCTGCAAATAAGCCTGCCAGGCCTCCTCCTCCACGAAATGATGGAAAACATCCCCCAAAGGGCGACAAACCCCTCGCGAAGAGCTGGCAGCCCTCGGCCTCTACTTCCGACTCGATTTACGCGAATCTAGGTAAGTTCCGGCCCATACAGTGTAACTAATGACCGGCCAAGATCGCAATCGCGCAATCATGCAAGCAGCCATACTCACCCGAAAAAAAGCTTTGGCTTGCGACGAGGACTTACGCTGTCGAGTTACTAGCAGCGAGTCGGAAATCATGTTACTAATCTACGGAAAATCAGACGGCGAGGTGACAGGGAATTTAGATGGAAATGGTGTGCGATAAACGCCTAAATCCGAAACCACAATTTTTCAGGAAAATATGAAAAACGTCATTTTTCAGTAACTGCCATAGCTACCAGAAAGTGTGTTCAGTGAAAGTATAATCATGGAAGGGGAAATACGATTTTTTTGTTAGTCCTATTTTTCCGGAATTTGTAGTGCCGAGAAAATGTACGATAAGCCTCATTTTTCAGAAACTCCAATTTTTTAAATAAAGTGCGTTGAAGAAAATACGAGAAAAAGAATTTTTCGGTAACTTCCATTTTTTTTTACCAGACAATGTGTTCACGGGAAGGGAGACCGATTTTTTATCAATTCTCATTTTTGCCGGAATGTAACGCCGAGAAAATTGTACGTACGATATTTACGATATTCTTTAGAGTACTCGAAGAAGACTTTCTGGTTCCCGAGGGGACCAGATTTGACGCTGATGCAGTTAGACGCATTCCGAGGGCTATTTACCTCCTGTGATAAATACGTATATATGTACTACGACGCTCGTACGATTACATATAGGCCATACTTTAATTGTAAATCGAATTGTCAAGCATGTCGGGTTTCGCTGTCAACCTCCTCCGCGATCGACGAGTTTGAGAATGGCTGCACATAGATCGACCCATGATCGAACAAACGTGCGAAAATTAGTCGTCTTGAAAAATGCGGAGACGTTAAGCAGTGACTCGTTGTACATACGAAAGTAAAGCCTTGTAATGCAGATTCTCTAAGTGAATAAATGCAAAGACCTCTTCTCGGCTGGAATCAATCAGAGTACCCTCCCCCAATCTTGGCCCAAACGTTCGTTGCACCTCTGCAATTTTGGCCCGTGAATAATTACACTCTAATCGGTATTTAATTAAATATACTCTTATCGTTCGAAAACCTCGACATGGAAATCGGATACGCGCGGAAACAATTTTTTTATCGAATCAACAAAATTTTCGTTGGTTCAGTCTCGGGACATGGTTACATGGACCCCCAAATGTTCGGTTGTCGGGACAACATTTCTTGATTAATAACTTTTGATTATTTGCGTCAAACGTTTTTTCTTTTCTACGCGCGGTAACGAAAAAAAAAAAAAATGGAAGAAAAATGCAAGCCTCGTGCATCCGGTAGCGCTCCTCTAACCATCGCTGGGTGCAACTAACGCCGCATGAGTTGAATGCACAAGAGAGCATCCGATTAGGTTTGCGCAAGAAATCGGACGTCCTGCATTCTCATTTTAACTCGGTTCACCGTCCATCGACATCAGCATGTCGGATCCTCTCGGAAGTCCCGGGTTTCCGGGGTCGAAACGCCTCCGGATGAGATAGATCACCCTTAAAAATGAATCCGAGGCGTTTCCGCAGTCCTAGGCGCGTTAACCAGCCCATTGTCAGTCGTCGGTACGGTAGCTAGCCTGTGAATTGCCTTTGTCTTGTCTTGTGGTACTAACACTTGGCGCTTGATGATGGCGGACGGGCGTGCAGCTGCGGAGGATGTTGCAGGTGAGGTGCGCAGTGCCCTGGCACCATCGAAACCCCAAAGAACGGCCAGCATGAGGGACCAGACCGTCACCCAGCCACCCCTTAAGAAGCGCGACGTCAGGAACTCCACCCAGGAGTACGAGGCCATCGGCTCGGCCCCGCCGACCTCGGATTCCCCGGTAATTCGCCGATTCCGTTTCCTTGGCCTTCCTAAAACCATCGAGTCCGAATTAGCGGTGACATTAAAAAGATTAAAAAAATGACATTCGATATTTTAACGGGAACTATCTACGCAGACCTCGAGCGACAGCCACGTCTACGAGTGCCTGTCCAGTTCGCCCGAGTGCGACTCGAATCTCGAACTCCGCCATGAAGAGGGAAAGCAGCAGAGATGCAAACGAAAGTCCGATAGCAGTGCGATGGACTCGAGTGCGGACTTCAAGTACCATCATCAGCCCTTCGCCAGGTCGACTTCCCTGCCGTATTGCGGGAGCGAGACGGAAAGCGAGCTCTATGCCCCCTACAGCTTCTACACGGGAGACGAGGTGAGGTTTCGGATGACGTTTCATCCGAGGTCCATTCACGGACGAAACGGAAACATGAAATACACCCTTCTCCCAGGGAGCCGAAGAAGACCAGGACTGGAAGGGCAAGGACGAAGAGTCCAAGGTGAGCAGGCTCAGACAAAGAAGAGGCAGAAGTATCGTTCATCGCAGCTTAGAGGACAATTATGGGGCCGTGGTGGTAGCCAATCACGAGGCCCTGGCTCAGCTCCTGGAACAAGTGCGTCGCCAAATGTGTCCTTCAAAGTCATTTCCTTTGTTCGTATGTAATAATCACCCGATTGGATTTTTCTAACCGCGCAGCTGAACCAGACGTCCCCGATAACCACTGGGCTGCGGACCCTGAAAACGTCCAACCCCAGGTTCCGCGACTTTAAGCTCGACCCCGGCACTTCGGTCCCGATCGGCAGACGGATTTTCTATTCGGCGACCTGGAACGATCAGAACGTCACTCTGTGCATCGCCTTCGATCCCGTTTTGCACGTCTCTCGAAAGGAATTCTATCTCGTACCGATCGTGGAGTTCCCGGACTCCGTGCCGGACGACGTCCTGAAGAACGTGGGAACCCTCGTCGTCAGGAAGAACTTCGAGGGTGAGCATCCCTTTACCCGGAGAAAGTGTCTTCGGGTTCCCAGAGAGTCAATTAAAATAATTTTCCTTCCCATCTTCCAGCAACGATCTCGGTGCTGCCTCGTCTTCAGGTGAACACCATCCAGTCCTTCGCAGCCATGACGAAGGACTCCAAGGAAGAACCCTCCAGAGAATCGTCCTTCGTGCTCCTGCAGTTCGTCAACGCTCTGAAAAATCTGCAAGCGAGAGGGATCGAAGATGCACCCCGAGATCTGAGCAACGTCGTGCTCTGTCGAGAGGACAAGGACGCGTGCTATCGACTGTACCTTCTTCAAGGGTAAAAATATTTATGATCCTGATATAACCTTTTGAATAAATTAATTAATCTCTTACAATATTATTAGACTAAATGTGGACGTTGGCGAGGAGCGCGAAGAAGAAAGGGACTCGCTATGTCAATGTGCATTGGTTGCTCTGGAGGAACTCTTCCTGACCAGCAAGCTTCCCTTGATCCAAGAACTGCTGAAGAGGGAGAAAGCTGTGACGCTATCTCTGGTAATATCGATTAATTGTGTATCATTTTATGGATAAATCGTAGCATTTAGAAGGTCCTATTATTTTCTGTTTAAGGTGAAATCCGTGCTGGAGTTTTCGTTGTGGGGACCAGCGGATGCAACTTTCGGTGGTCCTCGAGAACGAGAAATTATGCTGCAGAGATGGCTCGATCTTGAACGCGCGACAGTTTTGCACGCCTTGGTCAGAACCAGAGCTCCGTTGACGGTCACCGATGAATATCATCTTCTCTTCCTGGTGAGAACCAGTGCGAAGATCATGTGCGAAGCTTCCCTGCTTCTGGACAAACAGAGGAACGACTCGATCCGGACGAATTGACGATAAAATATAAGAATTAATTTAAATCTGTATGATATCTCTTGTACCGCTCAACCCTCGACGAGGAGGTAGCGAGCCTAGGACCTAGGTTTTTATAAGCGACTTTTGCAACATTTGTACGTAACTAGGATTAATCCGCACCTTGTAAATACTCTTCGTTAATTTATAATCAAAACTGCCAGAATCCCCTGGACTGGAGGAATCAGCCGCGTCTCTTCCAAGAAGCCAAGTCAATTCGATAGATCTACCTTTATGAGACGTTTTTATATACAAATATAAATTATATCCAATGTACATCACTCATAAACCCTTGTTGTAATAAAGAATGTTCAAATCTAATTGTTTCCGTTGTGCCTTCTCCTGGAACTCGTCGTATTCTTCGGGTATTAGTTTTAAGAGAGCGACATTCAGCGAGCTGAAAATACAGGAATTATCCAGACAATTTCAATTACAAAGTTATAATTTAAATTAACATTTTTTTATTTAAAAGACTAACTTCCTTTGAGGGTAAATCGCCAAGGCTGAAGGGATCATGATCAAGAGGCTGCAAGCATTATTTATTAAAAACTCTGGTTTGAATTTTAATAACGAAAATATTACTTACATTGCCGAGCACAAGGCAATTTCTATGGGCAGACCGATCCAGGGTCGCGTCTGATAAAAACAGTATGGCTTGATACCGTTCATTATCACAGGGATGAAAATCATTCCTGGTGCCGCCATGACTATCCTCGTGATAACGCATTCGCCGATAGCCTTGACAGCTGCCAATTGGGAACACATCAAAGGAGACTCCGCATCATCTTTGGAAGAAAGCTCGATTCCTCTTGCTATTTCTCTTTGTCGCATTATCGGCAGGTTCGTCATGTTGCCCATGGCAACCGCAAAAAAGGGAGCCCATCTCTGATAAATGATAGGCTCACATGAGCGGTATACGTTAAGAAAATCGTTCAGAAAAATACGCGTAAAAAAGTTTATCGATTAATTTACCGCAAAGAGGGGTCCTCTGCCAGCCAATAATTTCCTAAATCCCAAAGCGGCTCCGCAACTGGCCACGGTTGCACAAATAAATGCTTGTTTCACGACATTTGCATCGCCTTCGCTGTCGCTTTTGGCATTCCTATTCGTGTAATTTACAACCGCGTTGAAGCTCTGGTTGAAGAACTGCCAGCCCAGAACAGCCTTCGCCGACCTAAATAACAGATAAAGAAGATGACCCACAAAATACAAGAGAAATTTCAAAAAAATTATGATATCCCGATGATTAATATTAAGATGTCGACTCACTTATAAAACGCCAGCATTCCTCCGGTGATGAAGACGCAGCCAGGAAACTGAAAAGACATCCTCCCGATGACGTTCGTCAGCTCACCATTATCGGGATGGAAAGAGCTATCTCGAAGTTTCTTCGCATAAATTATTTCTTCCCTGGTAATTCCTATTTTTTCCTGATCCAGGCCCGAGTCCACCATTCCTCTGGATGAAATAGGAAAAGGCATTTTAATTTATACTTCGTGACTGGTGCAGCATTCATTTTTTCTAGGGGAATTATGCCGCGTAAATTTTTTTTTTTATCGTTACTTATAGTCCTCGCATAGTTTCTTTGCAGCAAGTAATTTCTCAGTTGATACTAGAATCGTTCTGCAATCCGTGATAAACGCAAAATGCCTCCATCTTCCGAGATAAGTGTCCTGGGGCCAGAGAGGTTGATCGACGTTGATCGTTTCTTCTTTTTGGGGATCGCCTCCGGGTTTTTCGACGTTCTCTACCTGGTCAGGTGGCGTTTTGATAACGTCGTCGGAAAGTCTTCTGTCGTGCGATATCCATTGCGATATGAAGCGGAAACTGTCCATACTCTTCTGATACTCCGAAAAGTCTTGCGAATATTTATCCGACCTCTTTTACCGTGTCAATCTTTCAGAACTTCGGTGGGTTAAAATTTCAAGGGGGGGTCCATTAGAGGGGACCAATGTGTACCAAGCTTCCGAAGGACCTCTGACCAAGGCGGGTTATGACCGTCCCACCGGGCCTTGCTGGTCCCCTCTACTTGGATCAGGTATGCAAATTTTTAATTCTGCGTTACACTTGTATTCCTTTAGAATCGGGAACTGTCAGAATATCACATAAACAGGACATGATAATTATCGGGACGAGATCGCTTGGTTATAAAAAGTCACGTCGGTCAAAGTCAACGTCGAGTGACGCGAGTGACGCTTCGACGAGTAAGAGGAGGACCCGCGAACAAAGTAGGTTCCTTTTGTCGATTATCTTTTTATTCAACTGCGGAATATATTCAGGAGACAAATAACTAAACGCAGAGGTAGTTATTTCCGCAGTGTTCGCTTTATTATACACCTGAAGTCGCTACACAGTTCAGTCTGGAAACACAGATTACCATTCCTCATGTTCGTTCGAAAAGCGTGGAACTCGCGGCCCTCCCTAAACGGCGATTCGAGTAGGAGCGAAAAATGCGTAGAATATGTAGAGAATTCCCGATATCGAGAACCTTCGTCTTCGAGGAGGTCGAGAAATCGCGACGGAAGAGCGAAGGTCCCCTCCGGAAAGTTAGCTAGCTCGAATTCGTGGAGGGCGAGTTTACTTATTATTTCGCCTAGTTCGAATAGATCGTCTCTCGTGACTATCTAAAAAAAAAGGGGAAGAGCGCAAAGTGGCGTGAAAAGGTTCCATCTCGGGAGAACATGTTTCCGTGGGTATTTTCGCGCCACCTTGCTCGTCGTCGATCGGTCTAAAACGCGATTTAAAAGCCACCGAGAAACGGGACTCGAGAATCCCTCGCGACTCGACGCGATGTGACTCAAATAATAAACGGAATTAAAAATTCATATAAAATCAGAGCTAACGGACTCCTCAACAAAGTTGATACTCGACAGACAGTACCTACGAGGTAGTAGCGATCCTTTAATAATATTAATCGGCCGATATCTCGCTATCAGTTCTTTCGCCCTCCGCGTCTCTTCATAGAAGATGTACACTGAGGGCAGTACCACTTGCCTTTCGGCGGGGCAGTTATGCCTACGCATGGGTAATGAAACCACTCGAAAGGGCACTAAAAGAAATGTATATTATGACAATGAGTTCTCTAAAAGTACAGCGATGCTCTATAAAGCCAGTCTCTGCAAGTACTCGGCACGGGTTAATACGTATTGTCAGGAAAGGAGTTGTACTTACGTCGGAGTTATCGCAAGCAACCATGTCCCCGTAGGACACTTGATTGCAAATGCAATACCTTGGTTCGTTTGGATCGTACGTCCAGTCTGGATTGTCCGAATCCGCGACCGTTGCAGCTGCGGCAACAACCGGTGGAGACACCGGCTGCTGCACTGCGGTTGCGATGACACTCGAACTCGGCACGGTGGCCGTAACTTTTCTAAAAATTCGTTCAGTTTTTCTTTAGTTGAGTTACGTCTCTCGAAGGATTCGATTCGGGTTGACTATCTTACTTTTTATGTTTCTTCGTGGTCTCTTGTATCGCTGCAATGGCAGTTTGCGCAGCACCTGCAAGTTCTCTGCTGAACTCTGCAGCGTGAACTCCACCAGTGTTGATCGCTTCGTAACTGGCTTTGAGGCTCGCGGTGCGCCTTCCTTGTTGCATCTGCTGTGTAGCTGCAATAGCCTGCGAAGCAGCAGCAGCAATGGCGTTGCCACCTGCTCCGATATGACTCAGATTGTAGCTGCTCACCGAGCCAACCGAGTTAGCGATCGCCGTAGGAGTAGGTGGCAGAGTGGCCGTAGTGATAATGGGACCCGAATTGGCCGATGCAGGTCGAGACTCGGGAAGACTCTGAGGAATTTTCTCTATTGCTAATCGTTTCTCTATTGAGGCCGATGACGTATTAGAGTCTCTCCTCTTCTCTGCTCGGGCTAAATCAAAGCATATTAATTGTTCATTTAATTTGAGTTAGGCAAAATACTTGTAATTCAAGGAACCAATGAAATTAATAAACTTACAGTGGCTGTGATTATCACGAGACCTACTACTCGTAAAACTATAGCGGTTTTCCTTCTGACTACTATTCGTCGACGGTTGATCTAACTCTAATGATCGCTTTTCCAAAATCTCTGTAATTCCCTTGTTATCCGCTTCGAGCTCCATCTTGAATTTATATAACTCTTGGTCTAATCTTCTCAAGTATCTGTCTACCAAATCGTACATTTGATTCGCCAGATGTACTTTCTCGTCCGCATCTTCTAAAGTCTTATAGTATTCTTTTCGTATTGTTTCATACTCTGCCTCTTTCTCGCTCGGCTTCATTTTCTTTGCGTTAGAAAAAAATGTCTTGACCTTCTTTTCCAGACTATCCATCGAGTCTGAAATAATTATTAATACGTCACCTTTAAATTTCTAATTCGCATTGATATAAATATAATGATTGCACAAATCGGTATTATTAATTTAATGAGCAATATACATACTTTGAACACCCAAGTCCATTTCTCTCATTTCTGTGAATCGGTCTCTCAACTCTTGTGGGAGGTGTTCGATCACTGAAACGGTAAAACCATGTTAGATAACCTTAAAATGCAGGAAATTAAATATCAGAAAACCCTAATCAACCATACTCAGGTAGACCATAATTTCGATCCATTCCTAACTAGAGCGTTCACATATGATTATTTGTTTCGAAAAATACAATATTTGGAAGAATTGTTCACTCATCGACAACGCGTGTACTACCCGTACGAAAAACACTGCCGTAACCTAAAAATTCCAACAGCCTTTGTAAAGTATTTAACTGGACAACCGATCATCCAATGTTGAACTGTCGACGTATTAACATCAAAGCAACACATTCTGTGTAATTTCACGATACTATTAAATACATAAAAGCCAGGAAAATGAAAATCTTTGGTCTGCCAAGGGGTTGCACGAATTCTGAAAGATTAGTAACTCTCCCAAAAAGCTGGGTGAGCATTGCTCGCTCCGTTTTTACGTACTCTCGACGTAATCTTCCAGGTAAAGCATCCTTTCTTGGCGTATTCTCGTTCCGGTGCAGTCAGTGTACAATTATTTACAATTTACTAGTGCGAGGGTGTGAGCCGTTGTGCCGGATCTTGCGAAAATTCCAGCACTCGATCAGAAGCGCGTTTGCGACGATTGGCTCTCTCGTTACACCCCCATTTTCTCGGCGAGCTCTCGGAAAATGATATCGCGCCGACTAAGCTGTTCCATTTGGCCTAGACAAATATCGCTTCGTCATATTTTAATCGGCTGGAAATCCATTTCCTGGTTATTGGCATGAATCATCCGTACAATATTTCCGGAGACGTGTCCCGTGAACATCGTACACCATCTTCTCCGCCATTTTGGCTGTCATGTTGGAAGCCATGTTGGCGTTCCGCTCAGTGACGTGACTTTAATTTCGAACCCTGTGATTTTCTTCAAATTTATACCAAATTTTTCCTAACCTGTGTCAAGTGGTAGAGTACGCAAGGGCTTTTCCTCCTGTTTCGAAGTGAGACTTATTTAATTACGTATAATTTTTTCATTTTTGTTGCTAATATTTGTCACATACGTAGTCGAAAATTTTAATACGATCTTTAACTAAAATGGAAGAACGTGTAATAATTCTATTGCCCTGTTTTCTTTTCGGCAGAATGATTCGTCGTAGTCCAACAAGGATTGAACTGAGGCTCGACGATCTGCAAGAGTATGAGACTATGAGGAAGGAGCATGAGTTAAAAAAGGAATCCGACAAGCAGGGAACTTTCATTCCAACTCAATGGACTGGACTGCTGCAGAGTGAAATTCATGAGCGAATAGGTTATGTTCCGCAGCAATCGCAGAACACCCACTCCAGACCCAACATTTAATTGAAGTGAATATTTTTCTTCTATACGATAGGAATTTTTTTTAAAAGAAATGAAGCAGATTAATCCCCTAAATTAAGTAGTTTATAATGTTTATTTATATGTCACTAAAATATACATGGCAGTATTTTCATAAGTTATGCTTAAATGTGCGAGGTAGTTAAAATGTAAACTCTTAGTAAACTCGATTAAAATTACAACGAATGCTTGCCACCTGATAACAATGTGACAACAAAGTATGCCACTTATTAGCTTTAACTTGTATGTATGTATATCAAAGAAATATTGCTAGAAATTATTGGGCATTTGTTCAAAAAATTATTGCTAAGTTTACTCACAAGAGAAAAAAGCGAGATTGCTTATAAGTAAGAATCTCAATATTGTCAATGTTATTTTTATCTGCAGTGAACTGCAGGATGCAATTGCAATCGATATACTTTGCATTAGTTTGTATATAATTTGGCGGTGGCTGTTCTTGGGAGAAAATGGCATCGCATTTCTAGTGATCACAGATCATACATTTCTATCTAATGACACCTTTGAAAAATCTATCGACAAGTTTTTTCTAATTTCCAAAGTTTCTTTGCCAATTCCGATTAGTGCTATTCCTGGAATATTATTTTTGCCTACAGTTTTGCTTAGATTCACCCTCTGATATCTTGAGATCCATTTTTTTAAAACTACAAACTTTGATTTCATTACAAGCCCTTGTTGAAGTAAAGATACGTGGGTATCTGCCTGCCTTCACAATTTTTCTTTAAAAGCTCATAATTTTCTGGTTCCCAGCGTTCCAATGTGCTCACCGAGATTGTACTGAAATACACGAACAATTAATTTAGCGGGGTCTAGACCACTCGATTAAATTAAACAATGGCATCATCTATGTACACCGTTGACTACGCTTACCAGTTTTGTGGAAACAGCGCACATGCAGTCGGCACCATAAATACCAAGCTGAAAGAATTGCTCAGGTTAGGTTAAAATATTGCACCAAATTATTAGACATGTAATACTTTACACTTACAAGCATCCAACCATCATTACTTGTATAGGTCCATGCAAAGGCTTAATCTTCTGCATCCACGCCAATTTTTCCAATCTCTCCATAATGGGTGGCAATATCACTGAAACAAAAAAAATCATTTGAAACAAACGTGAGTAAATTGAATTCACTCATTCTCTCTATTTTAATTCATACGTACACATGCCGGGAGCACACATAACGATCCTAGATAGGACGACTTGGCTAATGCCCTTAACAGCTGCGATCTAAAATAATTTCAGAGATTAAAAATAAATTCAAAGAAAAATTGAAATCGATCGAGGCTCGATTTTTGAGTCACCTTCGATTTAGTCAGCTTCTTGCCGTTTTCGTCCTGCACCTCGATTCCGTTAGTGATTTCATTTTGTCTCATCAAAGGTATGTTGGCGCAATTAGCCGCTGCAACCGCCGCAAACGGGACGTATCTCTAATCGCAAACGTAGAGTCAACGTTAGAACATCGATTCGTCAACGGGAAGAGCGATTACCTAAAACCCCGGTTATTTCTTCGAAACACTCACGGCCATTAGCGGGTTAGCCCTCTTCTGCCAAAAGGACTTGCAACCGATTGCAGTCAACATTGCGGCTGCAGTCGCACTTGCATACGCCGCCCCGAGCTGGGCAGTCGTCACGGGACTGTTTGCATTTCTATTGGTATAATTTACCAAAGCGTTAAACGACTGGTTCATCCATTGCCAGAAAACAACGGCGGTGGTGGTCCTGAAAAATTCAGAATACGAGTAGGGACACGAATTTTGTAGTCCCCAAAAATTAATTGAATAGATCACAAGTCTTCCATGCAGCTGCATCGGCAATCAACCTGTAGAACTGCAACATGGCTCCCGTGATGGCCATCCCTCCTGGCACCTGGAAGGACATCCTGCCGAAGACATTCTGCAGCTCTCCGGTGTCAGGATGGAACGCGGACTCGTATAGCTTTTTTGCATAAATAATCTGCTCCCTGGTGGTTCCAGCTGGCTCCTTACCAAGTCTGCGGGTAAAATAAACGTGGCCATTATTACAAAATTCAACGTCGCCATCAGCCGGGGAAAAATCCGGGAGTGGAAAAAAAAAAAGGTTCCGATCTCTAGAAGAGGAACTCTTCGGGGGTCACGAGGCGTTGAGATCGCAAGGGGCGAATGAATGGACCGTTTTCATCGGCACCGACCTCGAGAGCTTGCGAAATGCGTATTACGTGCAGCGCGTTATCGCGATAGCGCCGCGACAAGCCTTGCAAAACAATGGCGGGTTTTAAACAAAGCCAGGTCGGAGGTGTCATGTCAGTTGGAATCGACTCTCCCTTCGACCCTTTCCCTTCGCTAGAAGGTGAGGCGTTTCAACTTTCAGCTTTGCCTTCTGCAACGTCGACCCCCTCGGCTTTCATTACCGCTCTGCGTACTCTTTAACCGAGAAGTAAGCTCGTTACCTCTCTTATCTGATTAGAACTTCGAGCTCGGGTCACCGGGTCACGCATGCATCGAACTAATTCCACCGAGCATTTTTTCCGACAAAGTGCCGTATCAAAGTGTAAGGCTTGTCGATCCTATCGGTGCTCGGACTTCCTGATAGATTGAAAAGAAAATGGAAGTGAGGACAACGTCAGCTGAATTTTCAGCTATTTTCCGCGAGAAAGCTTCTCAAAAATATTCAAAGACCGCCTCGGTGCATCTAGCTCTACCGAAACTATTCCAACGAGCTCCCCCGCCCTTCTGCGGCCTCCTTTTTTAGAGCGTGCGCAACGTGCACCCTCGATAGCGCATATCGAGGGTGCACTTTCGCAATCTGGAAATTATTATGTACAGCGTCGTTTTTACTGGATTGCGGAGCGATCTTTACGTATCATTTGTTAGGAGAAAATTCCACCTCGCGTTGCCTCGGTCGCGTGGCTCCTTATCGGCGCTCCGATAAGGGTCGTCCCCGTCTCACCTGTACTGTTCGCACAGGGTTTTTGCGTCCAGGAGCTGCTTTTCCGAGGCGACGCAGGTCCTGAAGTCGGTAACCCAAGCGAAATGTTGCCACCTTCCGGCGAAGGTGCTCAGGTCCCAGAGGGGTTTGTCCAGGTCGATTCTGTCGGACGACATGCTGACCGAATTCCGGACGAAATCGGCCCTGGCGGCCTCGATTGCCCTGAAAGAGGGAAACTTCAAGCCTCGGTCCTCCTTCGCCCCGTAATCCCGTTTAAAGCCTCGCCACGTGTCGATAAGAATCCCGCGAGTCAGCACAATTAAAACCATTCGTCGAGGGCAAATATTGACGCCGCTCGCAATTTAGGTCTCGGCGAAGGACCGCCTCGGAGATTTAGGCCACTATCACGTGGAATGCGAGAATTTAGTACTACAAAATCTCTTTCCTCAAAATCTTGGGCAAAGCGGCTCGAAATAAATGCCTCAGTCCTCGGACTTGCGGTGATCGAACGCGGTGCCCGTGACCTGGTTCCTATCGAGGTCCAAATCGCTCGCAACTAGCGACTCGCCAAAATGCGATTTCTAGGGACAAGTTCGACCGAAGATCGCGACTCCTTGACCTGGGTCAAGGTTACGGTTTTGAGACGTTCTCGCAATAAGCGAGGAAAAATTCTCTTTTCGAAAATTGCGCGAAACTCTACCGAGGGTCACGCTGCCAGGGCTTGCCACTGCCCAAGATTTTGAATGAAAAGTGAGACGGAAACATCTCGCGCCGACTTCGATAGGATTTTCTGACCTAGGTCAGGGCTTCGCCTGGGGAGGAGCTCCCCGGCGAGCCCTCGGGGGCTCCGGGAATCGCGTCGCGACGCCGCGTTACGCAATCCACTCGCCTTATGTAAAAGCCGGCCGCGTCAAAGGAGAGAATATCGTGTCGAGACTGCTTACCGTGAACCGAAGGAGCTCTCTACTCCGAGTCCGGACAGCGGCTACGAGCCGATCGGCGTCGCGCGCAGACGATGTCGGCGTCCCGGCGCCCCTGCGGTCCGGGGCGCGAAAAGGAACTCGGCACGTCCCTGGCCAGCCTCGAACCAAGGACTCGGCCCCGCTGAGAGGCCCCGGGCGGATAGAAATTTTCCGGACATCCAAATTTTTCGATTCATAAAAATTGAGAGTGAAAAAGGTAGAAGAAAACTTAACGCGATGCTTTATCGGTAAATTTGTATTTATTTCCGTAACGCGTAAACGGTTTCCTGACAACTTATACATGTCATGGAAACTTTCGCCTTCGTCCGTAGACGCGAAGGACGGGCACGGGGCGCGTCGTTTTCTCTCGGATTACCGTTAGCTGCCGTGTCAGCTGTCGAGATCCGAAATAAGGGGCTCGGGGATAGCGCGGGAGGATAATTGGGTTCCGACCGACATACGTGGGCGTACGGAGGAGTAATTAGATGTTTGGGGCCAACGGGGATCCGTAATCGCATCCTCGCCGACCGGGGTCTCGAGATTCGACCGGATTCGGCGGATTTAGACGGTTCCCTTTCGCGGGACGACGTCGCGTGACTTCCCAGGAGCGAACCAGTTTCCCCCGAGGGTTCCGTCTCGCAGGGGGAGGATCTGGTTTGGATCCCTGGTCCCTCGTCGCGTCGTCTCCGTCTCCGTCCCCCTTCGGGCCGGGCGGGTTGCGGGACGAGGACGGAAAGAGCGGATCTCCCGAGGAGCGAGAGAGACGGACACCCTTCCTCTGACTTTCATTTCCCCGAATGCGCGTTTCCGTTTGAGTTTTGATCCAGCCTCCGTTAAATTTCCCGAGTTTCTTTCGAGCGCTCGAACGAAATTTCCCCGAGGACGCGGGTTCCATTTTATCGGTCCGGTCGTTCCGTCCTCGAGGGCTCCGCGACAGCGCGAGTGGCGCCGTCGGGGAGCGCGTCGCGCGTGCGCGCGAGGCCGAGCGCTTGCGCGGCGCGCCGCCGGGGGCAGTCGCGCGGCGCGCTCGGAGGGGACCGCTTCTCCGCGTCCTCGCTACGGCCCTGACGGGCGCCCGCGCCCCGCCAGCCGGCGAGTCCGCGCTCCTCTCGCACGTCACATCCCTCGAACACACAGAGAGACCCGCCGAGAGAGAGAGGCCAGGAATAATTCTAACGAACCAATATGGCGGACGCGGAGGCCCCGTCCGCGCTGGACCTCGTCCGGGGCGAGAAGATCCTCGTCACCGTCGACTCGGCCCTGCCGGACATCATCGTCGTCTCCTTCGAGCACGGAGCCAAGTCCTTCCAAGGGGCGCTGCTCGATGCTACCAAAAGGTGAGCCAGAAACGCGACGCGGCCGCGGCGCTCGCCCGTCACGGGGAGCGCGCCGAGCGGCTCGGCCCGTCGCCCGGACCGTTGCCGGGATTTTCCCGCGAACCCCGCTCGCTACCGACCTCGATCCGGGCTCAAAGGAAAGCCCTGAATTTTCCGTAGTCGTCGCGCCCCCTTTCGGGCCCCTGGCCCGAGGCTTCCCCGAGTGGGTCGCCCGGACGGCCGACCGCTCCCGGGGGCGCGACGCCTTTTCGCCCCTTCCGTCCGCACCGACCCAAACCGCCCTGCGAACCTTCTCAAACATTTTTCCCAAAATTGCTACCCGCTACTGGCTCTCTCTTCCGACTCGTAACCCCCGTTCCGGAAGGGCCAGCGTCGCGACGGCCGGGATTCTCGGGGTTTGTCGAGTTTCTTCGTTCTGAACTCGCTGGGCGATTCCTAGGGATTTTGGCCGGGTAAAATGATTTCCAATGATGGGATAATTGGGGCCGCCCCGAGATGGCGAGCGCGTTCTTGGGGAGGCTGTACTTGGGTTTGGGAACGACGCGAGGGGGCTGACGGGGTTGGGTCGTTGCTTCGTTTTGGGATTGGAGATTCTTTTGTCCTTGTACTTGGGGCTCGATTTCCTGCGTAGATCCTGCCTCACGTGCGAGCGCGAAAACTCGCGAAAATATGAGTCCTCTCGCTAAAGCTCTCTGTCCTTCGTCGCCCTCAGCGGCAGAGTCCGACTTGGAAACAAAGTGAGCCATCGCACAACAATGCGCGCCCATTTTGCGACCCCCGCGAATGTATTTCGCACGAAATTTCCCTACTTTCCTCCGATCGAGTCGACGAGAGGACGAAGACGCGACGGAAAGAGCGGGTTTAAAGAGACAGGAAGGAAAACCGAGGAGCACGCGTCGCGCTTAATATGGCGAGGCTCGTGGGTGAATTTCAATCGAATTTTTAATGTATGCGCTTGCAGCGGGCTGACCCACCGGACGGTGTCATCCAATCGACGTTACGAGTAACTCCGACCGGTTGGATTAAAAATCGCCGGTAAATCGCCCATCGAAATCGACCCGATAACGACTCCTCGCGTGGTCGAAAAAAGTGTTAATTCGACCGCGATTGCCCTCGCTTGATTTCCGCCGAATTCGACCGGTCGAACTTACATCATTTTTCCGGTGATTGTCGCGAGTCACGTGCGCTCCGATAACGCGCTGACATTTCGCGCACACCCTCTGAAGGTGTTTTTGTAGACAACCGCGTTATGGAACTATGGAATTTATCCCGAATGATTAGGGAAATGATTATTAGAATTTTTTCGACGTACACGTTTCGTCGAAATGTTCACGTGCAACGAGGACGGGGATAAATGCTCTGATAAATCATTGAGATAGTAACGGGGGCTTGGTTCATATCGAACCGCTTCGTATCGCTGGAAATATTTTCTCTCTCCTTTTCTGTGATAAATAATTCGTGAAAAGAAAAAAGAATGCCGGTGCGAGGGCCTCGAATGATCAAATTGTTCGATGCAGCGGTGTTCCGCGTTCGGCCAGAGGCCTTGTTCGGATTCCTGAAACACCAGAACCATGACTCACGTTTCGTGACGTGTCGTGATAACGGTCTCACTACTTTGCACGTTCTGGGCCGTTGTTCGTGCGTTCCTCCCCGACGTATGGCACGAATGGAGATCCAGGATCATCCTAAAATCATCGGTTCGCTCCATAAGATACCCATAAGATGCCTTATCTCTTAACGTGCCCATGGGGTAATTTGAAAATTCCGCCAGGTCGACGGAGCGGGTCGGCGCGTCCACCTGGCGTGCCTCGACGTCTCACGAAGGGCCGCGTCAAAGATTCGTGAAATATTTAAAAGCTGCCTTGCGACTCGGTTTGTAGAATATGCACTTTTGCTCGGTTCTTGGGGAAAGTTGTAAAATGTACGGTGCGAGTTGGGCGACCTCGCCGGCCAATGAAAGGGCTCGGTTAATGTCAAGGCGCGCGAGGTCCGCGTTCTATTGTGACAAGTCTTGCAAAATGACGCCCACGAGCAGATGACAGTGAGTCACGCCGAAAATATCGCCGCATCTTTAACAAGCCTTATAACTCAACGTATTAAACCGTCCCGGCGGACACACACGGTGGGTGTTTCACTGGCGAGCGCAAACGCGAACGCATGTGCGGGCGAGGGCACGCACTCCTAAAATCATCCCACGGCGGAAACGCGGCGCCATCTGTTTCTGGTCCTGCCTCCTTATCACGATGAAAAAGTCCCCGAAGTGTGTGCCTTCGATCCCCCGAAGAGCGCGAAGAGCTGCTCCGCAATTAAAAGGAACCAGAGCCTCCCCTGCCTCGCGTACGTTGTTAATAAAAATCTCTCATAAACTCGTAGAAGTTCCTCCCCGCGTAGATGTATGTAATATACGCGGGGGCGGGAGGCAAACATTTTAACGCGATTACTCAATTAATTAATGTACGGTATTTGCATCCCGACGTATACCGCCCCATATTCCTGATTTTAGCCGTAATTTTTTTTTCCTTAACGTCGATTCAATTTACCGAGATTTTCCCGAGCGCAGCCCGGGGGGGGAATTTTTAACCCGATTATTCCCGGGATAATAAAAATTAGCGGGAGGTTTCGAGAGCGTTCGCGAGGCTGCGTTCCGGAGATGATGACTCGCGATTAGAAATTTAATTACGAGATGTGGATGACGCCGCGAGGTTTCCCAGGAGTCCCGGAAAACGGAGCGAGAGTTTCCCATCTCTCTTCCTTCGGGATAATAATTCGATTTCTCCTCCTCTTTGTTTAAAACACGATCGAGAGTGTATCCCCGCGTCGTGCCTTTTCTTATCCACTGACGTAATGCGGGGGCACGGTCTCTCCCTCTGTCTCTCTCTCTTTCTCTCTGTACCTCCGAGTCGTCCATCTTGGCAGTGGTTGTCAATGACCGTTCTCCCGAGCCATCCATTCCTGTCCGGAGGGGATCGATTCGTCATAAAGTCATTTCGCTCGTCCAAACCCGAGAAGAAACCTCTCCCGAGAGAGCGAGTCCTTGGACTCGGCCGACCGCCATCTTGTTTTCCGCCATCTTGTCTTCCTAGATATTCTCTTGTATTCCCTTTCCACGGGACCTCCGACGAAGGTATTTTGCAAGACAATAACGCTCGATCGCCCCTTTATGTCTCAACTCTGCTCAGTATCCATATCACGAACATTTCCGTAGTAGTCCTCGATAAGGAATCGCTTAACGTTTTATGTAATCGTAAAGGACGGTTAATTTTACCTAAACGTGCCAGGAGAAAAAAATTAAAGTAAACCGGGAAGAACGACGCCGCGTCCTCCGAGGTTGCGGCCGTGGAGAGTCGCTTTCCATTCAGACGGAACAATTCCCCTTTTCACGGGACAAGAAAGACAAGATCCTCTCCTTTCCTCGGCCTCCTCGACGTGGCCGTCGAGCGCGATCGATAGGGTGCCCGGGGTATTCTTATATTCTTTCCCCGACCGATGACACGCCGCCATTTTGTATCGCGGCCCTCGTCGCCATATTTCCTCGTTTCGTTATTCCGCCGCCTCGGTCTGGCGATTTCTTCTTTCCCCGGGATTTCCTTCCGAGCGATCCCGTACCCGTAATCCCCAGGCCAGGATCCCGGTCTTCGGCAAGTTCTTCCGCGTTTCCGGAGTCCTGGGACCATCCCGCAAACGCTAAACCTCTTCCCGTAAACGCGGAGCCTCCGGGATGATCGCCGTCTCTCGGATTTCGAGGTCCCTTTGTGCCTCCGAGAGCGGAGACGATGCGCCTCGTAAATCGCAACGTCTGGATGGGCGTCGGCCCATCGGCGTATATATCAGGCTTCATGCGGGTTACCATTTCGTTGGTTGATCGATGGTGCCCCTAATGAATCCCCGAGCCCGGCCTGGCTGTCGTCCCGAACACGCCCCGGCTCTCCGGCGCCGTAACGCGATCAAAGGACTACCCTGGGAAAGACCCTCGTTAGGTCCCTGGAAATAACGAGAGACCAAGGACGGAAACCAGGGTCGTCCTCGGGATCGTCGAGATATCGAATGCCCTAAAACCTTGCTATACCTTATAATTTACGCGAACAAGGAAACGTAACTAAAATTGATAGAAAAGTGTAAGCTGTTCGTCGAGGCGCGATCCAGGACCTCGCGGCCCAGGGGGGTCCTGGTTTCCGGATTTTCGGGCGGAACGGAAAATATGATGGGCATACGGCCTAGTGGCTCGTCGCTCATTGTATACGGCTCCTCTCGAATCAATACTCGGAGGGCGGGTGTGTGGTCTCTGCATGTCGTGGTGGCTGCTGGCACAAACGTACGCGTTTGACGTCTAATAACGGAGATCAGCTCGCCTGGGTTCTGACACTTCCCCGCCACCTACGACAGGCCCTGCAGACCCACCCCGAAGAGCGCCGTTTTCCATTTCAATTTATTTTCCGACCCGCGGAAAATCTGGCCATTTTTAAAAGTCAGCTGGCAGGTCCCTGGTAATCGCTCGCCGGATGATCGATTACTTATCGCCCGGTGATAACGATATTCCAACGTGTTCGTTGCTCTCGACTGGACTTTTATTCGGGAGAAAAATTTCATCTTTCTGGACTCGACGCGACGTTATTTAGCGAACGGTTTCCTCCAGGAACCGTCTTCACGGTGGATGAACCTAGCAATGCCCGGGTTCGCGATGACGTGGAACGGTCAACTAAGAACGTCGATACCTGCGAGTTCGAAATAGCACGACTATAGCCGGGCTACGGATCGATACGTAAATGCTTTGGAAATTAACAATGAAGAGAGCGAATTCACGATTATCGGACGTCATGAGAGCTATTCTACCGCGAGGTCGTCCACTCGTCGGTTCCACGGGAATTCGCGATAGGAAACGTTTCCATGCCGCTCAGGATAGCAACTTTCCTCGACGCGAGCTCTTCTCGTTTGTCTTCTGGTCGAAAGTCCAAAAATCCCAGACGCGCGTTGTTTGCCCGTCTCCCAGGTCGCTTCCGACCTGACCATTAGCTTACGTAAACCGAAAAGTTGCGCAACGAGATACTATAAAAATGAGTCCAAGGTTCTCGCAAAGCTAGCTCGTCGTCGAGTCTCCTCTCCTCGCCGACTTTGAACGCGTCGACGTCGAGGCGCAGGCCTCTTCGAAGGACCTTCCGAGCCGGGGAAAGACGTCCCCTGGTTCCGAAAATTGACCCAGTCCTTAAAATGCCCGGTGCATAAAATTCGTAATATTAATTTGAAGAAATGTCAAAGAAGCGTGTTTCAGGCCGAATATTAAAATTTTCAGGGGCCTCCCCTGCGGCGTGCAGCCTCCGGAGCCGGTCCCCGACCCGGACGGAGACAAGCTGGCGACGATCGCCTCCAGGTTCAGCTACTTCCAGGAGAAGAGGGTTCCGGCGCCCGCCAAGATCGACCTGAGGCGCAACATCAATCCCCCGGCGCGTTACAAGCACGCCCGACCCACCGTCCGGCTGCGCCCTCGGCAGGTGCTCTGCAGCAAGTGCAGGTCTATCTGCAACGAGAACAGCGAGAACGTCGACGTGAGCCGCAAGCGGAAGCACGAGCCGGAAGAGCCCGCGGCGCCGACGCGGCGGAGCGACCGCCGCTGCAGCCAGCAGCAGCCTCCGGCCCAGAAGACGCAGAGGAGCCTCTTCTCGGAGAGCCAGTCGGACAACACCTCGGCGGCCTCGAGGATGCTCAAGTCGCCCCTCGGCCCGGTCGCCGAGCCCACCAAAATGGCGCCCTCGCTCATCCCCAAGCTCGCCAGGCTCCAGCCCAACGAGATCACCAGCGCCCTTCACGGAACAGGTGGGGTCCGGAGCCAAGCGTTGGATCTTGCTTCGAGTTTCGATTCAAAATTTATATATCGATGTTGGATATATTGGATTCGATGCCGCACGTTGCCGAGCTAATTTTGGTTAGACACTTGAGTTACGAATTTGAGTATAAATGATGGCGATTCCTGTTAAATCTTCGACCCGCGCCAATTAAATCTGCACGGATTTGTCGCCACGTAGCACGGGCCTCACTTGATTAGCCGCGATCAATCGGATTACTTTCAGGCAAGATGAAGCTCGTCCCTGGGGTGCAGTCCTCGACGTACTGGACGAGAGGCGAAGACGAGGTGGCCAGAAACCCGGATGAGTCCTTGGAGAGCCCGGTAGAGTCCATGGAGCTAGGGAGCAACCCCTCGACGGCGTACTGCGCGACCCCGAGGCGACTCAGCAGTTCCTCCGTGGAGAGTGCAAAAGTTCCGGACGAGGGTGAAAAAAGGACCTTAGCCGCCGCGGACTCGACGATGCGAGTCCGAGGTAACAGGGTGCCAAGGAAGAAGAGGTCGGTGGGGTCCATGGAGGACCTCTGGGACGAGTCCGTGTTCGAGGACCCCACGAGGACCGCCAGGACGACCCCGGTGATCAAGATCTCCTTCGGCGCCCAGGGCGAGGGCACGGTGTTGAAGATCCCCTCGAAAATCCAGGACCCCTACGACCAGGAGGCCGAGACCGACCCCGAGGACGTGCTCCAGGATGTCGAGAAGGACCCGCTGGAGCTGCCGAAAACCTCCGAAAACGAGAGCGACTTCCAGAAGGACGTCGAAGAGGACGGCCTCCAGGAACAGGTTGACCCGCAGAAGCAAGGGGTCAAGGACGCCAGCGCAAAAGCTGCCAAGAGAGCCCTGAAGAAGGCCAAGAAGGAGGCCAGACGAAAGATGCTCGGCGGCGTTTCTCCGGCCAGGTCGCCCTGCAACGGATCCCCGAGGTTCGCGAACTTCCGCTATCTATCCCAGCTTCGTTTCTCGAAACGTCGTCTCTGCCGGATTATGTGTACATCGTTTCTTCGGCTTCACCTAGATCGCCTGTTTTCGCTCCCTCCAGGTACAACACCACCTACGATCCGATGTCCTACCACCGCCGCAAGCACAAAGTCAAGCACAAGAAGAAGCACAAGGAGGAGCGGAAGCACAAGAACCAGCAGCAACAACAACAGCAACAGCTCTGCCAGGAGGAGTGCGGGGCCGCGAGTCAACAGCAGAACTGGAACGTCCTCCCGGGTGGAGACACCTACACGGCCATCAAGGAGCAATGCCTCAAGCAGAAGCTCTCGATCTCCCTGAAGAGGCTCAACACGAACGCCTACGCCAGGTGCGACTACCCCGTCAGCAACGCCTCCTCCGGGTGCAAGTCCCCCGGGGCCAGCAGCGACGAGCTCAGCGAGCAGGAACCCGAGGTCGATGCCGGAGAAACCGCTCCGGACTTTCCGCCACCGGCGCATCCTCTCGTCATGAGACTCGCCGCCACGCCCGTTCCGCACTGTCTCACCGCCAACGGCAGGAGGATGGACGTCGGCGACGTGGTCTGGGGGAAAATCCACGGGTTCCCCTGGTGGCCGGGGAAGGTGGGTCCTGGAGCGAAATCGAACTTCGTCTCGTACCTCGTCTTTGGGCACCTACCAGCCACGACTTCCTCATTCCAGGTCCTCAGTATCACGGTGTCCTGCAAGGAGGACGGCTCCTCCGCGGGACCTCAGGCCCACGTGGCGTGGTACGGATCATCGACGAGTTCCTTGATGTCCTGCGATCAGCTCAGCCCATTCCTGGAAACCTTCAAGGTACTCGTTCTCAGAGTTTTTACCCGAAAAATCCAAAGACGTCTCGCGGAACCCGCCACCACCGAACTTTCCATTTTACAGACTCGGTACAACAAGAAGAAGAGAGGCCCTTATAAGGAGGCGATCCGGCAGGCGCAGAACGAGGCTCGCAGCCAGATCACGCCTAACTCGACGAGCAACGTCCTGGATGTCTGCAGATCGCCCCGGGAGGTGAACGTTCTCTCCTAAAACGGGACCGAGCAGTCACGCTGGGTCTGGACCCCCTCACTGCCTGTAATTCGGCCAGGAATTACGATTTGTAACATAGAGACCTGTACATAACGAAGCGTTAGCGTTAGACACCGATCGGATCGGTCGTTCTAAGGCGGCTCGCGGCGCCACTGTCGACTTGGCTACATTCTACGGTTTTTAATCGGCTTTAAGGCGATGCCAAAGTGCCGTTCGAGGGTTCTCGTTTATGAGTTCTTTTCTGTCTGGATGCAGCGAATCGTTAAAAATGTTACCGCAAGACTGTGGGGCCATAGGGAAGATATAACACTATGAAAATTCCTTTTTATTAAATTTTTGGGATGTCAGAGCCTTCCTTAAAACCTTCATATTTACGTGGTCGGATTCCGGACAATTGGATACACCCAATTCGGAGAAAAGTGCCATAAACGATCAGAGCCTTCAAATGCCACTTCCATGCCACCTTAATAGCGACGAGAGGGCACGACGCGTTCACCGACGACTCCCCGTCGAGGTTTAAGCTCGATTTCAAGGTTGAAATCCGAGGAAACCCTGCGAGGAGGTGGGAGAATGTATCTAAAAGACTTCATGTATACTTTCTAAGGTCCCGCGAGAAGACTTTAGCATTTCCGCCCGGAGTCGCGGACCCGGACACGAGGTTCTCAACTATTCGAGGTCGCTTCTCGTCGGGACAGGGCATCATCGGATAGGTTATTTCTCGCGCTTGTTGCCCAACGCTGCCTCGAGCTGTTTCGCTTCTTGCCTCGAATGGATAATTTTTATTGATGTAGTTAATTCACCCTAAGAGGCGCCAAACCACGCGACACTGTCCCGATGAGTAAGAACCTTCAGAGACTGCCCTGTATATCCTAATCCTCGACGAAGCTGCCGATCACCTCGATCTCCATGTTCGAGTCACGCGTTGTACTTCTCATTTTTATATATATATTAATTATTAATTATTATATTATATATTATCGCGCACTTCACATTCTGCGAGTCGTTCTGTTAATTAGTTTTCGCTCTGTTAGTTATCTTTGGCGAAGGCACCAGCGGCAAAGCTGACGACTGCCACGAGACGGTACTTTTCCGGGCCAAAATATTTTTAAAAATTGGACCCTGCAAACGTTTACGCTTCGTGCCAACACTGCCGAGTTAACCGATGAACCTAGGATGTTCATCGCTGCGAGTTTCTTATGAAATTCATGCTGCCAATGGTAACGACTAGGAGAAATGTTAGCGATTCTTGTTAACGAGATAGGCCTCACTTTTTTAGAAGCGTATGATCCTTGCATTGCAGCAAGGATGCTACTTTCAACTTTCTAGGACAACTAAAACATGGATTTCTGTTCTCGCTTGGATCGAGATCGTTCCGGATCAATGTCAGGCGATCTTGGTTTTTTTTTTCCCCTTTATTTCTTGCGGATGAATGAGTAGAATGTATGCCGTCTCGTGGGGTGGTCGAATCTTTATCGAGTCTAATACTCGTAACCGTGACTTACGTTAAGTTACAGTTCTCAAAACCTGTATATCGTTACCACGCCGGTCGACAGGTTCGACCTGTTCCATCGCTTCTGCTCGCCGCACTTCGTCCTCGTTTTCTTCCTTTTTTATTTCCCTTTTCTCTCGCGAGTCCGCTGCGAATTTTGTTACCAGACACCGACTCAAGCCGAACAAGAGCGGGACTCGATCGCGACTGCCATTTCGCTGGACCCTGTCCAGAGCATCATCTTATTTATTTTCCGATCATGTCCACCGATACCAGCTATGCGACATAGCTCGAATAATACTACAAACGAATCGACGCTTAACGATTGTTTCCTAAGGATCCGAAACTGTACACGTAGCGATAAGTCGCGGCGATTTAGCCTATGCCCTCACTCGGCCAGTCGAACGAGTCGACGAAGTACGAACCGTAGTCGTTCCTCGTTCTCTCCATACTTTCGTTTCGACCATTTATCGACGCAATTCCGTGTCGAGCCCTTAGGTCAAAATGAATTAGCGCAAGAGCCTCGTCACCTGCGAGACCTAGTTTTTCATGTTTTAGCTTCTTCGGCATTAAAAAAATCGCGCTTGGGGACCTCGAGAGAAGGGAGGCAGGACCCGTTGCCATCCCGGTCCTCTCGGAGCCCCTTTTCAGGGCCCGATTTGCGATCGATGTTTCCTTTCGACCGGCTAATCCAAGTGTCTCGCATTAATAACTACGTGAACCATCATGCCGACCATGTTCAGTCAATCGAACCTCCATTTTTCTGCATTTTCCTCCCTCAATTGCGAAAATTGTGTTCAACCGTACGCGCAAAATGGCGGCTCGATCGGCCGGCTGACCACGCGGCTCGCCCTCGTCGGAAGGAAACGTTTTAAGTAACTGTGATTTTTTCAAATGTTTTATACATTATATATATTGAATATATAAATATATATATATATTATATGTATATACACATAGATATACCACTCACGTGCGAACAATGTCATCACTTGGTTTATGAACGCGCGGCCTACCTGTACTCTGAGAAGAAAAAAATTAATTGAACCAAAGAAATATATTTTTAATTCAAAGAATAAATCATCTAGCTCAAATAAGATGTCATAACTCCGACGAAACGTCGCATTCGATTTTATTCGAGTCAAGTAAATATTCTTTGGATTAACAAAATGTATCTTTGGGACTATTCGGATATTTCTCTGGTTCAATGAATTTTTTTTCCGGGTAAGGCGGCCGAATTGCTGTTTCGCTGTGTTTATACGAATCGTAGCTTTTTACTAGACTAACATATCCGTAGCTTAGGCGATCGCGCGAGGGCGGTCTCCGATTTTTTAAAAAGTTGTTGTTTAGAATAATAAGAGGCGATGCGTAGACGGAGTCGTCGCGTGGATTCAGCCTAAACCGAACGGTCCCCGCGCACACCTCGGGAAGCGGCGAACGGATCTTCTGTTTTTCCTTTTCCATTTCCCTCTTTTTTTCCCGCGAGAGATGCTAACAGCGAAAAATGGCGATAACGCAAAATTTGTCCCCGGCTTTGTTTCGCCACCTGGAAAATGCTAGCTCTCGTCGTTGTCCCGGCTTTTCGAGCCGAGTCGTTGTTCCTCGTTGCTTCGTTGTTGCATTTCCTACTTTTTTTTTTTTTTCTTTCCTAGCGGCCGCCGGTTCCCCGGGAACCGCCGGAACGATATCGAGAGAGAATCGGAAGAGCTCTTTTGGTCCGATCGAAAAATTCCTAATCTGTCTTCTCTTCGAAGCCGAAAGGGATAAACGCTAATGGACAAGATATCCCTTTTAATTATGACCCCGAAGAGTGACTTGCGAGTCGGATCTCTTAGGAGAGAATAAAATTATGAAATCTAGAAATGTTGGGTATTGTGCACGAGTGGTGCGACAAGAGTGTCATGTCTATTGATTTTTGCCGTCATTCCATCGACCGGTCTACTGGGTACCGAGAAGAGTGCACTCGAAGAGACAGTTAAATGAATCGCGGCGGGTTGGAATACGTTTCGCGCCACTTTTGACGAATTCATCCGCTTCTCCTTGGTTCCCTCAAAACCGCCTAATAAATCCGCAAAATTTGGCCAGGAATCTTGCGGAACGCCCCGATACTCCGGGGCACTTTCCTCAATCCCGGTATCTACGGATCGATAACAGTCTTCCATTTAGAGAAATTTCGTTCCGTCGTCGTAGGGAGGGAAACGCGAGTAAAAGGAAATGACCGATTGAAATTCGGTACCGATTACGTACACCCCACTCCCGAAACACGACGACCCTTCAGAGGGGCAACAAACGAACAAACAATAAGGTTCTTATCTAGTGAATAAAGCAGCATAAAAGTGAGCCTTACGACCTCTCGATTTGTATAAATTACATAATATACTTTTCATCATAACTCGAGCCGTCCGCCTTGCGTCTCATTACCCTAAGCGCTTCAAAATTCGACCGCCTTCTCTTATCGATAATTACCGACAATTAGATATCTACGAACAAATACTTAACATGGGTAGATCGATATCTGCAAGTTTTACGTTATAGACATTTGTTCTCGGTTGAAAAAAAAAAAGTTTAGAAATAGAGGCCATTTCTTTTCCTCAAGAAATATATTAAAAAATCCGGAATTTCGGTAGATCGTCATACCGAACCCAGTAATTTGTATAATTAGGGTATTTGAAAAAGTGGAGTAACCACTCCATTGCCCATCGCTGTTCCCAGTTGGTGAGTGGGGGGATCACCCCCTCGGAGGTGCACCGCGTGGGGGTCGAATGCGCGAGCCGGCCAGCTCGGCTCGGCGCACCCCTCGCGGACGACCGGAGACCGTCGTCGGACGAGGACCCAAGGAGGTACCCACCCCGAGGTCCGCCGAACAGCCAGGGAGGTCGAAAAGACACCGGACCAAGGGATGGAGCCCTTCACTGGAGCGGTGGTACCCTGAGGTGAGCACCCTGGCCTCGTTTATCCCCGAGACCGACCTGCCCCGCAACCCCCGATCGATCGCCCATGTGCATGGGAGAGGCCTCGTCGCGGAACCTCCGCTAACCCTTCGATAGCCGGACGCGACCTGGACCGCGATTACCCCCAGAAACAAAAAAATCATCCCCGGGGATTTTCCTCGCGTCTCCTTTCGACTAAAATCCCACGGATACGTAATCAACATTTTTGGGAATTTTTAGCGATTTCCCTGCAGCTATTTTTACTTAAAATTACATAATCAACGTTTTCGCGAGCCTACGGTAATTTCCTCGCATTCTTGAAATTCGACCATGTGTGCGTGGATTTTTAATCATTTCACGTAGCCTTGTCAAAGGGGATTGAAAGTTCGCGTCTAGGCATTTCATAAGATCTATCTCATTTTTCTCGGTTTTGCGTGGACTTAAAAAATCTGGCGCCTACCTACCCCGAGAAAAAAATGGGATCAAACGTTTCCACGCGAACTAGGAAACAGGCGCTAGCTCTTGAAACGGATATGAAACTGAATTACAGTTTGCAAAGTTACGACTCGTAAGATGATTAGGGACTCGTGAATGTTTCACGAGAACTTTTTCCCAGTGTAGGTCACGGGCGAAGGGAAGAATCGTTCGAGCGATGACGCGCGACTTTTCCACACCTCTCTGCTATCGTTCGGATATCGGGTCACGGCGTTTCCGGAAATCTCGTGATTACTCGTCGTTATTGATATCAAACTCCCGGAACTCGCGGCCTTCGATCGTTCCTTGGAGTTGCATTTCTTTTCTGCGATTCGGGACTCGAAGGGCGCTCGGTGGTCTACTCGCCGCCACTTGAATGAAACGATCGATGCGGTAATGACGGTTCGCGGCACTAACTCGCAGATTGGGTTCCATTCATTGCGCTCGCCGAGGGGATAATTCGGGAGGTAACGCGAAAACATTTGCGTACGCTAGGTTCGTATAATTCAGCCCGCGATTAATTCATCGATAATCGATAGACGATCCGCCACGAGGAACCTCGACTCGAGTCTCCCTCCGAGAGCACTTCACCGACTCCTGAATAATGAACCGCGTATCGACCCGCGAGAACATTGCACTTATGTCGGGTACCGGCTAAATCGCGTGACCTTGCCTCCTCGGCTCTATCATAATAATTACGGGGCCAATCTAAACTTCCGAACTTGATTTTGCATTTTACCCGAGTCGCGGCCAGAAATTCGCTTCTCGGTGGGTCGCTCGAATTTCGCATTCCCAGGATAATTCCGGCGAAACGTCCTCCAACGAAATGATATGCGCTCTCGATCGACCTATCGCAGGCCAAGGAGGACGGTCGATCCGTAACGCAATATACCAAGGCATTGATTACGGTGCGTGGTATAATCGGTATAATCAGGGATCCTCGTCTCCCTTGTTATCGAGTGACCTTGGTCGCGCTCGATTCAGAAAATAATGGTTAAAAGCCAAAGAACTGCCGATTGCGGTCAAACCTTATCGATCCTGACCTGCCCCCTCCCCCGACTCTTGTTTAGGGATTTCCTCTAATTCGTTCCTGAATTTACAGGTAATTATGAAACATATGCCGCTCGATGACACTCAGAGGTATGCCCAGGTAAAGAGGAAGAGCGTGACCTTCTTGACCGGACTCTTCAAGGCGAAGAAATTGGCCTTAGGCATGAAGCTCGAGGACGAGGAGGTGGACCGACCGCCGAGGGTGGAAAATCCAGGTAAAGCTTCCCAGAATTCGTGAAGAATTTTTCTTGTCGACTTATCTGACGATTTCACCTCCAGCGGTCATTTCAACGTGTCGTCGGAACGAGCAGGACTCCATGGTGTCTAGAATCCCATCGACGCTGAGCGTCACTGCCGTCGACGTCGTCGTCGCCTGTCAGCCATCGCCGTCGCACTCGATCCTGACCTTAACCCCCGGGAGGACCAGGAACATCGACCAGGACATGGAAGCCCTGCGTCTCAGCCGACAGGATAATCCCTTCCTCCAGGTACCTTGAAAGTATTTTAAATTAAAAAGAGGATCTTGTATTAATTTCTTTCATCGAAACATAAATTTTCTCTTCAGGTTCTGGCCAGTCGAGAGAGCCTGGTCGAGTCGATCGAGGAGTCCGAGTCCGACGTCGCGATCCTGATGTCCCACGTAAGCTCGGAAAATCGAGAAAAAATTAGAAGCGTCGGTTGATGATTATTTTTTATTTATTAATTTTTAATCCATCCTCATTCAGGAACTCGGCGAAGCGGACCCCCTGACCCTGGCGCAGGTGCACGAGCACCTCGTGCGAAGTCCGCCCCCTGCGTCCTGGCCGCACACGCCTGTCTTCCACTTTCCTCATCAGGGCCATAGGAAAACTGACCTAGGTCATCCCGGGACCTGTAAGAGTCCGACCAGGACGCCGATCCATCGTGACGACGGAGACCTGTCCAGGAGCGAGCCCTCCAGCGATATCAGAGGTGAGCGGTATTAATCGTCACGATGCAAAAGGTGCAAGATCAAGACTCGATCGTAGTTGCAAGTGCATTTCGGAACAGAGATAGGGACGACGACCCTCGAGAATCTACCTCTCTACCTGTTTTCTATCGATTTCCTTATTTTTAACTGTCACGTCCCGATCGATTCGCTAGCTGGCAATGGAATTTTCTTGCCTTCGTCGGTGTTTGTAGTCCTTAATTTTCAATCGGGATGAATTTATTCTTCCATTAATATTTCCTATTCGTTTTGGATCTGTTTGCCTTCAGATCGACATTCTCACCCGTTTTCGTTGCTGAACCCTACGCCCATCAGGTCGCTGTCGGAAGTTCGACGACTCCACCGATCAGCTGACGACAGTGTTCAGCTCATGTCGTCCGAGTAATGACTCGACCGGTTTGTCCGTTGACTTCGGACGTAGGTTTTTCGTCTGTGGAAGTACGAGACTTTCCTAACTGCGCCTCGAATACGGCACGTCAGGGTGTAGAGATTTTTCCTGCCCGAGAAAATGCCAGCCGAGATGGTGGAAAGAGCAACCCTGAAGTGGTTTCCAGAACGAGGCCCTAGTATATTAGGCGATATTGTCGGACCCGAAAAATGCGGTAACACCAATGTAATTCCGGATTTATTGTCGTCCGGTAAGATAGAGAGCATTTAATAATTATTCGTCTTCGAAGATGTCAGGCCTGCGAAAATACTCGAGGGGATTTTCGACCACCAAAACCGAGAGTCGTCCCAATCAAAAGCGAAATTTAGCAAAAAGGCGATTAAGCGAATTGTCGAAGCGGGAATAAAAAAAAAAAGCCCACTTTGAGGCGTTCGATAAAACTCGTACGAATTTTTGCGACATTTTTGGAGGGTCGTTTTGCGCCTTATTACTCGTTTTCAAGTTTGATGGAAGTACATCGTCGAGGTTGACATATGTTCCACTTTCGAGGTCAGGCGATGACCTCGTGCACATGCAGAAACTGCAGGAGTTGCACAAATTGCACAAACTGGCCATCAATATTTTTCCACGGCTGGGTAAAAAATGATTTCAAAAACTTTCCATAGAAAAAAAAAATTCCATCTAAAATTCGCAATCTTCGCCTCTCCGAGAGCAATTGCAAAAGCAATTCTACTATCATCTGATATCCAACCTTGGTTTACGATATGCATTTCTAATGCAGAAAATATCTACGGTTACATTGGAAACTAAAGTCGAATCTACTAAAAAAGAAGTTTCAATCGCACTCTTCAAGTTCCTGTATTATCTTAAGGACATGTAGAATTCTGATTTCCTTAAACTCTAACTTGAAAAAAAAATGGAAAACTCGATTCGAGTACTTTAATCGGGGGATCGCAATTGTGCATTCACTTGCATCGTTTTCATGCACCGATAAATGCCCGGATGCACCGCCTAATTTTTAGCTGTAAAAAGAGAATAGATATTTATGAATTAAAAACTATTGCCGATTCTTCTACGAGAAGTGCTGTGCGGGAAATCGACGGAAATGCAATTATTATGCAACTGACGTTTCGCCTAGATTAAATGACGTTTAGAGTTAATATACCTTTTCCGAGGGTTATTCTCGAGCGAGAATGGTGCATCGGGGCCTTAAAGTTCAACTTGAAGTTTTCTCAATTGCATTAGAGCTTTCTTCGACATTTACAAAGTACGAATTCACGTCTGACAATTGCATCCGGTCCATAGGTGCTTCATAGAATTTTATTCGAGTAGAGGATATATATACAATATATATTTAGAAGATGCAGCAACGATCACTATTCCGAAATAAGTAGAGAAATCAAAGGCATAATTTTAACGAGGGACTCGATTGACAATTAAAATTCCGATTTGCCGCCGTTTATTCTACTTAATTTATCACTTAATTCATTGCGTATTTTAATCTCCTTTGTCACCACTGATAAATGCATTTCCTTATTAAGAGAATTATCAAGTACTCGAGGGACATTCATTGATATCAGAAAATGAAAGAGTGGCTACTCCCTAAATTCCGCAATCGAAGTGCAACATTATCCGTCCATTATTTACCGATAATTTGCCAGCAGCCGATCAATCGAGTCCCCGTATTGCATTACGCGAGATTAGCCAGAGCAATTATAATCGGTGTTACATTGTGCATTAAATACGGCCAAGTGTACAATTAGAAAAATACGAGATAACAGAAATGGCCTATATCCACGAGAAGCACGCTATCCTTCGATCACTAGCCAAGAAGGCTCCGTATTAATAATTAACTAACAGCTGATCGCAGCGTACACTTGTTTATGTGTGTCGTAAATGTTAATTAGAGCGTTAAGCATTCCTAGAAAGCAATCGCGCCGTCGATTGGCGAATCAGAAACGACCCTTTTAGGATCAGGTTGCAAGCGACTTACGGGAAAATATTTAAAATATTTAAACGAATCCCTAATCTTTTCATTGTAAAACGAAGCGCCAATTAACCCTAGATCGGTTGAAACGCCTGTTCAAATTTTGTCGTGTACTTTTTTCCTCTTTCTCTGTCGTCATTGCACAAAGAAACAAATGATTTTCAAAGTTCGATGATGGATCGTGTCTAGAAGAGAATTTTCAGATTTCTGAATCTCCGGTAGAAATAGGTATTTTTGGATTTTCCGTTTAAATGGCGGCTAATGAATCTCGACAATTTGGGGCCGATCGTCCAAATGTCGTGTGGCACGATTCTTATCACGCAGTGATTTTACATGAGAATTATCGGGAATCTTTTTCGTTCGACTTCGAGTCGAGGAGGGTGCCTTGAAGAAAATGTATGTTACCCCCTTGCAGTTCACATAAAACTATGTATAGGAACAAATAGATCGAAAAATCCAAAGTTTACTTCCATCGAGTATTCGGAAGCACCATTTGCTACAAAATTTATTCTTCTAATTGTTATTTGAAAATGAACGACACTAAACGAATTCTATTGCCTTCCGTTACAATAAAATATATTTGTTCCTATACGACAGGTAATATATATTTTTGAATTCGCCACCCGAAATACTTTTAGTAGGATTTATACAACTATTATACTAAGAGATATTAGTAACACCGTATCAGAAAGGGCTTAGAAAGATGAGAAAATAATAAATTAGAATCGAGTTGATTTGGCCATTGAGAATTGAGATTAGTTATAAATATAAACATAAATATATATATTGTGTGTATATTTGATCATAAATGAGAGCATATACGCGTTAGGAACGATTTTGCGAAGTTATGAGAATAATAGCAAAAAGAGACCACTATGAGATGGTAGAAAGAGAAATATTTATTATTGTAATATTATTGTAACGAAGTAGAGAGACTTATATTTATTCTAGTCAAAAAAATCATCGTTCGGATCTTTGCTGGTTCATTCCTATGATATGTTAATATGGATTACAGGGCTGCAAACGATTTCTATGATACAGCGGTTTAGGCAATTGTGGCAATAATAGTCCAACAATGATTAAATATTAACATTGGCCTATGATGATGTTAGGATTTTTGCCCAGGTGTAAGCACAAAGAACTCGAGATCCGTGATGTACAGGGTGCTCCAACTATGCGTAACTTATATATACACAATAACGATAACGTACACTTAAAGTATATATTAGGTTAAGAAGTAATATACCGAGACTATCTTATCGTTATTAGTTATGCAAACCGAATAATTAAATCAAGGCTCTACAAAAACTTAAAATTATGGATTCATTTAGATTGTTGAGATGCTAGCATTTAATTGTTGACTTAAGTAAACTGTACCAGCACTATATAGGTTTTAAATTAAGTGCACTTTCAATGCGCTACAGGCCTTGATTACACTTCTGCGTTCATTCCTTTGTACGAAAGCTGCGCTCGTTACATAGATAAATACATCTGTTGTTTTTAATTGAATGAAATATATTTATGTTACTGTAATACGTCGAGTAATACTTACAAGGTGGCCAGAAATAACGGAGCAGCTTTTGTATTGGAATACGTTAAAGCTTTGCTCCATTATTTCTGGTTACCCTCTATCGTTAACGTTTAACTTCATTTCTCTAATGACATATGTTATATACAGTTATTCTTCATCCTTATAACTGTCCCCTCTATTTTTCAATTTTTGAAAAATTGTCTGTAATTTTCTTCAAGTCAGCTTTCAGGAGCCGTAGCAAGGTGTAAAGTTGTTGCATTTCCGCGTAAGTTTTCTTCAAAGCATCCAACTCTCTTAAGAGCTTCTAAAAATAGTAAATTCAACCGATAAACATTTGTTTCAAACGTTTTTAACGGAAAAAGACATTTCCCAACAAAAGTTTACAAACCTTGTCACCCATTGTAAAATGCACAATTAAATAAACACTCGTCAAACCTTCTTCTATAAATGTTAATTCTAAACTTTTACGAATAAACTTAAACAATGAGTTTAATCCCCTTTACCCTTAGAGATACTTCAACTTCAAATAGTTTGAATTCTAACCTAAAATCGTAATATAAGAATCGCGCCATGCAACGCGCCGCCATTAAGAACGCGTAACATGATTACAATAGGTAGCGTTTTAATGATGCTAGCGCTGTCGTCGGATTTTATCTGAACTAAACATGTAATAGAATTTAAACCATAAAATAAAGTGGCAGAGTAAAATCATCCCACCTCAAAATTCAAATATAATTTCACATAGATTGTAAGACATAACATATCCATTTGGTGAAGTGCCTTTATTTTGATAAATATGAAGCATTCGGTTTGTAAAGCTACCGCCTCAAGTGTTCGTCGGTCGAAATGTACTTATTTGTACGTAGGTGATTATTCTCCTTAAGAATTTTATTCAGCTGCATTTGAAGCATCTTCTTGGAATACTGAGACTGCTTTAATTGTCGTCGAATGTCTCGGATGGCTTTCACCAGGTAAACCACCTCTTTCTTTTTGTCAGGAATTTCATGCTTCGGTCTGGTTGATTGTGATATGGAAGATAATTGTTCACTTTGTTGATCCAAAATTGTATAGGTTTCAATTTCAGGTTTTTCTATTACACATTTTTCTACTGCAGAATTTTTTGTTGTAGATTTCTCTATGAATTCATTCTTTATTTGCTGTCCGGTCTCTTCAGAACTCGATGGAATTATTTCTTCAATTTCAATTGTCTCTTCAGTCAATATTTCATAATCTTCTACTTTTACGGATACATCAGGATGCATCTGTTCTTCTTTTATTAATGCTGCCTTTTCTGCCACCGCCCTAGCTTCTTCAGCTTGCTTCTGTCTCAACAATTCTTCTGTTTTTTCAAAATGTAATTCCACTGCTCTAACTTCTTCGGCTTGCTTCTGTCTCCGTAACTCTTCTGCTTCTTCAAAGGGTATTGGAATTGACTTTCGTTTTAATCTTAACCGTCCATTCGGTGAATATTTTGTAAAGGATTCAGGCCGAAAATGATTCTTACAAAGTCCGGCTCTTCGAATAGAAAGCCCACTCCATATTTGTAGTCTTTTATTTCCTGTGAATACCATATTTGTAGAGAAATTGTATACCGATTATGGTGATGCTAAAAATACTAATGCAAAAAATCAAGGCGAGGGTAAACTCGACAGTAAATCCTACCGCAATTCTTTATCCAAATTTTCTGCCGAGGGTCCTCAGGAGCTGGGAAACGGAAGAGCCTATATCCATTATAAATTGGACCGTTCTTGCAACCTCTATAGAGGCATCGATCGTATATTGTCTCTATGATCTGTCTGATCTGTCCCGTAGTCATTATCTATTAATTTTAATCTTCTTTTTTGTCGGATCTACAAATATCGAACCCTGATTTGACGTAGAAACAAACATAGCTGGAAATTATTCAACTTAAGTCTAGGATTTCAGAGGAACTCTAAATATCAAAGCAAATAAATAGTCGGGCGGAGGGAGGAACACTCTAGAAGTAACAAACGGAATTGGATCAACCTCTAGAATACTCGGCAAGTAAGACTTACAAGATTCGCTGATCGTAACGTCAAAACTTGTACCATCAGATTAATAATCTGTACACTGTTCTAACAGATGCAGTTCTACATATTTACAGGCGCTTCTCAAGGCAAATAACGATACAACTATGGCCACTTTACCTTCCTTGCCACCTCAAGCGGTTACGTGGAAAACTGCAAAATGGCCGCCAGGAGCGGGAATTCAATTGGAGTTACAGAAAACCTTCGCAGCCCTCTCTACCGTTCGAATCTCCTAAGCTGATGCAGTACAGGCGGGTACTAAATGACTTGTTTCAAATGGCTTATCGAGTATAAAAAAAATCTGCCGGTCGTTCTACTGTTAAACGAGCTAGAGAACTTATGTACTCGCGCTATTTGTATAATAAACTGTAACATAATTAATGTAATAAAGCAAGTTATTGAATAATAACAATGAGTATGTTTAATTAGACGAGCCTGTCTAGCGCACCCTAATCGGTCAGGGTATCGGCGCTTTGCGCGGGGCCATACAATGTTTTGAGGAGGCCGCGAACCAGGTGCGACACTTGGCGGCATGCCGGGACATCAACACTTGGCCAAACTTTCCGGGACTACCGGTCGCGGTAAGGTCGATATCCAGGTACCTGGAACGAAGAGCCTACCTGGAAAAGGGACGGCACGACAGTTACTTCCGATTCCGATGAAATTCCGATCCCCCAACCGCCGACACTTTCTAGGAATTAAAATTCACCGGAATAACAAAGACCGACCCCACCCGCTGTTACGGGGCCAATTGGAGCAGTCCCCCCCTCCGGTACCCTTCCGCGTGGAGAACGGAAGAACCTCGACTTATCCTCAGTCTTCTTCGGCGGAGACGCCGAGGAAGACTCCCTTTAGAGTAAGTGCGTACCCTGTCTGTTCAGGGACCACTGGAGTCGAGGCAAGCTCCCTTACGTTTCTTGCGAGCCTAGATTTTGCCCTCGCTGATTGTATTAACGAGACTAGAGTCCGCAGCCGTTGGCGGGGCATAGTGCGTAGCTGCTTTGCGGCTACGTGCCAGGCTGCACTTTCTGACTTCCGCTTTGCGACGCGTGCTTCCCCCTGGCGGCCGACAGGGTGAAGCACACGGCGCGGGCTGTCGTTGGGTCGTGCAGTCGCCTGCTTCGTTAACGCCTGCTTTTGCCCCGCGATTTGTGTAACGCGAAAGTAAAGTTTGATGGCGTGACAATGTCGCGTCTTAGAGCCTGCAATCATTGGCGGGGCACAGTATGTCGCAGCTTTGCTGCGACGTGCGAGGTCGGACGACCTAACCTCCGCTTTGCGACGCACGCTTCCCCTTGGCGGCCGACAAGGTGAAGCGGACGTTGCGGGCGGTCGTTTGGGTCGGACGGTCGCCTGCACCGTTAACGACTGCTTTGCATCGAAGTAGTCTTTTTGGCCCTTCTGGAATTCTCATTTTACTCCTTTCTCTTGTTCTCGGCGAAAGTAGTCTCTCGCGTGGGTTAATCTTAGGCGAGATTTAGTATCTAAGTAGTTTACATAAGTTGCGTAGTTTAAGCGTCGTTTCTTTCTCGCGGGAAGGAACCAAGAAAATCCCATCCTGACACCTCGACTGAGAGGTGACAGGGTGGGTGTCTAGGTAGACGTTTAGTGCTCCTAGACGGGCCTTGTGGAGCGGCAACCTCCTCGTGGTGGGCCTGGGGAATTGATGGTCCGGGTTGCCCCTAAGTGGGCATCGGAGCATCAATTCGCGAATAGCTGCTCGATCGGTTTCTATTTTTCTGTGATTTTGCAATAAATACTGCCACTGTTCCACTATTAAAATATATCGGGTACTGAAAGTGTCCGCTGCAATAATGGTGCTCGCGTCGCAAGAAGTTCCACAGCTTCGTTTCCGAGGCAATGGCTACCTTCATCTCGTTTACCTTGTTTCTTTGCCGAGTTCCGAGTGAGATAAACTTTCGAAGAACGATTGCGGACAAGTTTTTAATCTTTGACTTCAGGAATAACGTTATGGCTGGGGAAGTGATTGTCGATGCCTTGCCGTATATCGACCAAGGGTACGATGAACCTGGTGTTAGAGCAGCGGTATGCACTACTGTTATCAACTGTTATTTTCCGCTGTTTTTCTGTAGCTGTGGCATGCAATTCCCACTGGGAAAACACTTTTAAAAAATTTCAAATTACAATTTTTAAATAATGATTGCAATTTATGTAAGGCACTGGCAATGGTGGAGGAAGAAACCAGGAGGTATAGGCCGACTAAAAATTACTTAGAACATTTACCTGTATTGAATATAAACGCATTTGAAACGGAAGTCATGAAACATGAATTTGAAAGAATGCAAAATCGTCTTCCGATGGAAGTTCTAAGTATGAAACGGTATGAATTACCTCCACCTCTACCTGGCAAAATGAATGACCTTTCTGCATGGAACGAAAGCGTGGAGAACAGTAGCGCGCAACTGGAGCACCAATCCACTAGGTAAAACCGTTAGTTTAAAATCGCATGTACATGACATGGAATTAGGTTTCTCAACTATTAAAAATTATTTCCACAGAATTTGTAACTTGGAATTGATGATGGACTATGGCTGTGAAGCATGGAAATCCTATTTAGAAGTTTTAGTTCAATTGGTTGGTCAAGCACAAAAGCAGTTACAATTGTTAAGGAAAAAAATACAAGAAGTTAATTGGCAAAGGAAATCTATGCAAACACAAGGAGGAGAAAAACTGAGAGCACTGGAAGCTCAGTGGGTTGGTCTAGTGTCTAAGAATTACGAAATCGAACAAGCATGTGTCCACTTGGAAGAAGAGATACAGAAATCAATCTCTTTAAAAAAAGAAGCCATTGAAATTAGTGACGTTCCTGGGAAAGAAGCAGAACCTGGATACCCAGAAAAGAGTGCAACCGAAACGATGGCTCAGGAAATCGTGCTTCGCGAAGCCATTCAAGAAAATTGAAATATTGAGCACCCAGTTTCTTTAAATGTGATCATAAAACAATGTAAATTCATACTGTAAATATCTAGCGGAAGACCATCTTAGTTTATTTTAAACGAAAAGATGGACCTTTTCCAGAATGTGATCTCAGACTGCTCATTACAAGCGCCATTTGTCATAAATTGCAAACATCAATAAAGTACAATTCGCTTTAATCATAATTCATGTATCACGGTTTGTCTACGTTTAACAATATTACATATATACAGACAAGCATCTTTCTAGAACTGACATGCTGTAAATATTAACCACGCTTTCATTTATGAGATACTACAATTATTCAAATGCTTTGCCTTCGGCAGATTATCACTGGTAACTGTAGCAGTGGTCTAGTATGAACTTTTAATCAATGGCAGAGCATCAAAACGATTAAACTGTAAAGCGTGTACCTACATATAACGATCGGGTAACTATTAGTGTAAAAAAATACAATGGTAGACTCAATTTTCGCTGTGACTTCGTATTGGTAAGAGAGTTATTAAAAATACTCATCAGAGTAGATTTAGTCATAGACATTGTTCGTTAGTTACTCGAGGGTCATAACGAGGTTTCGCTAGCTCCAGAACTCTGAGATTGAAGAGGTAAGTTTCCTCGATAGTTAACTGCCTCATCTTCGAGTAGAGCTATCCGCTGCTTCAAGGATCTGACCTGAAAATTTAAAAAAGATAAAGTCAAGTCAGACATGGCGCGTAATCCGGCATTTTATGACAGAACTGAAGTAGCGAGGGGAAGGCAGAAAGGAACGCATTTTACCGAGATGGCGCTTCCGGTACGCCGCGGCCATTGAAAGGATTCGACCATAACCTCTCTGTCACAGTGGCGATCCCCTATTTCGTTGAAACTCGTAGACCAGTAAAAAGAGATAACCCTCGCTTCTCCGCGAAAACCGGTAAGAATTTTCGCGATGTAATGATGCTATACAGCAGACGGTTGAAAAGAATTATTCGAAATTGGCCTGGGTTTAAGACCTTTGGAGAATACTGCTTTCTTCCAGTATTTTTCTTCCTTGGAGCGGGAATAGAATTTGCCATGATCAACTGGAAACCTGGACAGGTTAACTTCTACGACGTGTACAAACGCAAGGCAGTGGAAAAGGCAGTTGAGCAGAAGCTTCGAGAACAAGTTGATCGGATTTAACGAACCAAGGAATTGATACATTGCAACTACAAAGAGAACATCAAAACCAGCTTCATCGAGGAATTACATCAATTACATAAGAAGCATAGTTCAAAGAATGCCAGCTGGTGTATCATTCTCTAGATACATTCGATTCGTTGTGACCTCTATGGTTACGATGCTGGCCGGAGCACAAATCGTTCATACATATTACAAACCACTTGAACATTTAGACAAGGAAATCGAGGAAGAGTTTCAAAGGCGAAAAAACGCCTCCGGATTGCAATAGCAGTAATAATGTAGTGACTTAACGCCAGCCATGTAACACAAATAAAAGTTGCGCTCTGTCATTAGACGCATAATTCTCCGAGTAATCGATCGATCTGCACGCTTACCTGCGAGGCATGTCTTTCCACTGTACCTAGCATTTGTTGTTCCAATTTCTTTAACCTGGATTGATATTTTTTTTTGGTTTTCTCTAAAGTTTGCACGAGTGCCCTGAAATCAGAACGAATCATGATTAATAAATCAAGAGTAACAAAGAACCCTGGATAAAAGGAACTCGATATCATCTATCGTCTACCCGTTTGCTCTCTTCAAATCGTTGACAAGTTCGGCCGATTGTTGGTGTCGCGACTCGGAGTTTTTGGTGACCTTATCCAGAGTCGACACCAATTCCTGCAGTCGTTCCTTCAACCGTGCCTCCCTGCCCAACGCTTCGATCAGCTCCGACTCCATGCCTTCGCTCTCGTCGTCGCTCGTCCCGCGGTCCTGATTAATACATAATTATGTACCAACGATCTACGAGGGCCCAACAAGTGTATTGGTAGATCCTGGACACCGGGAACAATCACCTTATTTGTAGCCATTGCCAGCATGGCTTCGGTATCGTTGAGCTGACCTTGCAGGTGCCGAATGGCAGCGTGCTGAGCCGCGATCCGGGTGTCCCGGGCGTTCAACTTGAACTCTATGGTCGTCCTCTCCTTTTCCAAGAAGAACACACGCGCCCGCAACTCCGCCTTGTCCTCCCGCATCGCCATCAACTCCTGGAAGAGAAGAAGAAGCGGTGCTTAACGAAGATGTTCAGTGCAGAACGAAAGGAGGAAGACCTGGACGAGACTCGGAGCGGACCGACCTGCATCAAAACGGCGGTTTCCAGGTCGAGCTTCCTCGCCTCGGCGAGGGACATGGCGTTCTTCGAGTTGAGGGGCTCCGCGTGGACGCTTTCCAGGTCAACCGCCGTGGCCCCGACGAGGGCGCGCTCGGCCTTGAGCCGTTCGACGTGCCTACGGAGTCGCTGCTCCTTCTCGGCCGACCAGAACCCGAGCTCAGACCTGCAACGGGTAGAGCGGAAGCTGTGATGGCGATCGGACGGCGAGAGGATGAGGAGACCTACGCGTCGTCCCCGTCGAGCCGGGCCAGCACGCGGCTCGCCGTCCTCTCGGCCATCCTGACGGTGGCCGGGCCGCCGTCGTCCAACAGGCCGACCAATGCCTCGTAGGCCTCGGTGGCCCGGTCGCTGTAGGTCAGCGCCAGCCGCAGTGCCGTGGCGTTGGACTCGTACTTGCCCAGGAGAAGGCTCAGCCTGTCGCACTGGGCCTTGCTCTCGTGCAGCGTTAGGGCGAGGACTGCGTTGCTCGCCCGAGCGTGCTCGAGCCGGCTGTTGAGTCGCTCTGTCTCGACCTCGAATTGCTCCTCAGAGCCGTTCAGCTCCCTGAGACTCGACTGGTCTAGCAGGTCGGACACCAGGTGTTCCGCCACCATGGTCGAGCAGACCTGGGGACAGGTAAACGGGTCAGCACCACCATCCAACCGTTCCTTCAGCTACACCTACCCCGAGACTGGCGATGTCCGGCCCCGTGATGTGCCTCTCGTCGGTGCGTCGCAGCCGCACCCGCTCGGCCATCTTGGGGATGGGAGTTTCCTCTCTCGTGAGGACAACCTTGCCGAGAGCGGGCGGCAACGGCTCGGGCGAGGCCGCTCCGGTCGGCGGTCTAGGGGTTCGGGGACGCGCCGGCGACAGCTCTTCGCAGCGGCTACTGTCCACATCTTCGAGAGTTTCGTCGGCGTCGGCGTCGGCGTCGGCCTCTCCATCGGCGTCGGTATTGACATCGGCGTCCCCGTCGGCATCGACGTCGAGCTCGGCGTTCCCGTCCGCATCCGCATCCACATCGGCGTCCGCGTCAACATCCGCCCTAGCTGCATCGCTGCTCTCGACGGGGTTAGTCGTCGAGTCTTCCGGCTCCTCAGCGATCTCCGCGTCTCTGCTGGTCTCGACCTCTAAAACGTGAGACCGCGGTTGGATCTTTGCGTCGATTGGGACGGAAGCCGAGCGACCTACCGGACTCGTCCTCTTCGGCGATGACGGTGGCGCGGTGACGCTCGAGCTGCCGACCCAGCTCGGCGATGACGGAGTGGAGCTCGGTGAGCCGCTCCTCGTGCCGGGCGGCCTGCTGCTCCGCCCGCACTCTCGCCCTCTGTTCCGCTCGCTGCTCAGCACGCTGCTCCGCCCGCGCCAGCTGACCCTCCGCCCGCGCCAGGGCGGCTTCAGCGGCCTCGCGGGCTCTTGTCGCCGCTGCTAGCCGCGAGTTCAGCTCCGCCACTTCCGAGCGCAGCGAGGAGAGCGCCGCAGCATGCAGCTGCGAGACGAAAAGGATTCGGTCAGGCTCTGGAACCGGGCAAAGCAGGTGGTGAAGCGATACCTTGTTCGCCAGGTCCAGCATGCTTCCGGTGCCGCCGGCTGCGGCCTCCACCAGCTTCTGCAGGGCATGCGGTTCCGGGGAGAGGTCGCGAGCTCCGCTGTCGAACTCCCAGCTTTCGTGCCGACCCGACACCGTTCCTAGAACCACCCATGTTACTTGTCAATTGATGCCACTCGATGGCCTCGGAGCTGGGTCAGAAAAGGACGTTTCTTCTGACTAATCGTTATCTCGGATGGTACTCACCGAGGCTGTTGTCGCTGCTGGTGGGCAGGTATTCCGGTGTATGGGTGTGCGAGCCGTTCCTACGTTTACCGGATCGGAGCGCCTCGATTTCGGGCCTGAGAGCTAATCTCCTTCTGAGAAATTCCTGGTAGGAAATGCGCCCATGCTCATCAGCTCCCAGTTCTCTCATGAGCTCCTCGACCGAATTCTCCAGATTGAGCTCTCTGCATACCGTCAGCAGGTCCTGGCTATGGTGACAGATGAAGTTATCTAATGTTGTCCATCATTCCTTGATCCGATCGTCGTTTCGATGTCGGCTTACCTATCGATGAAGCCATCTCCGTCTCCGTCACATGCTTGAAATAACTTCCGGACCCGTTCCTCGTCACAGATGGACCCTGCCTCGCTTTCGACGTCAGCAGTTTGAGACATTCTCACTTAACTTTGCTCTCATCCATTGGAACGAATACTTGGAGATCCAGTGGTCTCCTTTCACCACGGTTTATACCTCATGTGTCACAGCGGCGTTAATTGCTCTCTATCATGGAATAATTGCTATGCGATTTTGATAAAGAACATACAAATATCGTGCCTGTACCATGTAGGGTATCAATTTGGATAATGTACTAAAAGATAAGCTGTGCTCAAATTTATCGTGGAGGGAAAGAAGCACCTGTGGAAGTTTCTACCAATGTACATATAAATTGATTTGGACCGGTATATCAAAGAAACGTATCGGTGCTCTTATCGCGTATCGTTCGCTTGACGTCCGTCAATGTAATCATCGGCAGTCACTGATCCTAACCTCAAAAGGAACCAATGGCGAAAACTCATCCTGAGGAATCTAGCGTTGCCTAGCGGCAATTCATGGAAAGCAATTCACGCAAAACCAATAAAAACGGATAAACTATCGATCCCGCTTCGGAGTCATAAGACTCTTTGACAAGACTCGAGTCTCCCTTGCAGTGCAGAAGACTCAGAACGGTCCTACCTCGCTCTTTCACCCTTTCGGAATTTTCACCGGCGCCGCGTTTGACCGCGTTCAATGACATCGAATACGACAGACACCGACGGCCACGGTAACAACTGGTAACGACGAGCAAACACTTACGAACTACCCGCACTTGAAACGAGTTCTCGAAAGTATATACTAAGCCCGACGCGCACCCGTAAACAAAGCTGTGAAAAAACCGAAGCTAAGCCCGATTTTAGGCGACGCGTCACGGACGATTATGAAATCTGATGCATTTATGATTTCGGTCATGTGACTAAAATCACGACGCTGCTTCTTCAAACTGCTCAAACTTGAAAGCATCTCCCCTCAAATTTACTTTGATATTTTGATTATTTCTTAATCGCTATATATACTTCTTATGTATGTACACACTTCTATATATATAATTAGAAGTTGCGAAAATAGGGCAAGGTTAAATATCCACCTGAGCAATCAGGTCTTTACAGTCGTAATTGTCTGTACTTATCGACTTTAAAGAACCTAAGATCGACCGGTAAGTCGATTGCGCGTCAAGTGACGTCACTTTGTAGGTTAGGTGTGGCCTAAAAATGAATTGATGAGAACCAGCAAGACGTAAGCTCGCGATTAAGACTGAGTTTTTGAATCTTCTGTCAGCTTCTGTCAAGGTGTCAAAAAAAAAACGATGGGACTTTTCGGAAAGTCTCCGGAGAGGAACCCCAAGGAAATGGTTGGAACAAAACATGGAGGTGTGTATTTGACTTTTTGGGATATAAATTAAAGGGTTTCCAATTGTAGGTACAAGAATGGACGCACAAATTAAGGAAAGAAGGTTATCAACTTGACAGACAAGTTAGAGGTGAGTCACGAGTTGAGCTTAAAAGGTCTTTACGAAAAGAATATGTCTCATTTGCATCTTGTGGCTACTTCTGTTGAGTTGTTGCGTTTGAAATAGGTATTTTGCCTATTTTTATGGCGACATCGATTCAAAGATGAATACTAATAATTCTTAAAGTCAAAACTTACGGTTCCAAGTGGTGATAAAATAATTTGGAAATGATTTCATAGTTCATACACTTAAAGATGCAAATGATCATAATTCTTGAAAAACGGACCAAAAGAAAAAGTCTTTCTCCAAACTGCATGTGCAGCGATTCAACGGGAGGAAGAAAAGGTTAAACGTTCTTTGAAAGAAGCTGCTAAAAAGGGAGACAAAGATGTGTGTAAAATTCTTGCAAAGGAGATTATACGCGCTCGCAAGGCATGCAATAAGATATACACGTCAAAGGCTCACTTGAATTCGGTTTCCTTACAAATGAAGAATCAGCTAGCGACGATAAGGGTAGCAGGATCAGTTTCCAAGTCCACCGAGGTAATGCAAGCGATGCAATCGCTGGTACGAGTACCAGAGGTTGCTGCAACTATGAGAGAACTTTCTAAAGAAATGATGAAAGCAGGAATCATTGAGGAAATGCTCGATGAGACAATGGATGCGATGGAAGACTCTGAAGAGATCGAAGATGAAGCCGACGAGGAAGTCGATAAGGTACCATGTATCCCTGGAATATAGAAAATGCACATAAGTTATTTTATATTTGGAAATTCGTCAAATCATCTAAAAGTTATTTATTTCCATACAGATTCTGTGGGAGTTAACGGCGGGACAATTGGGAACGGCACCAGCTGTTGTAACAGAAGTTCCAGGATCGGTTGCATCAACTTCTAAAGAGGAAGAAGTTGAAGAAGTAGACGATAAAGAGCTAGAAGAAATGAAGAGTAGATTACAAAGCCTTCGCAGTTAATTTTCAACAATAGTGATTAATTTATTTTTTGCCCCCTCACAACTTTGTACGCCTGCTGTTTAATTCACATCATTGATCGAGGTGTGTAAAGTGTATTGCTAAAAACTGTGGACGAGTTGGCTGCATTGATGAATACTGTAACTCAAATAACAGAAATGCACATTCACGTTGTTTGGAAATTTTCACTATTTACCTGGTCTGGTTGGAAAGCTGAGGAAAAAAGTCATATATGCAGAAGTACGTGCAAAAGTAAGAAAATACATATTGCACTCGATGTTCCAAAAGAACACGATTAAAAGGATCCTGGTGTTTCCTTTTTTGGACTCATCGAAGCGCGATTAAAGATTAAGTATTATATATTTTTTCTATTACCTTATTGCGAAACATGGAAGCTGGCTTCGATTTTACACTTACTAATGTAACGAGTCTTAGATTGTTATTGCTGATGTCAATAGTAAATACATTTTCTTGTGTTAAAATAAAGTGAAAGTTCTACGATATGAAATGTGCTTATAATTTTCAAATCTCATGTGGAATTATGGTCACATTTTCCTTTTGATCTAGATAAAGTTAAATTTTCGTTCCTGTACAACTGCACTTTCAAAATGGGTTACGGTGGGTGTTTAAAGGAATCATTTAATTCCTTAGCCGAAATAGTTGCATCCTATTTGTGAGGAAAAAAAGATAACCATGGTCACGATGAAAACGGCGTTGAAAATAATCCGTTATGGAACAGTACTTGACTTATATATTTTACACGAACTCTGAATGTACAATAAATCTGCGCGCACCCATTCTTAAAAGAAAGTGCTAATAAAACTTACTATCTCTATGGTGTATAAATGTAATGTAAATATTTGTACATGTATGTTTATGTACACACTGGAAGTGCAGTTTGCATGAACGATCCATTGTAAAAGGTTAATTAGACCAAACCGAAAGCACACGTCCAAGCTTCCAATTTCCAAATGCAAAATTTACGAGGAAAATAACGAACATTAAAATGTCGCGATCACTCTGCCTTGAAGAGAAAAGAATCTCCGCAATTGAGATTAGAATAAGTACAAATAATTACCACGAAATTATGCGTCGAAGATAAATTTGTGACCGAGATATGTCGCGCAAAAGAAACAAGTGACACTGCAAGAAATATCCCTGGCATCTTGAAATATTTATAATTGAAAATATTCGCATCGGTGGTCAAATTTCTAATGTTTATACACCTCTTGGGATTGTCGTACCACAATCCTTAGAATAAAGAAAATAATTTCTTCTGGTCTTGAGAGCTTAATGATAACATTGTACAATTCAGTCTGATCGAATCCTCAGTAAAACCAATGAATCACCATTTGAAAGGACGTTACATCCTTTCTGACTTAATCGGTTTGAAGAAGTTAGGGAGAGAGAGTCTATAATTTGTCAATAACCATATTAACGATGGACAACTTGAGCTGTGCTCGAGCTTTTCTTGGAAGCTTGTGCATCTGTGGCTTGATCTTCTGCAAAAAATACTTGAGTTCACTCCTAATAGGCATTATAGTTCTCCTCGTTCTCCCAGTCATCCGACTGCGCCTCCTCGACCGTTTTAAAGGTGGCTTCTCGTCCTCAAGGGATTCTTCATAGAAGCGTTCCTTCTTTATGTGCATCGAGTCGTCTTCCATGATCTCCAGGGAATGCGGCAGTATCACCTCTCCCTGTACGTTTGCGTCCTCGGAGTTGTCTTCACCAGCATTGGAGTCCGGAGAGAAGGACAACAGCTCCGACAGGTCCTGCTCCGGGGAGCGAACAATTGTCTTTCCTTGACTTGCCTCCGAAATGACTTGGCCATTCTTCATTCCCGTTCCTTCAACCCCTGCATGAGATAAATTTTCTCTCCTGGTGTGATGATTTTGGCCTTTACCCAATTGGGTGTTCTTCTGATCCGGAAGATTAATCTTGATTAGTAATCCAGGTGGAATGCTCGAGAGGCTGTGCACAGGAATCGGAGCACCCAGATTGGATATGTTTCCAGTAAATGGCAAAATAACCTTTTTCCCGTCAGCGGTGATGTTCGAAGAAATATTAGAAGTGATATTGTTCGACAAGGTGATGGGCTGGAATTGGTTGGAAATCAATTTCCAGTTAGCCGCAGGTGGGAGTGGCAACTTCCTGACCACTCGATTCTCGATATTGTTCGGATCCGGCCTCGGAACGATGATCGACGTTGGCCTTCGCGACTTGCCTCGCTTTTTGGCCAGAGGTGCCGGCTTGTTGTCCATCTTTGGTTTCTTACTGGACACCAATGGCCTAGTAAGCATTTGCTTCTTCCCGGGCCTCATCGATCCTGGGGATGCCGACTCCTCAATTGTCTCCTGCTCCGCTTCCACCTGCTCGGTCGCGTCGCAAGGCTCTAGCTCGGAAACGTCCTTTATCGTGGGGACGGCGTCGCAGGGTCCTTCTTTGTGAAACCTTTGACCCGTTTGAAAATGCTTTGAACACAAGACCAACTTTCTTATTTGATTTGGTGACATCTTCAACAAGTCTTCCCTGCCGAGGAACTGGCACCATCTCAGGCACCGTCCAATCTCGTAAGCGGGGAATGGATGGAACTTGTACCGTTCTACTTTGTTTCTCGGGTCCGATCTAGATCTTCCGCATGCGGCGCAGGCTTGACTTTCCAGAACCGCAAGAGGCAATGGCTCCAATTTTCTTCCCTTCTCCAGCGTAGTGAAGAGTTTGGGTTCCGGTACCAATTCCATTATGAATGGTTCTGTTTCATCCAGTTGATCTGGAAATCGAATGTTCGGTACTGCTGTGTCGACCAGTCTACTTCTGTAACCTCTCATAAATTGAGAACGGTCAAAGTGTTTCGAGCAAATGTAACAAAATAATATTTCCTTTCTGGTAAGCCGGTAATACGAATCGACGCCAACAAAGTCCAGCCACTTTAAACAACGGAACTCTTCTCCAGGAAAATGATGAAACGTAGCTCCATCATAGTCTAAATTGGGTGGATCTCGACGAAATCTGCCACACAGAACGCACGTTATATTGTACAGACTTTGTTTTGGATCATAAATCGACGGTACCGCTGTGCAATTGAGCCTATCGAAATATTCATTAAGAAAGTCTCTTTGCTCAAAGTGTTTTGAGCACACCATACGTTGCAAGAGCTGCTTCTTTGTGAGTTTATACAAATCCTCTCTACAGCAAAACTCCAACCATTTCCTGCAGCGTGCTTCGTCATTCACAGGAAAGCCAAAAAACATATATTCTTCTTCCCGATTATTTGGATTCATTCGAGACCGTCCGCAAACCACGCAAGGGTGAGGCATATTTGCTGAATGATTAAACTCATGTATGTACATTAAGGGTAGAACATGTTTGTCCAAGTACAATTAAGGTTAGCTCGACATTGCGATACCTTTGCTAATATTGCTCTTGCTCCCTTTTACTTCTTTGAACATTTAAAGGAGGATTGTCACAATGCACTTTTAAAATGGAATTTTTTTCTTGGCAGTCCAAATTGAGTAATTTACGGAAAGATTTATCTGTCCTTACAACAACCATGGACATTGTCACCATTAAAATAGTATCACTCTAGCCATTCATGAGTAAGAAATGTTTCTTTTCTTGGCTCATTAATCAATCCTTTTTACTCATAATTAACATACTCCGAATTGGTCGAAGTGTTTAGAAATAATCATCCAAGGTTATGTTCGAAAGAAAACGTCAAGGATGTAAAAGTCACCGATAAAACTCCGATGCTGGGCGGTTTCGTTAAGTCTTCAGACGCATAATAACAAAACAGACGCCACTCCGTTGACGTATTCTCCTATTTACAAGTTATCTTGCTTTTTTAAACACACGGGACCCCATTTTAGCAATTGCATTTACGAGTGGCCAGCGGGTAGGTTATGTTCAAGTTGTAGCGTCCTCGATCTAATCTCGGCAAACACATTTCCGTCTGCGTCCGCCAGGGGTCGCATAGGACGCGATTGCGCGATCTGCCCGTGAGCAATCTTCCAACTCAACTTTGTATCTAACCAAACCTATAAACGTCATTGATAATGATTACCAGATGTCAAATTCTACATTGATTTTACTTTCCAATTAATTCCTAGGAAGCAATATTGAAATTATAAAATAATAAAAATGGGAGAAACTTCTGGAAATCCGTATGATATAAACGGGCCACATTTTAATCCCGATATGTACCTACAAAGAATGTTAAAGGTAAAGGTGTATTATCACTGTTCACCACTCTCTCCTAATGGAAACTAAATATGCGTATTTAATTATTGGTTTTCATAATCAATCAAATCTAAGTTTATTCAAAAAATAAATAACCTCGTACTGTCACATTCCTAGGAATGTAGCTTAAAGCAGATCATGGATAATGAAGCAGAAATTGTGAGAAATACCCAAATTTTACATTCCGACATGCAAACCTTGGTATACGAAAATTACAACAAATTTATATCAGCCACCGATACTATTAGAAAGGTATTTTCAATGAACCGCTAAATACGATTCTTTTGTGGGTACAAGTACAAAGGTGTTCTAAAGAAATACTTGAATGGTTGATCTAGATGAAAAGCGACTTTAAGGAAATGGAGGAAAGCATGGATTTACTATCAACTAATATGGATAGTATCACTTCTTTCTCTGAACAAATCTCATCGACTTTACAAGGAACACGACAGCATATAGCCAGATTGTCGTCGGTTCATGCTTTGTTGAAAAAGCTACAATTCCTTTTTAAATTACCAAGCAATTTAAAAGATAAAATGAAAGAAGGGAATTACGCTCAGGTACAGTCATTCATTGAATTAAGAAAAACTTGGAAAAACTGTATACATACGTTCTCATACATTTCTAGGCAGTTCAAGATTATATTCATGCACAACGTGTATTGAATCAATATGGTAATATGCCATCGTTTCAAGGAATCCAAAAGGACTGTGAAGAAATAGTAGAAGAATTAAAAGCGGATTTACGAACGCAATTCCATAAGCGTGATGCTTCAACGAAATCATTGGCTCAAAGCGTTGATCTTTTACTTCAATTGAAAGAGCCACCCGATTCCCTATGTGCGGAATTTCTCATGCATGCAGATAACCGACTCGCCGAACAACTGGACACCCTTAAGAACATGGGCGAAAATGACATAATAGAATTTGTCGATATGGCAAGCTCGGGATACCTTAACGATCTCTGTCTCGTCGTTGCTTCGTACAACGACATGTTTGTGAATAGAGCTCCTTTAGACGATTCGGAATTCAGTGACGATTTCGATACCAAAGCTATTGCGCGCCTTAATGCCTTCATTTTAGGCAACATGAAGAAATATTTTGAGCTTGTAGGAAAAAGAGTGGAAGACGTCGCGGACACGGCGATACTCGTTAGAGCACTAGACAGGTTCCATCGAAGACTACAGGCTATGAACATGCTTTGCAGCGAGACCGACTTTGCTAGGTAGGGTGCTGTTGGCATTCATAAAAAAAACAGTTTCCAAAGAGAAAAATGTCTTCTGAATTTTAATGACCTAATGGGTAGCAACACTATCGGTACAAGGGAAAGATTGGATCGAAGTGTCTGCAACGAGTACGAAGAAGCTAAGTGTAATTTGATTACAGAATAGGAACCGATATCGTTATAAGTGCTGGAAGGAAACAATGTCGAAATCATTTGCATTCTCTAAAACAACATCTTGGCGAATCACTAGCTGGAGTTAGACAGACTTTGGCAACGACAGTAGCTACAAATGTGGACAGCGGGTTGGCGGAACACCTATCGTCACTTGTGGTACCGACGATTGAAAAATTAAAGGGTGTCCTGCAGGATCTATTGGTTAGTAAGATTTCATAAGTCTGCCAGCTTAAAAAGTGCAAGATATTGATGAGCAACGTGTCACACGTAACAGGTGTTCCTACAACCCGACTTATCGTTCAGCTTGAAGCCTCGATTCCAACAAATCTTCTGTGTCGACGAAGTCAGAGAAGGTTTGATCATTGGGTTCCTGCATCATCTGACAGCCATTGCAAGCGGTTTCTGCACAGGGTCGGACATTCCAAAATTTCCGCCAACCCTGCTTTTACTCCTAAGCAAAATGTGCCTGGAATTTAAAGACGGTAGCGTCCGCTACTTAGTAAGCCACACATTATCATCACTGTGGGTTACGGGGACATTTTCTGCCGTATTAAAATTAAGCATTTTCACGTTTCCGCAGCTCGCAACGACGGACGAGTTGTTCAACATCGAACAGCACTCTTCCTCCGTGAACGTAATCACAACCGAATCGGAAATGTGCGAAAACTTTGAAAAAGCAGCGCAAAGCCTGTTAAACCACTACGTTCGATTGCAAGGTTTGTCCGTATCTCAAATGTTAAAAAAATCCGTGGAGACCCGCGATTGGTTGCACACGATCGAGCCTAGGACCGTCAGGGCCGTGATGAAAAGAGTCGTCGAAGACATTTCGGCCGTCGAATCGCAGGTGGCCTCTTTGTACGACGACGGAGATGGTCAGATGGACCGGAGTAGCGACAGTAGTCGTAAGACGCACAGGTAACTATCTTGCCGCGGCCGTCAACATCGAAATGTTGAAACATTTCATGATTTTCAGCGTCAGCGTGTCCAGACATCACTACAGGTCAAACTGGTCCTCTTACACTCCGAGCCATCTGGACTCATCTCTGGTGACGAACATTCATAAATTGTTCTCCGAACGTATCGAAATCTTTTCCTCGGTACAATTCAACAAAGCCTCTATTTTAACCGGCATCATTAAGATCAGTCTCAAGGTAATTCATGAGCTATACATGCTCTATTTTGCAGGGATGCAAATCATGGGACGACTGGATCAAGGTAATGCGAAAGTGGCGACGAAGAGGTCTCGTTTTTGATACTCTCCTCCGAACAGGATTAACCGAATCGCTTAAAACTTGACAATGTGACATGGAGGCTATAAGGAAGATCCTTGAGGAGTTTGAAAGAATTCGGTACAACCAGTTCGCAGAAAAGTTTCATGAACGGATGGCACTTTCACATTCCCTTAAGTCGCGATTCGGTCTTCCCGTCGTCTTTTTCGAGTTGAGTCTTTAAGCCCTGCCGAAGGTGTTTCCAAGAGGAGAGCACGCGAGAGACGTGAAACTTTTAGCGGGCACGGTACGGAGTAACGGGTGCAGGTGGTGCATAGCGGGCACAATGACAAAATAACGCGATCATTATCCAATTTACATTGGGAGGAGGACGCGTCACTCGTCCCGCGTCCGCACGCGGGAACGCGTTGCGGTCCTCCCGCTCCTCTCTCGCCGGAGCAACTCCACGAAACTCCCTAAACCGATCTCTTTCCACGTTTCAGACCTTCCTGGAGTGCGTAAGGCTGCGCACTTTCAGTAAATTCGGATTGCAACAGATCCAAGTGGACACGCACTATCTACAGCTGTATCTCTGGAGATTCGTCACCGACGAGAAGTACGACATTTAACGCGGAATTTTTTACCCTGCGGTTAAGGGGATGGGAAAGTGACATTCGAAACTCCGAACCGAGGGCACCTAATCGTTTCGAGCCTTACAACGTGAACATGGAGACCACGAGGAAGATCCTGACCCTCGTAAAAATTCACTTTTTATAAGTATCGGGACCTTCCTTACAGCCTCCGTATTCACGTGGTAAGGTTGAAACGATTCGGAGAAGTTTCATAAACGAGAGCTCTTTGACGCGACTTTCGCATCACCTTACATCCGAGACGAGTTCAATTCGCGGAATCCGACAATCGACTTCCGTCGAACCGGTAGAACAAGCGAGTCGTTATATCGCTATCCCGCCCTCGCTTCTAGAGTACATATCGTCGAAATAACGCTCGGTAACTACCCAGGAGTGATCTCACGACCATCGTCCTGATTCTTCCAGTTTGGTGCACTTTCTGCTGGACGAAATCCTGGGCAGCGCGGTGCACAGATGTTTGGAGCCCGTCCTGATGGAGCCGAGCGTGGTCGATATTATCTGCGAGAGCAACAAGTAACGGTAATACCTGTATCGTTATCGGAGGATCCTCGTCCCCCCGCTACAGCGAGTGATAACGGAGGAGAGCGAGTTTGAGAGCTGGAGTGAAATAAAGTGGAATTAAAGGAAACTGGACGTTTCGAGGAGGGGGACCGGGGGACCGGGGGACCGGGGGACCGGGGGACCGGGGGACCGTGGGAATGTGGAAGAGGGTGGAGGGGCGGAAGGAAGACGTCCCGAAGATCTTGCGTCTCCTCGTCTCCGGGTTCTCTCCCCGCGACGAGTCGAAATAAACGCCTGGTAGCGGCATCGCGGGGTCAAACGATTTTAATAAGTTACTTAACTCGGCGAGACGCGTGCCGAAGTTTGACGCTCCCTTACCTAGGTCCGGATCGTCTCTCCTCCGGGGGTATGGCCGACCGAACCGAACCCGGGACCCTCTGCCCTCGGCGATGCGGTGGCTCGACTTAATTTCGACTTCCTCCCGTTGTATGAGATTCATTCGGCGAGTATCCGGCCGAGCGAGCCTACGCACCGCATTCTACCCAATTTAATAAACTCTCCTAAACGACTCCCGCGGAGCCGGGCACCCGCGCTCCGCCTCCTTCCCACCTGAAACCCCGGGACAAAGTTCCCAGTGGAGGAGACCCTCGAGGGAAACTCGGCGGGGGAGAAGAAATGGCCCGCATGGGAAAATTCTACCCGAACCGAGGGCCGAGGGAGAAGGATCGAATATTGGTTCACAAAGCCGAGCTCGGCAGGGATGTCCGAAACCCCGAGTCCGGGCTAAGGGCTTATAATTCCAGGGTTTAACCAGAGGCGCCAGTTGCCGTCCCGAGAGGAGAGAGCGGAAGGGAAGGTCGGAAGTTCACCTCGGGGCGAGGTGAACTCGCCTCGCGGAAACGCAACCGCGACGGAATCCCGGAGGTGAGAAAGGGGCGACAGGGGGTACCGGGTAGGGCAACGGTACGCGGCCGCGTCCGGCACTGATTTCAATTGGCAAATTGACTCGGAGCTCGGAGTGCCGCCGGGACGAGCGGCGAGAAAGAAAGGACGGCCCGAAGAGAGAGCGACGTCGGGACCGAGCGGGCCCAGCCCCCGGAGGAGCGGTGTTCGCCGTTAATAGGCACTGAACGCCGGTTGAATGCTTAATGCACCGCGCTTCTAGGATTAAATTGACCAATCGTTTCCCGCGCGGCAAAGAGCGGCCAATTACGGCCCTCGCCGGACTATATTAAGCCAATCAAGGCTAGTTTATCGCTCAGTCGAGGATCTGGCGGCGACTCGCGCGCCCGCCCCTCCGCGCTCCGCCGACCGCCGAGGACCGCCGAGGACCGCCGCACGACCGCCGCACGACCGCCGAACGACCGCCAAACGATCGGTCCCGACACGTTTCCGGCCTCGCTCGGCAATCTCCGTCGTCCAAGAAGCTCGAGACTTCCCCTCGACGCCGACTTATCGCCGGTGGCTTCTTGACCCCGGCCACTCGTCCTCTCCGCCGATAACCGAGCGGATCGTTATTGTTCGCCGATGGTGGAGTGCGCGGCCGTGAGTCACGTTCGAACGACGCTCCTGCCCGTCGATTCCCGTTGGTGAACGATGACGAGCCGCGACTCTTGAACGTAAAAAGGGCCACCTAGGTCCGTCTTCCCGGGCGACGCGGGTAGCGTCTCGGCGTGCGGCTCGGAGGATGAATGCGGCGTTTCATCTTCGACCGTGTTTGCGCGTGTTGGCGCGTCCCCCATTGGCGTAGCGATCAACGATCTCCTTGTCCCTCTTCCGCCCCTCCGAGGAGGTCCGAAGAACGAGGCTCTCTTCTCTCGGCGCGTCTCTCGGCGCGTCTGGGCGCAATCGATGGCTCCGCCGAGTCGCTCCGCTCGATTCAACTCGATTCAACTCGATTCCAGGATCCCAGGAGACGATCACGGCAAGTCCTCTGGCCGGCACCGCCCGTGACCACGGTCTGTGGAAATATACATAGATTAGATTATGCCGGTGGCAATCGATCGTTCATCTTTTCCTCTCTTTGCAGATCCGAATTTCGGCCGCGGGCCGAAATGGTTTTTACCCGCCCCGCTCGTCCTATCTCATCGTTTTACAGGGCCGCGACTTACGCATCGAGCTCTCTACCCGCACTTCCCGCTCGGAGGAAACGAGTCGACAATCCTGTCCTGTTCATAAGTACTAGTGCCGCAGGAGTGACTAGGCTGCACTAGAAATGACAGGGTCTCCTGCTGCTCAAGTGCTTATCAATGGGTCGGGACGCACACCGCAACGCACGCCGCAACGCACGCCGCAACGCACGCCGCATTGCCTCCCGAACCTGTAACTGTAAATCGTTTCGAATAAACTTGTAATCAGACACGAGACAGGCTTTGTTATTCCTAGACGGGTAATAGGGATGCCGGATAACGACCGAGCGTCAACGTTCTCGCAAAAACGAAGACGCCTCGAGAGCCTAATGGAACGGAAGACGGTTAACCGTGCGGAAACCGTTTGTAAAACGGAGGAAAAAAGAGGCGGTTGGAGGAGCTGGGATTTGAACCCAGGACTTTCAGCATGCGAAGCAGACACTCTACCACTGAGTTACACCCCCGGTTGATGCACCGTCGCGATTAATTCTACTCTCTGAGCCGTGGAGCAATTTTTTAATAAACCTTCGTTCCGCAGTGACGATTTACGTTATCCGGATCGGCGTCGGACTCGCGTCGACGGGTCAAAGTAATGCCCTTTTTAAATAAAAACCAACGCGAACCGGATTGAGAAAAGGAGGCATTTTTTTCAGGATTTGGCTTCTATTTGTAGGATTCTCGATATTCGTAGCGAATGACTCCTTTCGGTGATTTAATCGAGAAACCGAGAGGACGACCCGGCGACGCCGCGTTGGTGGGTCTAGACTCGCTCCTCCGGAAATTGTCTTTGTGATAAGATTCGTGCATTCCAAAGCGATATTATTTAATGATATTTCTTCGGGTACATCGTTCGCACAGTCGACGGTCGATCCGATATCTCGTTTACGGTCTGGTCGAACGACCAAAGGAGAAATTCCTTGCAAGGCGACGACCGATCGCCCCTGACGCCGTTTCCTCCTCGAAGAGTACACGGTCCTCGGAAGAAACCATCGAATCAGAAATTTAATGAAAAAAAAGATAAAGGAATAAAATCGTACGTTCGACTCGATCGCATCTTCGAGGGTTTACGGCAACGAGAGCGCTTATACGCGACCCTTAAACTTGATTGAATAGTTTCACCTGGCGTCGACAAATGTCGCTTTATGGGGGGCGAAGCGCTGGTCATTGAGGATAGGAAGCCAGGTGTGACAGCGTTGCTATAAAAAACATGGTACATAATTTATTACTCTTCATACTCGTCTAAAATCATAGTCATATCTTCCCAGCATTCTTCCGCATCTCACTCGCATACACTCGCACTCAAGCATTTGGCAGGCAAGAACCTAGGGGAATCCTAACCCGCGAGGGGAGTGGAGTCACTACGACGTCATCATATCACTGACAGAGTTTGCGGACGTGTTAGGTCCCTTCAATGAATCGTTTATGTCTCTCCTGAACATAGACAAGTTTTGTGTAAACCTGAAATTAAAAAAACATTTCCCACTGTCGTTAAAAGAAACTTGGAAAATCGGACTAATCCTACCCGGCAATCGATCCGCAGAGTGGAGCTTAATTAACTCGGCGCGTAATTAACGAAATATAGAAAGGAGGACGTTTGCAGTTACCTGTCTCGATTTTTCGTCAGCAAGTTCCTCTCTATGCCGTTCATTAGATTCTCAAACCACTGGGCCATCGCTGCCTGCTTGTCCACCGATTGACTTCTGATAATATTCTCTCTTAACTGATTGAAGTACTGAAATGACAATGGAAATGTTGTAACGTCGTAACGATCTTACGATCCCGGTCTTCCGGTAGAGGAAGGTCGTCCGGTGTTAAATAAATGATCCAGTAAACTGGTCACCTCTTCGTTCAGCAGTATTAGGCCCAATAGTGGCCTAGACATGCTCCATTGGTTCCTACAATCTTCAAACATTATCATATTTAACACAGTGCTCAATATTTGCTGAAGTATCTCGGGATGCTGCTTCAGGACTTGCAAAAATAATTCTCCCCCTCCTGGTACCGCGGCATTTTTCTTTCCTGGAAAAACTCCGGCTGCGCCCGGTAGAACGTTGACGTTTAGACAAACAATGCCAGTATTTCGCATCCATGAGGAAATCCGGCATAACCGGATTATCCGAGAGATCTCCTTTCCTTTATTCTCTTTCCCTTTAGTCCTAGCTGCATCGCATATCACTCACCTTTCTGGTACAGCTGTTTGAACAGATACGTCACGATGTGATCTAACGTCGCGCAACAGCCATTGCAAACCATCGTGTCTGAAACAAACACCGTTTCTCCTCTGTTACTAATAATTTAGTAATGTATCGGCTGTGCGGTTGAGTACAAATTTTCATTTTTTATAAAAAATGTAAAACGGGTCTATAAACAAATTTTCAAAAATTGGAAATTTCATGAGTGTCAGGACCGTCCTTCCTCCCTTAGGAAAGTAAGCGATAAGGTAGAATCAGCCGCACAGACCCGTGTAGAAATTCTTTTAGCGCACCTAGTGCTGTAAGGCCGTCGCTGATGCTCGACAGGATGTACAAGAAAACTCTGGGCTCTAACGTGGACAGAAAAGCCATGTGATCCTGTGCCAAGCACTCCAGTAACAAATAGTACGTTGCCGACAGCTTCGGATAATCCTGGGAAAAAGGAAAAAAATATATAAAATGAAAATACGCAGCAAAAATGGTGGATGCGAGAAGGAGATCAGGACGGCGGGGTATACTTGCCAATAAGTCACTTTGCGGTATGCTCAGAAGCAATTTGACGAAAGTGTTGAGCGCATTGTCCAAGGCCTCGTCTCCGTATAACCTAAATACTCCGAAGTTAACATAACTCCCGCATAATGCCGCCTTTAACATACTAAAGCATATGCTTATTCCCTTGTGCTTCAAAGGATAAATTTGGTCCTTGGGCACTTCGACGTTCAATATATGATTACCGTAACTACAGATAACTTTACTTGCTTCGCGGAAAAGTAAGATCCCATTTGGCGAGGATACGTCGAATTGTAAACGTTGGCTTCGGTTTTGTACTAACTCGGCAAATAGCTTTAGGACGGGCGTAGTTACTTGTGGCTCGTGATGCCACAGTTCTACGGCGTGCAGTAAGATCGGAGTGTAGTTCGGATATCTGGGGACCGAGTTAAGTCAAATTCCCTAAACAATGAACGATTGACTCCACTAAGTGTACGCGAACGTTTCCAAAGGATACATCCAGTCGAACAGCATCATGTACGACGATTTGTTGTTGAAAGCGTATGCTAATCCTCGAAGATCCCTTGCGAGACCTATCAATGCCTTTTTTGCCTCCTCCGCCGCAAACATCGGCGTATCCGCCGCACCCATTAACTGGCCTAGGCTCTCCAGTGCGGCTAAAATAGAGGAAATGGTCCTGTTTGAAATCGAACTACCGAACGATGAGGACAAACATTTAATTGCCACTCAAGAACATCGTACCTGTCAACGGTAACATGAAGGTGTGAAACCTCTCCTCGTCCTCGCCCAAATCCACCATTAACAATCTGCCCAGCGACGTGTAGAACATCGACCGGCATCTCATTTCCGTCACGGCCACGCTGTTTCCCAAAAACGGGAAGTGTTCGCTCTAAAATCGACAAAGGAACAGGGCGAAGAGTTAGCTCGAGTTCAAGGGCTTATCTAGAAGAATCCAATCGATGGGATCGGTCCTATACGTACGGTGTGATTGTTCAACATGAACTGTACTTCCTCCAACTTGACGAGTTTCCGCACGCAGCTGTAACCTACGGATAGGTCGTTGAGGAGTTGCAACGTCTTGGAGATGATTTGTTCGCTCCGGCCCCAATATTTCAAATTGGTTATTCTGTAACAAGGGCGTCGAATCAATTAGCGGGTCGAAAGGGGGCAAGAATCACTACGAAAGAGACGTGAGAAACCGCTTTGACCAACATTTTCCTGATAAATACACTGAGGACCATGGCCTCGTCGCTGAGGCCCAGGACGTCCGACAATCTTCTGTAGACCTTGGAATTCTTTTGAACTTGGTCGCCGACGTAGATTTTCCGGAATTGTTCGAAGAAACTGAGCATCGCCAATTCCAGCTTCTCGCAGCCGCCCTGGGCAAGCCGTGAATCCGTCAGGTTCATCAGCTGCAAGACTCTACAGAGTAACTCCCCATCCATCGCGTCGTGTTCCTCGATGGTATTGAAAGATACTCTGCCACCGATCGCGCTACCTGGGGACATTAAGGAAAGCACCGTCGTCAAAGGGGAAACCGACGAGCCGGGTCGAACCTACCGATGATGTAGACCAGCCACGTCAGCTGGCCTTCCTGTATCGTGATGTCCATCTGCTGGGTAGGCGAGGCGGTTTGCGCCATTAACTCCTGATAGGTCGTGGCAGCCTGGTCGAACAGCTGCACCAACAGGGTGCAAGTTTTTTGGTACTCGCATCTACCGATCACAGATAACTGTTCCAGTTGCTGCTGGACCATCCCCAGGTCGTCGAGAGGGTCCTCGAGGCCTTCCCTGACGACGACGGCGACGGACTCGAGACGGGAGGTGATGTACGCGTTCGACACTTCCGGGGTGTAGGTCTCCAACAGGTGGGGCTCGGTCGCCTTGACGTAGGGCACCGAGGCGACCATTCGTTGCCAAAGGCTCAGGAGATAGTGCACGCTGTTCGGGGCGAACTGCCACATCTGCAGGCTTTGCACCGTGAATTTGGCGATCAGCTGAATCGCCTCGGGATAATTCTCCACCATGACTAACTCGCCGAGCTGGTAGTTGCTCTTGAGGCGAGCCAACAGCCGACAGAACTCGTGGTAATTGCCGGGGTCGCTGAGACCCTGAGGATTCTGTAAGATGTTCTTCACACCGTTCACCAGGTGAGTCAGGAACTTTGCTCTCTCCGCGTTCGAGAACAGGCTTCGACGGACAGACGCTATCTGGACCAGGCAGGAGATGGCCAGCGACGACAACGTGTTCGGCAAACTATGGTACAAATCGAAGAACAACTTCAACGTCGTGAAGTCCAGGAAGGCGGGCCTCCAACTCGTTGGGATCTGCACCGTGCACAGATCGTCCGAGCTCTCGTCCGTCGATGTTCCGATGAAGTCAAACGTCAGACAGTTTTGTGCGAGCCTCAATAGCTGCGTCATTAGTCCATGCTAAACAAACAAATAGGGAGTCAACGTACCCTCGGACGCACGTATACCGCAACCCATTCGGTTCGCGAATCGTTCTACGATTGCTACCTTTCTTCGAAATATCGAACGTACCTGTGCCTCGTCGTTAAAATTCAGATTTTTACAATTTTCTCGAGCGGTGCCGAGCAAGGAACAGGATAGCCTAAATATCTCAAATAGTTGCGTATCTCGAAAGCTACTGGCGATTTTTCGATGCTTCGTCAGGGACCTGTTGGCATCGGCTTCCGAGATTTGATTCATTTCGCAAGTCAACTGCGATAGCAATTGTACTCCTATCATGCAGTGTTCCACCGATCCCTGTTGGTATCGTTAAAATATATTAAACGTTCGGTGATGCAACGTCACGATAACGATAACAAAACGTCGAAAACGTGTTCGGGGGAATTTCTAAGAAACCGAGTTAAAGATTTGGTATGAAAGTCTTCCTGTACTAGTGAATAACTGCACATGACCTTACGAACCTGAAGGAACTTGGTGATATCACCGACGACATTCCTGAAGACAAAATCGTCCTTGTCGGAATCAAACCATCCCAGTTTTGATATCCGTGCGAACAATGTAACTAATGCTTGGATTACAAAGTTTGGCAGCTTGGGTTGCGTTGCCAAATAATTGAGCACATAGTTACCTATGTTGAACAATTAGTAACAATGAAAGGTACGTTGCTTTTTAATTGAACTATCTTAATTGCAAACCATTGCAAGCTAAACAATTGAAAAAACGCAACGCATTTGAACTTACGTATATCGAGTCTTTGTTGCAGACTAAGCCCCTGTGCCGATCGCGATACCAGCTTCGTAAGCGTGGTCGCAGCCAATAACTGTGCGTATGCCGAATCACCACGATCCAAAAGCAGCTGGCACTTGGCGAGCGTATCCGGAGCATTTTGAAAACCAACGAGAGCTTTCTCGGCTTCGGCACGGTGCGCCGAGTCCTGTGATACGTACAGCTGCTTGCAGAGCAGTTCCAGCTGCTGTACTTCCTGTATGTGATCCATTCTTAATGATGCCGTTAGGATGTGCAATTTTTCATCGTCAGCCAAAATGCATGAATGAGTTTTCCATTCTGCCTATGTTTATTTCACATTTTCTCAACGTTATCCTGCTCTTAATCTCCCTCGATGTGGGAGACGACCGATACCTTTTCAATGCAAAGTTCAATAAAATTTATTCAACATTCATGACCATCACGTATTATAGTAATTCGCTCCGACTCGCTCCGAAAGTAAAATAGTAAATAACAATCTACTCCAAAATTTCCCTTAAAAATTAAATCCCACATTTAAGATCCCGTTTCCGCCCCACGAAACGCCCAACACTTATTCAATTTTTTGGAGCAGAAGGGATACAAACCAAACTTTTAGATTACAATCAATCTAAGCGAAGAAATCGGTACGTGGAAGAGCTTGATACGACCCTCAGCCCAACACATAACCATACATAACCAGTCAATAATTACGGGTCAATTCATCTCCTAGGGGTTCCAACTCGTTACCAATTACAATTTGTCCGCAGACCCGACAAATACCATTTTATAGGTTACATGCCAAAGCGACACAATCGAACGTTCGGCTTCCAGCGATTTAACGAACCAGTCTCCTTGGCCCGACGCGTTTAGAGGTTATGTCGACCCCAGTCCGACATTTTCAAGTTACGGGGCCGGAGGTAACCGACCAAACAAGAAGTAAACCTCTCGATACGAGGTCGAGGTCGTCGACGCGTTCAAAGCCAGCCAAGATCGACAAACGGGAAGAATGTCGAAGCTTTCGATGCGACGGGATCGGCCGGCAATCGGATCGCGCGCGCGGCTGTCACTACGCGGCCGCCCGGACGACTCTCCGGGATGACCGAGTGCAGCGAGAACAGAACGAAACTTCCCTACTCGCGATACTCGCGATGTATATCCCACCCTGAGTCGCGCCTACGACGGCAGTGCTCGCGTCACCTAACTGGCAGAAATTTGCCGCGTTCACCGATGCATACGCGAGCCTACATACGTACTGGCTTGCACTGGCTGGCACTGGCGCGCGCGTTCGACGCGAGTTCACGAAATCGGGACAAGTGCGCACGGTATACGGCGCAAGGCGACGCGACGCGATTTAATTCGGCTCGACTCGATTCGGGAGGACGTATGTGCCCCAAAGCTTACATACATACAAACACGTATACATACGCTTCGCCTCTTGATCCCTAGACTCACCTGCTCGTCCGCCATTTTCGCATCGCTCAACCAAATTCACCGAACCCTAGATATCACGGCTCGCCCAAAGAGGATGCATCGTGTATGGGAATGACAAAGAAGACCCGTGCCTCGATTTTCCTGCTACGTCGACTGTCCTACCACCTACCGGCCGCGCGTTCAAACTCTTACACCTCTTCTTTTTACCTCAAGGGGTCGACCTTATAACACGATCTGGTGAAAATGCTAAAAGTGACCACTTCCTGCGACTTTGTAAATCTCACCATGATGAAAATGTTAAATATTTCACCTTAAAACGCCGCGTTGGAATACCACTTACATACGACTTTACCAGAGTAATTTGGTTTTCGCAAGTTTTCTACTGCTAATAATTGATGTGTACCAACACATTAATCGACCGTAAAGTGTTTATTTTTCCAGTACGCCGAATAAATTCTAAATTTTCAAATCACCAGTAATTTTTAGAAACGATACATCAACTTCATTTCATTTTACCTTTTTGTTAATGTGCCGGTTTTTGACGTTATTCGTTTTGAGTTTGCACAGCCTTAACTATTTATTACTATATAAGGAATTTCCTGGTTTCCCAAATTCACTTACGAGACTGTAATCCCATTTGGTAAACGAAAACACAATCGGTAAATTGTATACGGTAAAATGATATTTTTTTTAACTGTTCGTTAAACTGCTTGATTTTATTTCCAAAGGTCCCTTATGTCATGTAATTTTAACTAAACAATTACTGATATCACAACAAACGATTAAATATTTATAAAAAAAGGAACCTATTCTATTCCATCTACATCCTGATCTTAGGTGAATTTGTGAAAACTACAATTCGCACACTTTTCAACTATTAGCTCAGTCAAGTACCTTATATTATATTTTTTTTCTTTTTATAAATAATCACATTGTTTCTGTGCATATCTATACAGTTTGCTGGAAGGGTATTAATATTCGCATCAAATATCCGTAAAATGGAGTAATAAGTATACGTTAAAATACATAGGTACGAATAACAATTTTGAACACTAGTCGCGTTAAAAGAAAAAAAAAAAAAAGAGGGACAAAGTTTAAAAGTATGATGTGTCAAGCGCTTCAACGTTGGTACGTAACCGATTTAATTAACTTCCTTAATCTTAGCAGTTAGAGATATCCTCGAGAACATTGTTGGGATTACGCGAAAATTGTAAACGTATGTACAGATTGCTACACAGAAACCTAATCAATAAATGCGAGTGGCATCGTGTCAAAAGGCTGTGCAAAGCGTCTCATCGCCGCCATCCTCGTATCCATAAACAACGTTAAAAGGGTAATTGCAAAACTAATGCCTAAGATAGAACTACTATACATTCGGTTGACCTGTGGCGTACCTATATTGCTAATCGAATAGCAATTCGGCATAGTTAGTCTCAAAGAAGACAGAGCAAAGCACGGTAATAATATCATAGTCCTCCCCTCACACGAAACTCCATTCACACAGGATAAGTACTCCGATCAAACGGTGTGTTTTAACGACGTATTTCTTACTATAAATTAATTACATAAAAAACTTTTTGTTTAATTTACTATAATACATCTATTACCTTAATATATTAAGTGTATCCAGCCTCCCTAAAAACGTTCCCATTTTGTTGCGTACTTTAAGTCTTTTACGTTTCTCTTATTTTTTTTTTTCTTCTTCAGAGTAGGAAAAATGGTCAACTTCTATCGTGTCATAGGGCGTAGAAGAATCCCAGGCACGGCCAAACCAGACGACGTACACTACTTACATCCATGGGATGTATTTACATACTTTCAATGATACTGTCCATTAATAAACGCTGGCGTCGCGTGCGTATAAATTAATTCGTAGTTCCGCGTGTCAGTGGCGTGACGCATTTTTTCTCGGCTTTTTTCACCTTTTATAGATTTGCGTTTCACGGCAAATAAACGAAAGCCATCGGCCGAGCGCTCCGTTCCGTTCCCGAGGGGGAGGGGCTCTGTCCGTTTAAGCGATATCTTCACGCCGGACAAATTGGTTCTTCGCCTTCCTGTACACACTTTTGCGAACACATTGAATTCACTCACTAACCACTTGGCTGCAACAAATTACAGAGGAATCAGAGATTTAGTTACGTCGTTAAATAGCTGACGGATTGCACGTTGCACGGTACTTTGGCCGGCAACTTATCGCCGAGCGATCCTACTCTCGTAACCCGTGGAAGAAGGAATGTCCTCACGTACGAACAATACTTACAGTTATATCACAATTAAGGAATCTTTGTGTTGATGCGTCACTCGAATGCTGGAAAAAAAAAAACCACAAACGAGGTCCTCGTTAGACAGGTTGCTGGCATCGATTAATACTCCGACGAGAAGACAATAAAATAATCGGGAATCTTACGGGAAGGAGATCTGGTATCCGATTGGGTCAAAGGTAGCGCATTGATCGATGCGGTCGAAGCATTGACACCACCGTCCGACGACGAATTGAAGTTTAAAAAGTCCCAAATGAGAATCGTATCGTCGTGCGACGACGACACTATTTGGAACTCGTCGAATTGAAGGCGAAAGACACGTCCCGTGTGTTCCTGTTACAGAAGAAAATCGGTTAACGCGTAACGCCCTCGGAGATATCGAATTAAAAATAGGAAACATACCACCAGAGTGCGTAGACACAGCGTGCTGCTGACAGCACGTGGATCCAATGCTGCCACCAGGTCCCAAACCTTGATTTTACTGAAACCGGAACAAGTCGAATGTTGGAAATAAGTCAGCTCGAAGAGAGAAAGACGTAGAGAACGAGACTAGAAATTAACCGATACATACCCATCGTAAGCTCCACTGACGATGTGCTTACTGTCGAACCTGATGCATCTGACCAACTCCTCGTGCCCCTCGAGTACACGCAAACACGCACCGCACTCAATGTCCCACAATCTAATGGTATTGTCGCTGCTGCCACTGACAACTAGACGATCCCTATATTGCAAACACGCTATACCGCGCTTGTGCCCGTTCAACGTTCGCACGAACTCGCAGCTGGACGTGTTCCATACTTTAATAGTTCTGTCTCCACTAGCCGACACTATGTATTTTTCATCGAAATCGACGACGTTGACCGCGGCTCGGTGACCCACCAAGACTCGCCGCAAGGCGATCTCCGTCTGCGACGTCATGTCCCACACCGCTATCGACCGGTCCTGTAAAGCACAACGCTCTATTAAAGCCCTATTCAGAAAACACAGCTCGAGAGAAGGAGCGAAAGGCTCGAGCACGAACCTTGGAACACGTAACCATCATGCCGTTGTTGAATCTAAGATGAAGCACAGCTTCGCAGTGATGAATCAGGGTGTTGACCATTTCCCCTGTATTGGCATCCCACACTCGGACGGTGCTGTCCGACGAGCCCGAAATGATGGCCTTGTCGTCGTACTGCAAACAGAGGACGGAACCCGTATGCCCCGTCAGTACCTTGATGCACTGCAGCGTGTTTCGGTCCCAGATCTTGATCGTGTTGTCTCTGAGACCCGAGACGATTTTTTGATCGTCGTACTGCAGGCAATAGACGCCCTTTGAGTTTTCGCTCCGGCAGTTTATTCGATGGAGATTATGCCTTCCCATCCTCCAATTGTTGTCTATACTGTCGATGTCCTTGATGATTTTTGGAAAGAGGGTCCTGTAGAATGCGTGATTCGGGTGGCTCTCACCAGGCCTCGGCTTGAAGAGGAACTGTATCCTGAAATAGACGATTTCGATCAAAGCCTGAAGGAGGAGGAGACAGGCCTTTGGAAGACCCAGAACGCGAATCGAAATCAACCGACCATCCTCTCCTCTCTGCCAAGCCCCTCCAGACCGAGTCGGTCCTGACCTTACGCTCGATCAGCTTCTTCCAGAGCATCCCCTCGCTGATGACCCTGTACCATTCCTTGCAGACCAGCTCGGCGGCGCAGAGTGACTCGGCGTCTAGGTAGGAGAGAATGCTCTCCGCCACGTGGTCCAACCCCTTCTCTGGGAACAGAGTCAAGCCGATGAATCTCGATCCTCCGCACGCTCGATAATCGAAACTTACTCGGCAGAAGCGAGATAAAGTCCCTCTGCAGCATGGGCTTCAGGTAAGCGTTGATGTGCCCGTGCTGGTAGTGACACATGCGCGCCAGAAGTTGCTCCACGAAGTGCACCTGCTCCGGCTCGCTCCACCTCTCGAAGAGCCTCATGCACATCTCCCGTTCTTGGCCATAGTGCGCCGAGCCAACTGCTCGTTCCTGCGGCTCCTTCTTGCGGTTCGGCTCGTACAGTATCGTCATCGGGTACTGTCAACCAGAATTGGGTAAGTATAACAAGTCATGTAATATACATGGTTTTGTAAGTGCATATTACAACATGTAATACATCTCTAATTTTCTACGCGTGCGCGAAGTACATTACGACCTTCTATTTCTATATAGAAAATAACAAATCCAATAAAAAATTTGATATTAAACAAGATTAAGTCGAATTTTGAACACAAGCTCCAAAAGACATTAATAACCTAGCGGATGGCGTATATCGTCCATCTGTGGCATTCTTCATATTAGAAACGTAATTTATTGGTTTTCTACAATTCTCTTACGTAAACTACATGGTTTACGTAATATACGTGAAAAACGTTGAAAAATGCAAAATTACCCAACCCTGCGCCTAGTTCGAAGACTTTCGATCCTCCCGCGAAACAAAGAGGGCCGAACATCTGGCTCGCTTTGCCCGACTCACCGCCAGAGGGACCGCGCTCGAGCATCGATTGCCTCCGACCCCTTTCGCGGCTTTCCCTTCCCCTTCGATCGAGCGAACGGACTTATCGCAGACCCTATTCCCCGCAGATCCCCAAGGAACGTCTACTCGCCGTAACCTCGATAAGCCGAGGAGGGCCGAGTCACGAGCGACGAACCTTAACCTTTCCTAGCGCGAGAGAACACTCCGTAACGATGACTAGGCTGGTACGACTGAATCGGTTCGCGAAGGAGACCGAAGAAAAAGATCTACACGGAGGGCACTCGAAGGTTCGGCGAGAAATTGCAAACGGAAGGCTGGGGGGGCAGCGGGGGAAGGGCTTTACTTCCTCGTGACGGGTCAGAGGGTAGACGCGACACGTTAGGTCGACCTTCTTCGCCTCGCGAGGAAAGATAAGATGGCGGAGAGATCTCACCGAGGGCGAGACTTAAAAAATAGAGCTAACGGACCTGGAGATTGGCAACGGTGTCCTCGACGATCTTGTCCGTCTCCATGTTGATCATGGTGCGAGGTTCGGCCTTGGGTGGTCGGCTCGGACGGGGACGTCGGCGGGACCGCGACGCGCAGCGAACTCGGCCGAGCGGTCTCAGCAGGACGGACGATGCTCGCGAGGCCTCGCCATGCAACGCGAGTCGCGAGGTCTGCGACGATGGCGGCGGCGGCGACGGCGGCGGCGGCGGTGGCGACAACGGCGACGACAGCGGCACTCGACCGACACGAGCGGGCCTAAACGGCTATGACATTTGTTCGGCGTAGGCGGACCGCGCGGACCGAGATCCCTGAAACGGCCGCCAGCCCCCGACCACGAGATTACCGAGAAAAGTCTGGAAGGATTCCAACCAATTCCAACGGAGCCCAAAAGACGCGCGTAGGCTGACTTGGCCGGACTCGCCAAATTCGACGTTGAGACCAGGGACGGGGACGTCGCTGACTGTCGCTCGCCGTCGCTGTCTGTCGCTGACCGTCGCGCGCGCCTCCAACGCGAGAGGGCTAAACCCGATTGGCTCGCTTTCTCGACGACTCACCGCGCTCATCTGCGCATTTCTGCGTGCCGACTCTGAAGAGAACGCACGGCCTGGACAAAATCTATATCGTTTTGCGTTCCAATTGGCTCGCCATCTCGAACAATCGACGTTGCGACCAATCGGAACCTCGGACAATCGACGTGGCAACCAATCGAACCCTCGACAATCGAAACCTCGAACGTGTCAAGAGTCGTCGACTAAAACGCGACATCGTGGCTCGTCTTGCTCACCTTTTTTACCAGATCGATGGGTTTATGGATTCAATAATTTTTAAGTTGATTCTACTTTTAATCCATCTCGATGAGTCATTTTTCTCGCATTTGAACGGGATAAAGGCAAAAAAATGTCTTATGCGTTTATGTGCTAAAACGATGATAATATGAGGTCTCGGAGTGAAAATTGAATTGACTTGAAAATCACAGATGGCGCAGGGGGTCCCTCTGCAGTCAGGGCCCCAGAAAGCATGAACCCAGATTTCTGAAGTTTCACTTCGATTTCTTTATAATTATTGTACGAAAACGACAGGTGGAGTATGCCATTTGGTATAATACCCAATATAATTCGACAGAGCTGTCAATATAAAAACGAACGTTGGTAACGTAGGTATTTAGAAAAATCTTCATTGTCAACGTCGATCAAGTTCCTCAACGTGTTTCACTTCACCTTAATCTTTAAATGCGGATCCCCAGTCCGGTCTCGCAGAGATCGAACCTCGATATCACGATTAAATCCATTTAATCATCTCAGACTTTGTGGTTTTCATGTTGTCAGCGTCGGTTTGTGGGATAAGAGTGTTATACGGTCGATGACAGAACTGGGAATCCAATGGTGGATAATAATGTCGGTAACATAAATATGCCAAACAAAATCCTATCGTCGAACCCACCGTCACATCTGCAATAAAATAAGGACTTGAAACTTGATAAAAGTGGTTATTTTTAAAAGCGTTATCAAGATACGTCGTAGATTTTATATGGATGATACTGTACACGTAGCGTATCGACTCACCTTGCCAGTGGTGATGATAATCACAAGTTCTGCTTATTGCTATGGCGAGAGCGATGCAGAGAGGAAACAGGAAAATACATAGCTTCCAAGATTGCCCTTTTCCTCCTAGACTGAACGTGTGAAGCTTTCCAGCCGAGTATAACGCGACGAAACCAAGACTCGCAAATGCAACTGCGAGACGATATATCCATTAGATGATATTATAATTTATTATTTTCTTATGCTTAAATACGTTTATGCTATGATTGTTGGTTAAATAGATCAACTAAATAATAGTATAGTAAAACCATAAAAAAATATGATGTCGAACGATCTATGTAATGGTACGAAAGATACCACAAAAGCAGTCTCAGTAGAGGTAAATATTTACACGAGGAATGTCCACTGGGAAATGACATTCGTCCATCTTTGACATCGCTAGGATTTCCGGTACATTTAAACTCGGTATTTACTCGTCCATCCGGGAAACATCTCCAATAAAAATCTGGTCTTGGCCTGCCTATGTAATTTACACAACAGAAACTATTGATTTTGGATTTATAGATCAAACTTATGTTAATGAAAACAAACAAAATATCACAAAACTAACAAATGCAGGCCGTTAACGTCATTCCACTGTAAACTTACCCACAATTAGTTTCAATACATCCGTAAGTACACCATTTAATCCTAAAGCCAACGTCACGGCAAAGACCGATTGACAAGCATCGAACTTGTCTTTATTTATTAAGAATGCAAGACAGATGGCAATAGTGGGGAAAATAAATACAAGTGGCTGCAAAAGTAATCAAACAGTTTTTCTTCCTTGAAATGATTAATTTTTGGAAAGAAACGGATAGACAGGTACCCATAATAAAGTAGTCGGCACATAGGGATCCGTTCGAGGGTTTCTGTACAACCATAATTCATCTTCGTGGATTCTTCTTATAAACGGTTCTGCATTTTCTAGCTCCCTATTTACAGCAGACAGTAATTTCATTATCCATACCAAATTTCCTCGCCACTCAGTTTCTAATACATTTTTAAGGTACAAAACTATCTATTATGTATCAGTGTGAACAGGTGAAAATTGTATTTAAGAAGAAGTCAGGCTCGCGAATATATGTATTATGTTAAATATTATAAATTATTGATGTAAAAGTAGTAAAAATCTTAATCTCGCTGCATTATTATGCAGCGTATCGAAAATCGCGCGTCAAGAATTCCAGCACTTTTTCTGACCAGGTATTCCTTTAAACAAATATTAATAAGGCAACAAACGACTTACACGTATATGATTGCCAGAATCGTACGTAAGAAGACGTCAAAACAGAAACCACCCGAAATTCCAATACTTCGCGGCGCGGTCATATTAATAAAATTGTCAAAATCGATAATAGTGAAGGGAGAAGGTGACGTCCGAGCGGGCCGCGGTTCCAGATGGAGCCACCTGACTGACTGTAGGCGAACGCCACATGCGCCTCATCTTATAGGTTATCTACACATCAGTTGCACATCATGCCTTTTTTTCTTGCCGGTTTTACAGTTTTCTACTTGAAATTGAGCTCAGTGGAAACCAGTGGAAACACCTACTTTACTTTCGCGTACTGTTGTCATTCGTACAGTATGGTACAGTAGTCAACGGTGGCAACAGAAATAGCCGTTGGATAACAAATTATTGCCAATTTACAGAAGTGTCATCAGATATTCAACAAACGTTACAGGAAGATGTCGCATATTCAATTCGTCGACGAACTAGTCAAAGAGTATTTACTTTTCAGAGGATTCACCCAAACTTTGAAAGCGTTTGACAACGACTTGAAATCTGAGAAAGAGAAAGGCTTCAGGGTAAGAAAGAAATGAAAACAGGACAATTGTATTATATTACAGTCACTGTCCATTTAGTAATTGTACTTACCGGATTCAAATTATGACAGTAAATATTATGTACTTCGTCGATACCTGTTATAGATATCGTGACATTTTATTAAATATAATGCAACTGTATATCATGAACGATATGCTTTTTATTTAACAGTTTTAAAGTGTACTCATCTCTGTTTTGGTAAGATTGTAAAGTGCATGTAATGACTTTTAGTATCGTTTAGGTTGACAAAATCATCGATCAACTGATGCAATATGTGTATAATTATGATTTGACGGCGCTAAGGGAATTGTGGGGTCACCTAGATACAAAAATGTTCTCTCGCTTAGAAAGTCATTTTATGCCTGCGATTAAGAAGCTGGAAAATGCTGTGTTAAAAATGTACTTGGTTAATGCAGCTGTAAATAACAAACACGACCGAATCCAAGAATTTTTTAATAAAATGACACCAGAATTACAGGGACATTCGGAATGGAAAGACTGGTTTGGTAATATCGTTAAAAATGTCTTAAGCATCTATCACCGAATGTATAATGAGATATTAACAGGCTTAATTTTGGGGTTGTTCAGCTTTGCCGTTTGTAAAAAGTCCAGAAGATAATCCGACGTTCTCCGTGCATTTCAGCCGACAGTGGCAAGACACCATGTTAGTTTCTTTGCACAATCTTCTCTCCGTGATCTTCCAAGTAGGTGAAAGGTAGTTTACGTTATACTTCTTATGCAACCATGAAGCTTTGTATGGGATGTTTTGTTGTACAGGCAAATTCAACATTAATTTGCTATGACTTGTTTGAAACAATACTCGGCGGTGTAACTTAAATTTTTTATCATTCGTAGTGCATGCCACAACCGACGTTACTTGTCATCGATGAGGATACAAACAAATTGAAACGGTTACAACAGGAAAATGAACTGCTGAAACAGGAACTTAACGACAAGACTAAAGTAGAATCTCTGACTGATATTAATCCAGGACCAGTACCACAATATCCTCCCCTAATGGATGACTTCTACATAATTGCTCAGTAAGTTCACTAATAAACTATCAATAAGAAGGGAATGCAAAGAAGGACTAAAACAATGTTTGTTTAGAGAGTCTCCGATATTAGAGAACCCAAAGACATTTAAACGCCTTATCAAGAACATTGGTTCGTCTAGTCCAATATTAGGCAGAAAATCTATAACAGGCCCAAAGAAGCAACCAGAGCTGGAAGCAGGCATCACAAAACGAACAAATATCAAAGGGAGAGCAAATTCTCAAAATAAGTCGGAGATGATGACAAAACGGAGTACAAGTTGTGACTCGAGGCTTGCTACCTCGAGGAAGAGAGACTCGTCCGTTGACACTGCTCTTGAAAGAAAAAGTAAAGACAAGTTCGATGCCAGCTATATTCTCCTAAGTCAGGTGTGTCTCGGGGTTAAAAATATTTGTAATTCTGTATAAAAGGGAATTTTTACAACTTTATTTTTAGGAAGAGTACACCGAACACAAAACTTCGATCATTCAGTGCAAAAGTAACGCCAGTGGCTCCTATGTTGCAACCGGTGATGCAGATGGTGTCATTAAAGTATGGACACCTATTCCGTCTCCAAAGTAATTATAATATTTATCTTAATTTAATGACTTCCATTAACTGAGTGATTATATCATATTTTTTATTATCACAGAACAGTTGCTACCTTTATTTCAACAACGACTAATTCAAACAAGGCTGTTACAGCTTTGGATTGGATATCGAAGAACGAAAGATATTTTCTCCACGGTGATAATAACGGTCTTATTCAATTACACGACACGCGTGATTGCAAGACAATTTGGGAAATTCAACACGAAGGGTCGCGCGTGGTTACTCTTTTGTGTAGTCCTACCGAGTCGACGTTTGTATGTTCGGTGTCCAGTCCTAACGAAGGCAGGTTACTATTATACGACATCAAAACAAAAAAGCTAGAGCGAACCTTGCCTTTAGAGCAAAATTTGACGGCTTTATGCTCTACTTTCAATCACAATGGGCAACTTCTTATAACGGGCTTGTCCAATGGGAACATATTGATACATGATCTCAGACGTTACGAAATTATTGACAATTTCAATTGCCACTCCAGCCCTGTTATCGATATCGAGCCAGTGAATGACTTTACTAAAATCTGTACTCAAAGCGAGGACGGGAAATTGTGCCAAAGAAGTTTAAGCCCGTCAAATAAAGTTGTTTGGGAGACAAAGATCAAAATAGAGAAGAACGCAGTGCATGGTAAGCTCTTTACTTTCGATCAGAGCGGTAATCACATGTTGATCTGCACCCGCACCGGAGGAAATATTTACAAGGTTAGTTAATTGATGCCGACGATGATACCGTCACGTTACACAGACAAAAATTGTTAGTTTTAACGTTGAAACATTACAGATGCCTCCATTAAGTCAAGGGAAGATTTTGGAACTGGGAGGACATAAAGGTACCCTCTGTTGCGATTGGTCCACTGCCAATCAATCGGGAACCTGTATCACCGGTGGCGCGGAAGGAAAGGCACGAGTCTCGACATTACTTTCACCATGATACAAAAGCAAAATTAGTATGTGCATAAATTCTTAATGTACAGGAAGAGTGGAGCAGTTTCGTGAGATTCGGGAGATCCGGAAGATCGGGTGGTAGGATAAGTTCAACGTCAATTCCACAAATTGTACTATTTTTCAAGGTACATTTTAGGAAAACCCGTTTCATTGGTTTTCTTAATACTGAACGGAGATCAATCGAACTAGCATTGACTTGTAGATAATGTGCAACTGTAAAAAAAAAATGTTTGAATCACTGTAAGGTTTATTATCAAATGATTTCGAGATTATACTGATTTGACGTCATTATTCGACTGAATACAGAGCAATGCGTAAGCAACTTAATCCTGTCTTCGAAATTCAACAAGAAAAAAGTTTTATGTGTTGGTTACGCATTGACCAACGATGAAAAGGTGCAGCCATATCAAGTTGAGGAGACCAATAGCGCCTGAGAGCTTCGTTCAATTCAGATGGAGTAATAGGTTTTGTCACGTTACCCTGCAATGCAAATAAGAGAAAAGTATTTAAACATACTTTATTTATTTTATGTATCTAACATAATAATATAAAGCAAAGCCACCTCCAATTTGATAGCTGTTTACCTTACTATGTTGATAGGGCTTGTATGTGTATGGGTTGAAAAAACTAAGCCTAAGCCTGTCAATGGAATCACCGTGTATTTTAAATTGATCTTGTCGTACTAATAACGTAAGGTCAATAATCTGTGCTACAGTTTCATATGCAAAATATCCTAAAATACTATACCCTTGTTTGGATATTACGATGTCACCTGCAAAATAAATCATGAATTTCATGCAGAAATATTGCTCGAAATAGTAAAAGGTAAAAGGAAACTAAATATCTGTAGTACCATCTGGACAAATCCAATCACTGAATTTGTGTCTATTTTTATTTGCAAAAGATATACTCCGTGCCTTGCTAAATTCAATATAACGAGCTTCGTCCATTTTTCTAGACATCATTTCTGCACGAAGGTGTCTGTTGTGTTTAACATGATCTATTACAGAACTATTTTCCAATAATTCGCCAGTTGTGTCAATGAGATTAAGGAAGCCATCATATGGGCGCTTGTGTAACTGACTATCTACTCGATCAAAGTCTGGTATATCATCAGACGACTCGGATGGCATTAACTTACTCACTGAAGATTTAAATTCTTTCAACCCTAAACAGAAAGGAAGAAAGTTCAAATGTAAACTTCTGTGATGAATTCCAAATCAACCTTCAAGCAATGGATTCTGACTTACTTAAATACTTTAAAAGTCGTTGCAGCTTCACCTTATCCTTCCGCAAAAGGAAGAGGAAGTCTTCTGCATTAACTACGTTACTGCCACGTTTATCCGCGATTTCACATGCTCTGTTAACAATAATTCGCATTTGACGCAAAACGACGTCTTCGATTATTTTGGCAGACTCTATGAGAGGTTCCGAGCAGTCTCCAAAGCCATGCATCATGTGTCTAATCTCTGAATTGAAAAACACTGACATCAATCCATTTCAATTTATAATGTGAATAATGTAAATAATTGTTTTAATGTTTACAACTTACCCATTGTATAATTACTTGGTTCATTTCTACAATCGTAATCGTTTACGGATTTCGGAAATGAAACCTCTGCCATCGTTGACGTTTATTGTATGCGTTTAAAAGCAGCAAAATGTTAAATATTTTGGGTGTGTTGAATTAATTATTACAAACAATAATCACATTTACGTCGTCCGAGTCGTCACACGGACATCTCCTAGCACTCCTAGCGGTTTCCCACTAAAATTCTACCACACTTCGCTTGGATATACCTTGTCCAATGTTGGCAAGGAAGAAGTTCAGGCTCGAAGCGTGGAATAATTTCGGTGATACCTACTAGGCGGTAGCACTTACTTAATAGTGACAAAAGCCGAAATAAGGACACTCTTCTACTACTCTCTAGATACTCCATGATATTCGCACACATGCACACCTGTGCCACATAGCGTAGGTCGCGGCGCCATTTTAAAATCTAGAGTGCGAAGTAGGTATTTCTTATTTGCGAGAAAAAATCGTGTCAAGTCGCAGTCTCGTTATGTGACCCAATGAGTCAATGCGAATTCGGCGACATCTCGTTAACCTCGTTATCTGCTTTTTGTCAAGCCAATTCCGTATAATGATAATTATCAATGAAGAGGAAGAACCTTCAGCGATTGAGATAAGCGATGACGGCTATGACCAAAAAGCCGATCAGACCAAAAAGATGGCGGACTGACGTCGAGTGAAGTATGACGATTTTGCGAATTAGCTCAGCTTTCAATGTCCTGGAGCCGTCGATTTCAGCAATCAACGTTTCGCGTTAATGGACAACAGGTCTGCGGAAAGCTTCGGCTGGTTTCGAAAATATTTCCGTAAGTGTTTCACCTTAAACTGGACAGTAGTCCAAAACTGGTGGCTTTTTAAATCTCGGGCTAACGGGTCACCTTAAGATCGTTGCCTGTTAAACAAAAAAATTAACGATCTCTGATACTTCGCCTTGTAGACGGTCTCGTGGCCTTGGGCTCTCGTTACAGCCCACTGGAACGAACTGTCACGTCAACTTGATATGCGGACCAAATTAATGAGCTAAGCCTCGTCAACGGATTCAACCTCCTCTGAGAGACCGTTGTCTTGGTAGAGGTTACTCCTGGTTGATTATCACCGATGCTCTGGTCACTGTTAAGCAATAACTAACTTGCACTGGCTGTAAGCGAACAGGGAATCGTAATCTGTGAATGACATCAGACCTGGAATAACACAACAGCACAATGGAGAAATTTGCTGTGGACCTTGACAAAGTATTGGACGACTTTGAATTTAATGAAGGTTAGAATATGTCCAGAATTTTGTTAGTTGAATTTAGTGATCTGATAAAAGTGAACAATGAGGTCTCATTGTACGGCCTTGGCTTAAGCTTATCCACTGGCTCTGCAATTGTTTTGCCATATTTTCTACCTTCCGTAGTCTGGAAGTCCCTTAATTTAAGGTAATATGAAATAGTGTAGAGAAGGTTTTACATTTTACAGATCGAGCAGAGCAGATCGCATCCAATGTTCCATCATCGAATCAACACGGTGTGTCATCGTTTGAAGCATTGGGAGAGAGTTCAAGTTCAAAGGTTTACAACGATCGAGCAAAAGATCTGGATGCTGTAAATAGTACTCAATGCGACAGCACAGCATCATTGGAAAACTACATAGAATCTCAATTAGAGGATACTTTTGAAAAGAATATCCTATTGGAACAGAACAGTAATGATCCAAACATCAGCAAGGTGGAGTCATCTTTAGAAAACATTCATTCCTTAAATCATTTTTGTACGCATGAACAAGAGACCGATGGTAAGGTTCAGCCTAAGCAATGCATCGAGGTACATGATACCGAGCCAGTTTCCCTAACGATTCACAATGACATATCGCGATTGCTCCTGCAGAAACGGCAGAATGAAACATCGAGTGTCAAGGTCCAGAACAGCTATGATAAAAAGCTGAATCAATCAAATGTTAAACCCAGTGTCAGCAATGTGTTCAGTAGTTTGAATGAATATATAAACGCACCAGGTGTGCATTTAGGCTATGTGGATGGTACAATAAAGAAGTCAGATTCCATAGATTCCTTAGGGGAAGTAAGCATGACCGAATCCTCTGTGAATGTTATATCTAATAAAGATTCTAGTGTTACGGAAAACAATTCAGTTGAAAGTGAGGTTAATTTAACAAGCAATGAAACAAGTGAGGCAAGTGCAAAGAATATACCTAATAACGAACCATCGAGGTATCAAAACATTTTGTTACCAGTAAAACTTGATACATTTGACACTGACAAAGTTAGTACCGCTTTAAATCATAAAGTGGTGGAAAATGAACAAGTACCTCTGAATGGTGCAGAAAGTAATGAAAAGATATGTTCTGATAATACATCAGAGGGCACGGAAAGACCAGCTGGCTTTAAGAGTATCATCGACCAACCTGAACATGTGTACGAGAATGTGTATATTGGCACCGATATTCCCAAGGCTCAAGAATTATATGTAGCAATTAATAAGGTGAAATTAAAGGAGAGAGAACCAAGGGAACAAGAGGAAGCTAAACACACCTATGAGAATATAGATTTTGACGATCCAAAGAGAATTCTACCATCCAGTGAGAATACAAATATATATGAATGCATCTACATTGGAAACAGGGAAAATATGCCAGAAACCACAACAGAATTAGAAATTGCAGCTAAGAATATGACAGATCAATTGTATATTAGTAAAAAGAGTACAGAATCGGAAACGAAGTCTGTCGATACCACAAAGCTTGTTTTCCAGACCATAAAACTGAATGCTCAACAGTCTAATCACAAGCCAGTGAGTTTTGGACATATCGACGACTTGTCAGAGGAAGAATTGAACAAGTACTTGGCGGAGCTGGAAGCTGAAGAGAGAGAGAAAAAAAGTGACTCATTTTATGATAGTTCTTCGGTGCCAGAGTCGTACCCCGAATCAAGTGACAATTTTTCACAAAGCAAGTTTCCAAAGTCACACGACGATGAGGATGTAAACGAGGCACCAATATTTGAAAACGTGACCATAGGCGAGCTGCCAGAAGTATCAGAGGAAAGGCTCCAAGAGAAGGCAAAGAAATTTCCCGTTATTGACTACAGTAAAAGCGGTCCCAGCACGGAAGTAACAAATGATTTCTTAGTGAGGAAGGATTCAGAAAAATTTCACGAACGTGTAAAAGTTATTTCAGAGATAAAGGAGGACAAAGGAAGAGGAAGAAAATATAAAAAGACAGATGAGAGGATTCGGAAAACCTCGGACAGTAGTGAATCTGTAACTGTGAATTCTTTGCAGGATGAGCAAACGAGCAGTGGGGAAAATTCTCTACCCACAGGTAAAGTGGAAAACTCTGACGTTCCGTCAACTGGTTCTATTGAAGTTATTAAAAGCCCAAACGGTGATTCGCGAATTTCAGGACAGAAATCTCACTCGGAGAGTCAAATAGACCAAGAAACGGAACGTGTCATAGCAAATAACATAGACAAATTACACAATTCCGAGCAAAGTGAATTATCGAAAACCATAGAATCTGGTGATGGTGCATCCGTAGATAGTTGGACAGATGAAAAAGATGTATCTATACGTTCAAGCAGTACTTGTGGTATCATCGATGGTGGTAAACCAGAAATCAATGCCATAACCATTGAAAATAACGATTCTGCCAATTTAGGTGAAACCCTTGGTGATAGTGGTCCGGAATCTGTGATGGTTGTGCCAGAAAGTTCAGAGGTGGTGCAAAAGTGCATGGAGAACGATACGAAGCAAAACGAGACCAGTGAAGACGACACGGATAGACCTTCTAGGCCCCAAACGTTAGATATTGTTTCAACCGTTAACATGGATGAACAACCAACGATAGGTAAGGGATAACTTATCCTCTGCTTCTAACGTCCAGATAAATTTAATGGTAACAGTTTTTATTAGCAAACACTTAACATGAAAAATATTTATGTATTGATGTGTATAACTATCTGTTACCGATGATTTTTGTCACTCAGCATTCCCCTGCACAATCATTTGTTTGTTTTCATTGCAAGTGTAGGCAGATAGCTAACTTATCAGTTCCCACGTAACACATGCACAGTCTGACTGTTTTAGTGGATCAGCAGTTCAGTTGTCTTTTATGATAATGCTCCATTTATGGAGCATGGACTTCTCAAGCACTGCAAAAGCTGTTAGCTTAGATTTGTATCATGGTACAAAGGTTCAGGGAACTCGTATTAAGAGTCCAACTAGTCTTAATACCAGTTACCGATCCTCCGAAAGAATAGGAATAAGTGACAGTTATTCGAAACTCGATATCGATGCCGTTTCAAGGGTTCTCAAACGTTACTCCAGGAAGTCAGCCATCGGCGGAAATGGAGGAGAACGTCGAACCGGAAAGAGCACCTTCTCCGGATGCGTCAGAAAATTCCTCGATGGACATCGGTACCGTACTCGGGAAACAACCACCATTCTGGGTTCCGGACAACGATGCTCCTACTTGTATGCTGTGCGACATTAAATTCACCGTTCTAAAAAGACGTCACCACTGTCGAGCTTGTGGCAAAGTAAGCCAAACGTTGTGACTTAAGGAGGTGCGAAAGTGGCATCCGATGAATCAATCGTTCGTGAAATTTTTTTTCGAACTGGGTGTATCAAATCGTTTTAAATTTAGTTTCACGAACGAGACCTCTTTGAGACCACTTTCCCGTCACCATAACGTTATTTAATTTCCCATGTATCTCAATATTCAAATTTGTAGGTTCTATGCAGTAAATGCTGCAGTAGGAAGTACAAGCTTCAGTACCAAGGCAATGCCGATTCTCGCGTCTGCATACCCTGTTATCATCATCTCGTTAAAGGTAATTAGAAGAATTGCGCATAGACAAATCGTAGGATGTTTTCGGGAGCAAGAAGATTATTTAAAAGGGCTCAATTGCTATCTTATTGACACATCAGCGGAAAATGACAGTGGATCCGGGGACTGGTCGGTTGGATATCCAAGCAATGCCGGAGGTGACATCAACTCACCCCAGGTACGTAGAAAGGTCGTGGCCTTCCCTTTAGCTTGATTCTTTCCAGTTAAGTAATTAGAAAAGAAGGCAATGCAGCCTGTGATTTTCCCTCAAAAGAACTAATTTATACGATTACGACTGACCCCCCTAATTTTGTGCTTCCACTTAGAAAACACAATTAGCAATTTCTTAGTCACACCCTGTAACAACTTGTTGAATACCTCTTTTCTCTATTTCCATCCTTTAAGCGAGCCTGGGTCCAGCGTCGCGCTGGATCCTCGTCGCTTACTTCTCTAGAATCTGGTAATAGCTCTCGATCTTACTTCGCTGGACGTTTCGGGCGATTGATCGCACGGTAGAGCATCCTGCACTTTAATCTCGTTTGAGGGGACGAGAAAGTGGCATCGTATACCTTGACGGCTGAATTCTATTTTGACTCTTCCCAGAGTCCTTTGATTCAATTATCTGCTCTTAGTTCTCTCAGTTGACAAGTGTACCGAGCTATCTGAAAGTAATTCCTCTATAGTTGTCAGCTGATATCCGGTATAGCTGTTATCCGCGCGCGGCTCGATGTACCGTCAAACATACGATTCTAGGTGATAAAGTGCGTTCCCTTCGTCGTAGTACACTTTGCATGGCAGAGCCGCGATGCACCGTGCAGCATGGTTTTATTCGAAGGTTAACGCTTCTTCTCGCGTTGACGTTACCACCAGAAAGAAAAGAACGTTCTCTCTTTGGTTTGCTAGTCAATGTAATCTGGTTGAATCGGTGTGCCTAATCGAGCAAACGCCAGAGTTTGGAGTATTCGACAAATGGTTATAGGGGAGACAGCCTAATCCAAATAATCCGATGGAGTACTGTTCGACTATACCGCCTTTGCAACAGTTAGCCGGTGGATTGCCACCACCTCCCACCGTCATGGTGCCCGTTGGAGTGCTCAAAAGAGAAGGCAGCACCAAGCAACGCTCCGAAGGGCAGAAGTCTGTCATGTTTAGCGACGGTGAGTACCGACCTACGACCAGATTCTATACTGCTTTTCGCGGACTGGTTTTAACAGGGTACGCATGAACGTAGCAGGGTACGGCGATAGTGGAGCTACAAACGGAAATATCCTAGCCTAGGAGGAATGGCTCGTGTACACGTGCACGGATTCGCGTTGCGTTATATCTTGGAAAGGAACGAGTCATTGAGAAGCGAAAATACCGCAAGGTCCAAGGACCTGTTTTTACAGAGGTCCAGGTACATTGTGCCTGGTTCACCGGTGAACGAGACCTAGTTCTTCGTATCTTCGTTTCCCAATTTTTCCGACTGTCCGATACATACGTCCACAAACTGATCCAACACTCGGTGAATCGTACACAATACAGTTTTTATTTGTACAGACACATTTTATCCGATCGGTTCAACTCCGTCCCCCGGTCCACCTTTTCATCATCTGTTTCTCCATCGGTTGTCTTCGTCTTTGACTCCTGGAACGACGGTCTACGTCCCATCCCGTTTCTTTTGTTTTGACACACCTGTAACTAAAACACAGGAATAAGGCCTGGCTGTGACCTGACAGAGCTCGATGCTTCCTGGGACATGAAGCTGTGTCGGAAGCCGGGAAGCAAGAGAGTGCCCACGCCGGGGCCGACGACGATGGCTCCGAACGCTTCCAAGAGGCTGAACCTGCCGCCGGTGGACCCTCGCACCAACAGCTACGTCCCCTTGGATTCCGGGATGCTTCCACCGACCGTCACCATCCATAAAGGCCGTAAGACTCCTAGAGACTCCCTAAGAATTAAATCGAGTCGTCGTTCGGTTATCAATTAATTAATTGACCCTTGCATCGGTTTACAGAAGTGACATACCATGACGTGACAGACGAGGCGTGCCTCTACAAGTCGCTGAGAAACGAGTGCGAGCCTCCGGTAATGTTTGCCATTAACAGGAATCTCTTTGCATACGTCAAAATCGTTAATCGTAAGTGCAAGGACACTCTCGTCGTCGCTTTCGTTTCGATCTCCTTGGCTACAGGGTCTTCGTTATTTCCGTTTCAGTGAATTGCTGCGTGAACAGAACGTGTTGGAACGTCACCTCCAAAGGCCTGGTCTGCGTAGGCCAGGACGAGGTCGTGTTGCTCGTCGAAACCTTGCCCGACGAGAACCAGATTCCCAAAGACCTGTTCGTACATATCAATCAGATATACTTGGAGGCAATGAAAGGTTGTACCATCTTTATTCCTGCTATTCAAAGCGAGGCAAAGGAACCGCGCTGATCGTTGACACCGCTTTCGACGTTTCAGGAAACACGATCACGGAGCTCGGAGTTTCCATTCATCAAGGCGGCCACCTTTTAGGGTCGAGAGAACACGCAGGTTTCCTCTTCATTCGCCAGACATTCCAATGCTTACAGAAAATGGTTCTGCCACCGGCTCCGTTCCTTATTGGTCTTCTGGTTCATAGGTAACGATTGGGGTCGCTTTTTTTTCGGATTTGCGGCCAAACCGCTGCGTGTCGCGAAAGAGATGCCGGCGACCAGGAAAGAAAAAAAAATTACTGGGAAGTGGGAATTATGTTTGTTTAAAATCCTTTCAGATGGGAGACACCCTGGGCCAAAGTTTTTCCTCTTCGGCTCGTTTTACGCCTCGGAGCCGAGTACCGGTATTATCCCTGCCCGTTGGTCTCGGTGCGGTTTCGAGACGCCGTGTACTTCGAAATCGGCCATACGATCATGAAAGTGCTCGCCGATTTCCGTAACTTTGCTTACACCTTGCCCGGGGTTCGGGGCCTGACGATTCACATGCAGGACACGACGACGGACGTCATGTTCCCCAGGAACAGATACGACCAAGTAATAAGGGGGTTAAACAATTCGAACGACCATGTGCTAGCTTATGCGTCAAATTTCAGCGTATCCGCGGATTCGCACTTGGTCTGTATTCAGACTAATTCAGGGGACGAAAGTAGCTACCAAACGCAAGCTATCAACATCCACAACAAGCCGAGGCGGGGTATGCACATTGTTCCATCGCGTTTTATCCATTCTTCCTTTTGTATTGTAATTTATGATAATCTTTTAATATTTAATTCAGTTACCGCGGCTAGTTTTGTCGTCATCAATGGAGCTTTGAAATCCTCGATGGGACTCTCGGCGAAATCTAGCATCGTAGAGGATGGCCTGATGGTTCAAATCATGCCGGAAAAAATGGAGGCTCTAAAAGCGGCGCTGAAAAATATGCAGGACTTCTCCATTGGCTGCGGCAGACAGGGAGCTCCCGAACCCGACGAGATCGTTAACATTAAATGGGTGGACAATGATACACAGTTTAACCTGGGGTAAGTTAAAACGAGCTACCGTTTCCGATTTTTTTAACTGATGGCTTTACTCCTCTTCAGAGTCAAAAGTCCGATAGACGGCAGATCGATGGATGGCGTTCCATCTATTAGAGTCCACAATGGCATTGATTACACGGGGACGAACAGGCTCATTCGATGGACGGAAGTATTTATTATCATGGTAAGTGTTCGGATAAGGGATATCGGAATAGAGTTACGAATTAGCGAAACGATAAGGAAAGTAACAGAACTTTTTTTCGCTAGTCCGACGACCATCCGAACGGTGTTCACGATCCAGTCGACATAAATAAATTATCCGAAAGTATTGCCCGAGCTGCGTGCACGGCGTTGGTGAAATTACTGGATCTTCTGGCGACTGCAGGGCTCACGAAACTCGCGGTCAGAACGACCATCCACGCTGACAATGTGAGAACGCTGAAAGACAAAAGAATTCACTGAGCGGAGAAGCAACAAGTTGTCTCCCTTGTATTACGTTGAGAAACTTATTTCTCAATTTGATGAATGGGAATTTTTATCCAGGTTGGAGTTTAATGGGGGAAACGCGTTAAATTCCAGGTGGGGTACGAAGCTGGGAGCGGGGGCACGAGATTGCCGCCCATTTATATGAACAGTCTGGACAACGAATTGATCCAGGTTCTTCACAAGGCTGCCCAGAGCTGTCAGGACACTTACACCGTGCTGGAGCTGATATTTTATGTACTGGACGACTGAGAACCATTGCGTTTGGGACCTGTCCGTCATCGACGTTGGCCCTGTCAGAAGAACAGATCATTGCTTCGCCCTCCCGCGACGTGCAATTACGGTTTATGACCCATGTAAAATTTATGCCGCGAGGGATTACCAAAATGCGCACGGCGCCAATTTTCAATCTAGCTAAATCGGGACTCGAGTCCCACGTTTGCGACCGAGCGTTACAACCAGCCTTTTTAATGTCTCCGTTTTCCGGCGGTGTTCCATTTTTCACACCCCAAATGTACTTTTGGATCAACCGAGACTAATTTGAATTCCATCGGTGAGAAGGACGACTACTCGTTCGTTTTTGGGATGAATCGAGAACTTGACGTATCGAGACTTTGTAGACAATGCCAAATGTCTTTCTTTTTAATTCACTCTTGTCAGTGGAAGGATTTTATTTGCCAAAGACATTTCTTGTTCGGCACGCTCGGTCCTTGCTAAAGATTCTACATTACAAAAACGTATCCGTAAAACTTGATTTCCAAGTCTGATTTCGTTTCGTAACGCCGTAACGTAGGAACGAAAATGGAAATGGAAGCGGTAGCTAGACGCAGATCCGCTGCTAGTTGAATTCCGGAGTGAGGATCAATTAGTTGCAACGAATTTGTAATTATTTGTAAAGTGACCGTAATCGAGTCAAGCTAGGCGAGTTAGGTGAACCACGGGGTACAGAGGTTGCACTCGAAGAGGACGTATCGTCACCGGGGACGTCTTTTTACTATCTGTTGTTTCATATGTCAAAACCTTTTACGGTACTAGATTTACAGTTTGTTACTTTGTACAGCTTGCTCACGCGTGCAACTTAAAAGTTTAATATAATACGTTATTGTAGTATTAATCCTGTACTCAAATGATATTACGTTGTACATTGTTCACCCTCGTTCTTTAAGTCGAAAATTTCCCAAGAAATATTTAATCGTTAGCATTTTGACCACCTCTCCAACAGGGTGCGTTTAAGGTTGAGGGGCTTGTGAACATTTCATACTCGAAGACCCTAAAAGGTCTGAATCCCAAATGGAAATTTAACCCAAACGATTCTCGTACCACGCTCTTCGTTTCCATTTCAGGCACTCCAAGAGAAAGGAAAAGAGTCATTGTCCCGATCCGCTGATAAATTACATCTAAACCGTGTATATATGATTGAAAAAATAAATTGTACATATTAGAGTACGTTTCCTTCGGCAGGGAGGTGAAAGTATCTTTCCAAATTTTGCGAGATCTTTTGGGGCTGTGGATCGTGTTTAACCCTTTTAGTGGTGTACAACGATATATCACCGTCTCACAAATCTAACGACTTCGGATTAACGATCGATAACGAAGGCTCACGTGAAATTTTTCAAAAGTTTCATGGCTTTCGGTGTCGATCGTTGATTCGAAATTGGCGGGCGAAGCGGTGGCGTCCCCCGGCGAGCCCTGGCGGAACTAAAATATTGAATCGACTCGGCGGTGCGTCGGTCCGACAGGTCAGTGCGCGTATTTCGCTAGCGACAGGGGGGTCGAGATGTACGCGTGAGGCGGGACCCAACGTAGATTAAATTCTCAGACCGTAAGTCTCGGTGTCCACAGTGATACATCTCCAACTACTCGCGGTTCGACTAGCCAGAGAAACGGGCACAAACTCAAGATGGACAGGAGAAAAATGTCGTGAGTATCGGTCACGTCGAGCAAGCACGTCAGACTCGGGCCGAAACGTTCCCGCGGTCTTTCCGGGCCGAGAACCTTGATACCGTTGGTGGCGAGAATCGGTTCGATCGGTTCCCCGCCCACGATTTATCGGGTCGTTGAGCCTCGATTAGGCCGAATTCTCCTAAGCGAGACGGCCATCGAGTAGGTTAACCCTCACGGTCTCGTCATCGGTGGTTCTCTCTTGCCGCCGATTACGGTACCTCGCTCGCTGGCCCTAGCACGACCCTTTTATTTAATTTGCCGAGCTTAATCGCGTTGTCGGCTGTTGCTCCACTCGGCTGATTATTGACACTGACAGGCGCCTTCGGTGCGGCCTTGCGCTCCGATTCTCGCTCAATGGTCTTCTTCCTTTTTGGACGAATTTTTTACCAATTTTCGGCGCGCCCCACCCACGAGTTTCTGCCATTTCTATGATTCATGATCCTTGAATGTAATCTACCCACTTATACTTATTATTAGTTATATCGTGGCCGTTGTAATATCGAGCATGTTCTTTGCGATGGATCTTCCCTTGCGGTTTGACTATTCGATGCAACATGTTCTCATTCCAAGCTCATTTGTAAGCTTTCAGATTTCATCCCGCTATCGTTGATTTAGCTATCGTTTTACAGAACCTCGGGGGATTCCCTGTATCAAATTCTTGAAATCCCTAAAACGGCAACAGCCGAGGATATCAAGAAAGCCTATAGGAAGTTGGCGCTGAAGTATCATCCTGACAAAAATCCTAATAATCCAGAGGCGGCGGATAAGGTGATAATAGTTTGCATTAAATTTCTAATAAAATAATTGCAGCGTTCTTAAAATGTCTCTTAAGCAAGGGTATCATTTGGAATGAATCTATGCTAGACTTTTACAGATACTGAATACAATGTATTTTCAGGTGTTTATGCATATTCATCTGTCATGTTTATTGTGCAAATGTAAAAATCTGGGTTATTAGTGACATAGCTATTTTAATGGGAAATAAAATTAAATATTATGTTTACAGTTCAAGGAAATAAATCGAGCACACGCAACGCTAACGGATTTAACCAAACGTAACATATACGACAATTATGGGTCCCTTGGCATTTACGTAGGCGAACAATTTGGTGAAGAAAATGTAAATGCCTATTTCGTTTATACTTCAGGCTGGTGTAAGGTAAGAAAATATGTCGATAATTAGAAAAAAAGTTGGTCAACATTTGGATTATAAATTATGACTGCCATCTTGTATTATACCATAGGCCCTCCTTGCATTCTGCATCTTCATAACCGGATGCTGTTGCTGCTGTTGTTGCTGTTGCTGCTGCAACTTCTGCTGTGGCAAGTACAAACCGATGCCACCGGAGGACAGTGGACAGTACCATAATTTACAGGTTAATGAAATTTATACTTTTATCGGTAAAAAAAAATACCGACCACTGTGGATCAGAGATTCCAAACCAAAATATTACAATTTTTAAAGCCTCCGTCGCGATAGATTGTGCCGGTAGTAACGAATAAGTCAATCCCGTTATTCGGGAAATCAGAATTAACATTTTAACCGTTTCGGAATAACGGCTCAGTTGTTTTGTAACTAACATTATCGGAAGGAAAGGAACATGACCCTAGGGTACCGCAAGCGGAATTCCCAAGTGAAATATTATTACGGTGGTAGGATCGTTTTACAATGTCGGCGTGGAGTCTTTTGTAAGTGATCAAATTAACTGATTACTTGTCAATTGTTACTCCATTCGCGAAACGTACAAAATTTCTTCTTTTCCGATTAACATCGTGAGACATGTGTCCAAGCTCCGTTCCTGTAAACGCAACGACTGCAGCGGGCTCGGTAGCTAGATTAGCTAGATTAAAAGCGCTTTCTACATAAACCGGCATGAGAAAAGAAACGAGTCCATTTATGCTGACCTATGAATCTGCTACTCAAGTTTCTTTAGTTTTTGCCAAAGCTTTGCTCATAGAAAGGCATCTCGTTGATCGTTAGGCGAATGCGGGTGATTTTTGCCGTCAACCTCCGGCAAATGGTCTAGACGCTTCGAGGTCTTTTTCGCAAAACCGTTCGCTTCGCTCCAAGCGTAACCACCGCATGCTCGCTGAATTTCCGCAATGTCTCTCTAAATACCGCACATCCGATGACTCCAGAGAACGACGTTTCACATGTAGATTGCCTGAGTTTTGCGTAGTGCCTTCTAAAGTAGTTAATGGAATGCTCGAGGGGGAAGAAAGGTAAGTAGGCTTTCGGGTCGATCGACTCGTAACGCTCGTCGTGGACTCTCGTAATCTATGCGATTTAAATTCGCGATTGCACAAATGTCGATCGATTCAAATCGACAAATTGATCTCTTACCCTGTCTTCTGACGTTGGTGAGTACATCTTCGGTGGATCATTGTTTTCCCCTTTTGGAATCTATCCACGAGGTCACGTTCGCGTATAAAAAGATAGTCCTTCTTCGCACATGCACTTCATCCACACCCTGTATTTGTTATGGAAAATCTAATTCAGGTCTTGCCGGCGATCGTTGCGGAGATAATTCTTTCTCACTTTTTAATAACGATCTTATTTGCGTACTGCTCGGAATACGTTCCATGATTTCGAGAAGTTTAATCCTAACGTCTACGCGTCTCATATCGTGTGTTTGCGTTCACATGTCTCACATTAAAATTCGGAATCGCATGCCGACAATCCGTTGTCGTTACATTCGGCCCAACACCTATTCGTTTATATTTATTTCCTTCTATCTTGATCACGCATATCGTCGTTACCGTATCCACAGCTCTCGGATCCAGATAAGAACGTTCATTTTCATGTCTTTTCATCCGAACGATTGGAGGTACGAAGAGTTGAAACGCTTTTTTTTTTTTTTTTTAACTAATTCGCGCCTCGACTGTAATTTAGTGTTCATTCAAAAGATTCAATCTCGTAGAGTTATTGATCCATTCTTGGCAGGGTGTTCTTGGCATTGGAATATCGTTTTTTGCCAAACGATTGACCTGCACGTTAGAGAAAAAGATAAAACAAATAGACGTAATGCAAAAAAAAATGAACGTAGTTTATTTCATTAAATGTATATCGGTTAAAAAGAACATGGCTCAACGTGCAGTATCGTAATCGTTGAGAGAGATATACCGGGTTTCGCTAGTCATGTCGTAGGCCTCGTTTACGCGCCTGATTTAATGAATTTATTTGCCAATTTTACTTGTGAATATTGAGGAAGAGGAAGGGCGGTTCTCCCTACCTCTCTCTCTCTCTTTCTCCTCTTTTTCAGTTTCTCATTCTCTATCTCTCTTTTCGGATCACCTTGCGAGTGCACGCAAACGTTTTCCTTGCCAGGCATGCGCTGCCCTCTTTTACGAGGCATTATAGATTAGCTGTTTTGTTTATGTCGTTATTGTATTATAGCAGGACCGGAATCAACAAGGCAATGTTGTGACGAATCAACCCCGTGGTTACCGCGAGGTAAGTACTCCATATCACAAATCATCCCCCTTTTTGCTAAGCATCTCCCTTATAAATGAAGCCTTACTCTCTTCGTCTCGGACGTTTTTACCATTTTTTGGCACGTTGGATTTGACGCAGCGCTCTTAAAAAATTCCTCTAGAGGCGTTCCAGACAATGACGCTCGTTAGGATCGAACGATTTACTGTACATTGGGTACAACGGTGGATATGAGTACCTTCCCATCGTGCACTTACACTCACCGTATCCGCAGGGAAGGCATTTATGTCCGCCACCGCACCGGCGCGGTATCTCGACGTTTTCGCGTTCTTCGACGGGACGATTCCGGTTACAGATCCGCTTACTCGTCGATAACGCAGGCAATCCTTCGCTTACTCGAAAGGAATTGGACATTATTCTCTTATTTTCTCGTTGTCGCGCGCTTCGATCGATTTCTCCCATCGTACTTACGCGGCTCTTATCCTGGCCGAGGAAGAGATAACGGATAGGAAATAATTGGGCCAGACGACGTTCGATTGAAATTCCCTGATCGGTCAACGGGAGGATTAACTCGATCGACGGTTCTCACGCAGGAGGACGAGAGCGACGAGGACCTGGTGACGTCGCAGCCGCAAGGAGGAGCGTCGCAAGGCGCCCAGGGTGCCCAACCGGCGTTCGCGATGCCGCCACCTCCGCCACCGACGACGGTCAACGAGAACACCACCTTGAACAGTGCCGGGGAGCGCATCACCTACACCACTGGTATTTTGCCTTTATAAACGTAGACGAGCGCTTCCTCCTTCCTCTACCTCGGGAGTTCTTCCTCCGTTTCTTCCTTTCCTTCTTGGCGGAGTCATGGACGAATCGGAAGTGGCCGAGTTTGCATGCCTTTCCGCACCTGCCCCTGGACCATGGATACCGCCAGACCTCGCTTTGCAGGGGAAAGGGGTAAACTCGAATGTACAATGTACCACATGAGCCTACTGCAAGGACTGGCGTACACTGGGTACGCGGAAACGCATCTGCGCGATTAAAGCCATTTTGCTTACTGAAAATTTCGGAGTGGCGGGTCCAACGCGAGGTCTAGGTGTCCGTGGTCCACCCATCGACCTGGACGCACGTGGACAGGGAACCTGAGAGTTCCAGGGGGTGCGGCAGGTGTAGACACGCGTCCGCGTTCAAGGTCTCGATCGATCGCAAGACTCGCACCGAGGACGTTTCGAGGGTGCGACGCCTTCTGTACATACGAGAATTATGGAAATACCTATTGAAAGGAAGCGACTCGGCTGTATACATTTTTTTTTTTTTTTTTAAGTATATGCGAGCATGATAATAGATATTTTCATTTGGCAGGGTTACGTATGTGTCGGATTACGTTGCTCGAATTTGTACTTTAGTATTCGTTCTGTTCGTTTGTCCGGTAGTTTTATTCCCATTTAACTTCGCTGTTTTCTTCGCATTACATTTGTGTATTCGCTTTGGTACGCACTCGTACTCGTTGGCTGTAAATACATTATAAGTGCACGCGTAAAGGGGGACGTGGAATTTCGTGGACGAGCTCGTGGCGACGCTCGCGTCCACGTCGTCCCGACACTTTGCTGCCGTTCACGCGACGTAGTATTTTAATTAATTAACTAATTAATGTACTAATTAATCGGATAGATTTTTATTCGATAGAATGCGCGGAAGATGTCTCAGATCGTTAGGTTACTCGTTGCCTTTAGCTGCTTAAATAGAGCCGTATGTTTAAACGCTGCGCGTACATAGACAGAGATGACGTCTTTTGATTTCTTTTTCGATACATTTCATCGCACATTGGCGAGACTCGTCTCGCGGGAGATCTACTCGAAATAAAGGCGACGTTATCGATCGAATGGCTATCGACGGGTCGAAAGTGCGTTACGTACTTCACCCGTACCCTTGTATCGCTAAAAAATAAATCATTAACTTCGTCACGTGTCGCGTTGCCTTTGATCTTGTACGAGTACCTTGACGAAACGGTGTCGGTTGTAATTTAATCGGATTCGAGGTTTGCAGAGTCGATGTCGAATCCTTATCGATAAAGATACGTCCATGGTTCATCTTTGCGCGCCTCTTGTATTATTTTCTTATATTCTCTATTTCTCCTCTGAATTTCTTCTTTCGAGTGAGTCCCATTTTATTTCCGTTCGTCGTTAATTGGTCGTCTTTGATTTTCGCAGGCCTCGTGGAAGACCCTGCACCTCCTTTCTCGAATTCCATTCTCGGGTATCCGAATTCCGTTTCCAACCGAGACGAGTCCAGTTTCGGGGACCGATTCTAACTCGATAGTTGAAAGCTTTTCGCGAGCCTTGTCGCCGGATGGTGCGCCATTTTTCGTTGAACTTTAATTTTTCCTCCTTACGTAGTTCATCCCGTAGTGTCTGCTCGAATTAATGTCTGCCTATTTCCACGAGGCGAAAGAACGTTTTAACCCAGAGACAGGCACCAATCCTTTCATAGGACCCAACACCGGCTCGGCACCCACGGGGCCCAACAAGTGGTAGTCAAGGACTCGGCCAACTCTAACCGACCTACGCAACTCGAAGTAGCTTAAAATTCGTCGACATCACATCTATAAATCCACCGCGAAGTAGCGTTCACGTCGGTCGTCGGCGATCCGTTCCATCGATCGTTGAAGGTCGCCGCTAATTCTTAATCATGGTTCCATCCAGCCGCTTCCTCGCTTGAATGCACGATTAATAAAGTCCGAGCTCCCCGTTAAGGGGACACGAAAGTGCCGTCAAAGGTCTCGTTGATCAAACTTTTTTAAATTCTTTATAAAACGTGAAATTTCATGGGCCTCCGGATCTTCCCCGTGGCCTCTGTATTCACGTTGCAAAGTTTCAAACGATTCGGCACACCGAGTTCGGAGAAGAGTTTCATAAACGAGACCTCTTCGAAGTCACTTTCATATCGCCTTAAGATCTCGTATCGAGCAATTGAATGAGCCGATCATTCGTTACGACTCCAATGGAGAGTCGGTAGATTTTTGAAAGGGTATTCGTTCCCTTTTGTTCCATGAACGACGTTCACCGACGTCGGTGAAAGAAAAAAAAAATGTCTCTCTTCTCGTTTGATTAAACGACGTCGCGGTCGGCGTCGTCGTTATGTAGAAAGTGACAATACGCTCGAGAGGTGCGGAACCAATCGCAAACGAACGAAGATAAGGAACGTGACGATTTCTGACTCCGATCGGGTAATTGCGTGTCAACGCGTCGCGTCGTTTTCGGGAATGCTACTTTGTGCGGAATTTTGCATCCGTAGGAGTTATCGAGTACGATTAAGGGTTATTATTAAGGCTGTCCGAACGAGCCGGGCCCGATAGAACGAAACGATCATTAGTGGATTCCTCAAAGCGTTCGGATCATCCGTTTAACTTAATCGTTCGATCGAGCACGCGGCGAGGTTTGCTTTCTTCTTTTGCTGAATTCCTCGAGAAGGTCGTGACTTTTTTCTTCTTTCGGCGCGCACTCGGCCTGCGTTATTTCGAATAACCCCGCGACTCGGATGGGCCTTACCTCCGAGTTCTATCCAGTCTCGACGATCTCTCGCGTCGAATCGAAAAATCTAAAATGCGTCCCCTCGGTCGTGCGAGCGTCTTCATTTTTTTACCGTTTTTTTTGTCCCCTCTTTCGATCGGAGAGCCGCGGGATCAGCGATATAGCCGATCGATCGAGTAGGCAGTAAGTGTTGGCGAAGAAGGGAAAGCGAAATTTCGTGTCCGCCAAGCAACGATTAGACGAGACGTAAAGATTATAGTTTTCAAGGGGTCTTGGTAATTCGTGGGTGTTTTCGAATAGCTATGATACACGTATATGTGATATATCGATATATATGTACATTATTAGGCCGGCATGTACGAGAGCAACACTCGTACGCGGAAACGGCAGAAAGAGAGCCCGGTCGAATCTCTTAATCGAGTTCGTTGACGTTCCCTTTTCCCCCCGTGCCCTTTTCATTCAATTATTTATACGTTATCGACGATCAACGTTGCCGGCAACCGTAATTCGTACGTTTGTCGATCGGTATTCTAAGCGGTCGCGTTGATACGACAGAAGTTAGGACGTTTCGATGTACTTTGTAATATATGAAGATATAGTTACGATAGTTATTTAATTCGGTACAGTGCGGTATACTTTTAAAGAGACAGGTCTATACATAGTGCATATATGTACAAGCCTATATACGAGTATTAACCGGATATATCCAGTGTGCCCGTCGAAGGCACTTCGCATTTAATCGCCTTTTTCTCGAGTATGCATACATATACTTAGACGATTGAATTAATATTTAACGAGTACTTAAAGGACGCGCGAGATATATTCCTTTGGGTACCTTATATACACCTGTATGTATATGTGTATGTATAATGCCGAACGCGTAGATATTCCCCTCGTTAGGTTTCCGCTCCCCGTTAGTCCGAGTTAAGAGCAAATGTATAGTTTTCTTTTAGAGCCACGTTCCTTTGATCGACGTTTCACGGGTTTGAGTAATTCGTAAAATGGAAATCCTTTTCGAGGCGCAACTTGTACTCGCGAGTTCTCGGACGAGTCGTCCGTTCTTTTTACGATTTTCCACGCGCTCTCGTGTTTTTTAGTCCCGCGCAAATCCAATTGACGGAACGCGTCGACAAGTGTACTTTGATCCTTATACGCTATAAGTCATAATATACATACAAGTAATTTGTCACTTATACGGTTATGTGACTACAGATTGTACTTAAGTAGGAGTCTCTGTAAAATCATGTATTACGAAGCAAGAATTGTAAATAAACTAAAGACCTGTAACGGAAGGGTTATTCGTTGCGTTCGTTCGGCTTCGCAGTACCTTACGATGCCCTACGTACGCAACGTACGTACATGTGCGCACCTGACGACTTATGCGCACCTGTGCGGCATCACTAGTGGTCACGCGCGTGCGTGATCAGACGCCGAATCTGGAATCAAGATGGCGACGTCGTACAACCTTTTGAATTCTCTGACTATTGGGGGTTAACCACAATTAACCAGTTGTAACAGTTCCATTCATAGTCATTTATATATCTTGTGTCTTCTTCATTTTATGACTCTGAAAATATTTTGAACATTTCACGTCCGTTGTTCCCATAAAGGTCATCGTAAATTCACGAGTCGGCAGTTGTGTACATTTGAAAAGCGCGCTTATAAATGGAGTTCACTCGGAGTACGTTTGGATTGGTCAGACCTTTCGACCGGTAAATAAACGCGATAAGCGGTTGGGGAAGGTTCAACACCTCCAAACTTTAGTAGATTTTACTCTTTATAAACGTTCGCGACTTCGATCAGTTGAATAAAAGTGCTAATCAAAGCGGTTAATTTCTCGTAGTTTATGTAAAATGACCGCGTTGAGTGGATTCGTCGAGTTCTTCCAAAAAGGAAAGGTAAGGCGGCATTCTTTAGGAAAGGGTTACCGGTCCTAACCTATATGCGGTTATTAACGTAATGTGAATATAGAAAAAGGAAATACTGCTTGAATCGATATTTTTCAACATATTTAAGACTCTGCTATTTGATTTTTAATTTTTAGAGTAATATTTAAAAATGTCATTGGTAGGTAATACAGGTTACGGGCATGTGTTAAATTTTTTCTGTCTGCGGTTTCAGACCTTCAGACCAAAGAAGAAATTTGCTCATGGAACGCTTCGCTACTCGCTTCACAAACAGGCTCAAGCCTCTCTTAATTCTGGAATAAATCTGAGAACGGCGGTTAAATTGCCAAATGGAGAGGATTTAAATGATTGGATCGCGGTACATGGTACGTTGGAAATTTTATGATGCAGCGCTTTGTTTTTGTATTATTGTTTATATTAAATTTATGTGTGGAAGACAAGATAAACTATAAAGTCGTAACAACAAAGAATATTTTGTTTTAGTGGTGGATTTTTTCAATAGAATAAATCTTATATATGGGACGGTCTCGGAATATTGTGATTCTGCGTCTTGTCCCACAATGAGCGGTGGAGCACGATTCGAATACTTATGGGCTGATGGGGAAAAATATAAAAGGCCAACTGCTTTACCTGCACCACAATATGTCAGTCTTTTAATGGATTGGATTGAAGCTCAAATAAATAATGAAACGATATTTCCCGTATCAACTGGTAAGTAAATATTATTTGTATTAAAAGAGTATCGGAATATTTGTGATAGAAATTATTAATATCAGATATTTTCCCTGTCAGATGTACCCTTTCCAAAAACGTTTATACCTCTTTGTCGCAAGATTTTAACACGCCTGTTCAGAGTTTTTGTCCATGTGTACATACACCACTTTGATCGTATTGTAACTATTGGTGCAGTAAGTAAATTATTTGCTACACATTTACTATTCTACTTGTAAAAGGAGAGTATATTCAGGCTTTTTTTTTTTTGTATTTTAGGAGGCTCATGTCAATACCTGTTATAAACATTTCTATTACTTTGTCACGGAATTTGATCTAATACATTCAAAGGAACTGGAGCCCTTAGCAGAAATGACATTGAAAGTATGTCGTGATCCCACAACACCCGTACAAGTCACAGCTTTGACAAACAGCAGTGCAAGGTAGTTTATCGAACAGGTAAGAATGCTTTAACATCAGGTAAAATGTTAGAATACTTCATTGGAGCACTTGTTACTTAAACCAAAGTATAGAAAAATGTGGAGGAGAAGTGAGAAGAAATAGAGGAGAATTGGTTGCAAAAGTATGCAAATTTGTTGTGGAACAATATAAAGGATGTTCAGTAAAATGTATAAAAATTGTATTTCCTGGAGCATCATCCATAGTTGTCATTTAGCTGGATGTACATTACTCAAAATCGCTCATAATATTTGTACATTGTTACAATACATCCTCCAGTTATTAAATGGGTGCTGTTCCTGAAGTTTAATATATAAGTAAATTATTTTATACATAAGGGACTAATTAGTACGATGAAGTGAACACTACAAATAATTTTTGTACATTTTACGGAAGGCATCCTCAGCTCACTCTTTAATTATATGCTGTATCTACATTACAATATAACGTAAATTATATCCATTTAACTGAACTCACTCTCTAGATCTCCACGATTGTTTATTGAACTTTTCGTATACAGTAAAATTTTACATTTATGAAAAATGTATTTGCTTAGTATTACTCGTAGATTAATGCGAGGATATTTATTCATGCGGATGTGTTACCGAGAATTAATTGAAGAAGCAAAAGAGAAGTAGATAATTTAAGTGTACTATTTAATTCGTTTACATTGAACCGGTTTCAAGTGATATAAAAAAAAATGCTTTAATAACGCATGTACTTAAAGGTTTAACAGACATCGTTTAAGGCGTATGTATTAAGTGAAAGAAGGTTAAACTCGACATAATTCAATTCTGTAGACAAATGTAATACTCGGAAACACTTATTTTAGAATTATTTATATTATTTAGATAAGTATGTTTTTAATCACCATTTATGCAGGAGCAATATTCATGTTACAAATTACTTTACTCCTACCATCACCAGTTGATATTATAAAAACCCTGTACTTTTTTATCTTCTAGTCAGTATTGAATGAAAGTCTACGTAAAATTGAAATCATATAGTTAATTCTACAAACATATACGAACTGTTATGGCGAATCCTTTAATATTAGAGCGACCTTTATTTAACACGGAAGCAGTAGGGGGCAATTAATGAAACCCTTGACACGGGTACTTTTATTTCACCAGGTGATTCTTTACAATGACACGTCATGATACAATCACTTCGGACATTGTTAAGCGCTTATAAATATTAGCATAAATGTTGATACGTTCTGACAACGCTCAATATCGTTGTCACTATACAAAGAGAACAGAAGGGAACGGTGGATGTTAGAGACGACTCTTTTATGCGATCCTTTTAATGATTGGATGTAAAGTACATACTGGACTGTGTGGAATATTATGTGATGATAAAACAATGAGACTTAAGGAGAATGCACATAAGTGGCACTTTAGTACACGCCACAAGATCTGCACATAGTGGTGTATTTCTATCTCCGGTATAGTCGACGTTTTATCGTGACACAACCGTCTCTCTCCTTTTCTTTCTCGACTAAAAAATACACATCGACAAATTGTACACGATGAGGACGATTATATTCTAATCCAGTACATGCTACTACGGATGCAATTGTAGTCGGGTAAGTTCTCGACGGGGCCAACTGCTGCTATGACAGGACATCGGTCGTAAATGTACTTCATACCGACTTCTCGAATGTGTTTCGCCGTCACGCTCTAGAATGATTAAATTTTCGTCGTTATTTATAATTGCGATATATCTCGAGATGACAATGACGGCGATTAACATCTGAAATTATAATCTCCAAATGAGTACAACTGCGACTTACCTCTATCCTAGCCTCGAGTTCGTGCAAAGGAATACGGCGGTTGTAGCAAAGCATTTGACGGCCGATATCCTCACAGATTGCGGTGGTTCCGTCCAATTGGAGGAGCATGTTTGTCTTAAGTATATTTTTAGCCCGGGTAACTTCTTTTTCTGTTACTAGTGAACATAGACGCATCCATTCGTTTTGAACGTTCCATAACATGTCTTCGCACTGCATCGGATCACAAACAAAGTAAATGCCCCACAGTCCAGTATCCTAAAACGAATAAGATTTCGATTAGTGGTTCAATGTTTGTTATGTGAGAGATTGTCTTTAGCTTAATAACATGTGACGATATAGTTAAAAGAATAACTCCACACCTTATAACAGGTATTGAAGCTCTGATAACTGTGGCATAGACCACTTTCTGCAGAAGCCTTTGCCAAGTTGCTGGCATTATTAACACCTCCACCTTGACTTCGGTCCCAAGCTCCTACCAGCGTGTTGGCCACCATAAGTGGAATATTATCTGCATCCGCCCATCCGACACCTTAAATGCATAAGATATTACAAGCTTTGTTATATTTTAGATAAGTAATGATCGAACAATAATTACAGTTCAATTGCTTACCTTCAACCGCGATGGCAATATGAGCTAGAGGTATACTGTCGTCCCGCACGCGTATCTCGGAACCCGTGTATCGACATGGTACTAATTTGGGAGGTATCTTGTCGTAATTGGGACCCGTCATTTTGCCAAAATGCGTTTCAGCGAGCTTAACCAATTCCTCGTGAGAAACACCACCAGCTCCAGAAAGGACGAACCTAGTCCATACATTTACTTTTACGTATAATTTATGCAACCATTGATATGCATAGATAATGGTAAATTCTAATTACTTGCCTTGGTGGCCCATAGTTATTTTTTACATAAGAGACAAGGTCACTTTTGGAAATGCTCTTAATGTTTTTGGTGGGTCCAAGAATTGTTCTTCCTAATGCAGTGCCTTGATAAGCGGTAGCATGTAGATGATCGAAAACTACCTCTTGTAAATTCGTTTCTACCTCTTGCATCTCTCGTAAAATGACGCTACGTTCTCTCTCTATTTCGCTTTCACCTAATTTAGAATTTTGTATAATATCGCTAAGAATTTCTATTGCCTTTGGAACATCCTGAGACAGACATTTTGCATAAAACACAGTCTGTTCCCGACTCGTGTATGCATTTAAATGAGCTCCCATATTTTCGATCTCTAATTCCAAGTCCGTTTGAGAGCGCTTTGCTGTGCCCTATTAAAAGACAATATGACATATCTAGTTGTTGAATCTACAAAAAACTATTTAATAATGAATTACATGGAGAGGCTAATAAGATTGTGCAACTTTGTCTTACCTTAAATGCCATGTGCTCCATAAAATGTGCCACTCCATTGTTTTCATCGCTTTCGCATCTACTTCCAGCATCGATCCATAATCCAACGGTAGCAGTAGGTGCGCCACTGTCTTCACTGGCCACACGCATTCCACTGTCTAATATGGTTGTTTTTGTTGGAGGCTGGTTGATAAGCGTCTTCTGAAGAACCGCAGCAGTGGACCTCCATTGTTTCCGTGTCTGGTACAGAATCAATAGATATAAAACATTAAACTCGTGTTAATATTATAGTAATGATTCTTTCAGTATTAACAATTGCTAAATACTTTAGTCACAGTGCAACATCAGCTGATCCATAATATACAAATCCAAATAATTCATTGCATAAACTGGAGTAAATAACTCAGTATTCTAACATAATTATTAAATAAATTGTTGAGGCACCCTTTGATCTAGCAGGTGTAGAGATAGGCTAAGTCGAGACTCCAAAATAAATGTTTTATTTTTATTTATTAAGAATGAGACAAAATTTTATTTTATTTAGTGTATTACGTAAGGTATCACCTAAATGGTACCTTAAACAAATTCGCCCGTCAAGTAGAAAAGACGTTTTCGGCCAACATTATATCGATCTTTATTGAGAGAAAATACAGAAAGGAAAAAAATACCCGGGAAGATAAAAGAGAAAGAAGGTAACAGTCTACCTTGACCAGGCTGGTTTTATCGGAATACGTCCGCAATGCAGTACCAATTCGCAGCAGACAAGTCGCCATTTTGCCTAATGATCGAAGTGGGCCCTCACGCTTGCAGAAATTTAAAGGCTAGACTGGGTCTGGAGCAAAGAATAGCGGGGGGACAAAGAGTGTTCACGGTCTATATTTCAATTCGTTCCAAGTTATCTGAGCCGCTATTGCTTAAAGGTCGCGAAGCGAAACACGTTCACATTTAACGTAGCATGCTCCTCATCGTGCGACCATTCTGGAAGTTATATCCATGAACATACGAATATAGTTGTAGCATCTATCACCATATTACTTCGAAAATCTCCCGCGCATGCATTTTCTTCCTATGATACCCGTTATAAGAAACTGACTACTCCTTGGTGTCAAGTCTGTACGAATTGGTACAGGTTGTGTACGACCGTGGACATAACCTTAACAATTTAAGAAACGTTTACGGTTTAATTGTGATATAATGTTCTGTGTCATATAATTTTATTACACTGTTTCCCTTTTAATTGGCATAATATATTCACTGGAAGAAATGTTACCGACTAAGCAGTGCATTTCGTTTGCAATGATGCAAAGAAGTTCGTTGATCAGATCGTGTTTATCTAGCAGGTATTTCCGTCCACGGATTTTCATACAAAAATATTATTTGTCGGAATAAATTCCTTACGTGACCTCTAATAATTAAAATCAGTGGTAATTAATTCGATGTAACCTTGTGGACACCGATGATGTTAAAGTAATCACTGATTTAGTTCTCTTTTTCATTTAGGTTGCTAAAATCGAGTACATGTTTAGCGATTGCCACTAGACGAAAGAAAAATACCAGCAATCCTTCCGTGTCGTCGCTCTTTCAGTCGGTGCCTATTAAAGCTAATCCAGATGATATTAATGTTGGAGCAGAACTCTGTGGGACCTTCCAAAAGTCAGATTTGTTAAAATTACTCGTCTTATTCTCACAGCAAAAGGAAGTAAAGTCATTAGCATTGGAAATGGGTCTAGATAGTAAGTGATGGTTATCAAGGAACAATGAACGTTAAGGAAAATTTATTTTATTAGATCTTTGTTGTTTTCAGATTCTCTCTATCAAGAAGCTTTTCTCAGCTTTCGACGTTACTGTTTGGAAACGGAATCTTTACCGGTAGATCTTCATGTCGTAATAAGTGACATATTACAAGGTGCTGGACATATTGCCGATTTATTTCCATATTTTCTGAGACACGCCAAACAAATATTTCCACACATTGAATGTATAGATGATTTAAAACAAATTAGTGACTTGCGGAGTCCAGCAAATTGGTATGGCTTAGAATAATGAAATTTAATGAGCATGTGTAATATTTTTAAATGATGCAGTATATAAATTGAAATCATGACTGATATAAATTCTAGGTATCCAATAGCCAGAGCAAAGACCAGAAAAATCATATTCCACGCAGGTCCAACAAATAGTGGCAAAACGTATCATGCTCTTGAACGACTAATGCAAGCAAAAAGTGGCATGTACTGTGGCCCTTTGAAACTATTAGCAACAGAAGTTTTCCAAAAATGTAATGCTCAGGTTTGTTGATTTATTGACTTGAATCCATATCGTTTGATTTCACATGTTTTAATACTAAAATTACAGGGAACTCCTTGTGACTTGATAACTGGTGAAGAACGTAACTTTGTTAATGGAGAACAAACGCCTACAAATCACCTGTCCTGCACCGTTGAAATGGCCAGTGTAAATACCGAGTGTATGTAATTAACTATTCTCGAATGAGTAAGCTTTCTTAAATATCTAAATTACTTGGAATAAAAAGTAACGAATGAAACTTATCCGTAACAGGTGAAGTAGCCGTAATTGATGAAATTCAACTAATGCGAGATCCTGGTCGTGGCTGGGCTTGGACCAGAGCTCTGCTTGGAATTCCTGCGGACGAGATTCACGTGTGTGGAGAGTCTGCAGCAATAGACTTAGTACGAATTCGTTTTAACAGCCGTCACTGCCTATTTATGTTATCGAATATCGTATATTCTTCACATTGAGTGGTTTTACCTCAACAGGTACGTTCCGTGTGTCTAACAGCGGGTGAAGATGTAGAAGTTCGCAACTACAAGAGACTGACGGACTTGACAGTCGAAGACGCCCCTCTCCTTTCTTTGAAGCATGTACGTCCTGGTGATTGCATAGTGTGCTTCAGCAAAAATGATATTTACGCAGTGTCGCGTGAATTAGAAGCCAACGGAATAGAAATTGCGGTGATCTATGGTAGTTTACCGCCAAACACCAAATTGGCTCAAGCTTCAAAGTTCAACGACATCCATAATTCCTGCAACGTATTAGTGGCAACGGATGCTATTGGAATGGGATTAAATTTGTAAGTTTCTACTGATTGAAAGAAATGACAGGGTGCATATGTATGATGATATTATTCGTATGGCAGGCACATACGGAGGATTATTTTTTACTCTTTAATTAAACCTACTGTTAATGACAAAGGAGATAAGGAAATGGATACGATATCTGTGTCATCAGCTTTGCAGATCGCTGGCCGGGCTGGTCGGTATGGAACCCAATGGGAAAATGTAAGTTTATTATCTGCAAATTTTATCCATTAAACATATTTTGTCCAATGCCTAGGTAAAATGTCACATTGAAAATTAATTGCAGGGCTATGTAACAACATTTAAGGGACAAGACTTGACAACGTTAAGACATTTGCTTAGTCAAACACCTGAATCTTTGACAAAGGCTGGATTGCACCCAACGGCTGATCAGATAGAATTATACGCTTATCATTTGCCAAAGTCTACCTTGTCGAATCTAATGGTAGTATATTGGACCACTTGCGTTTTTCACTGCTTCATGTTTAAACCAAGTTACCATAATCCTTTGTGTTGCAGGATATCTTTGTTTCACTGTGCAAAGTGGACGATTCATTGTACTTTATGTGCAATATAGAGGACTTTAAATTTTTAGCTGATATGATACAACATGTCCCTCTTCCACTGCGGGCTAGATACGTTTTCTGTTGTGCTCCTATTAATAGACGAATGCCTTTTGTATGCACAATGTTTCTGAAGGTAACTTGAAACTTAGTATCCATTTTGAAACGAGAAATCTAATTTATATTTATTGTTACTTCTTTTTATTGTAGTTCACACGACAATACAGCAAAAACGAGCCAATCACGTTTCACTATCTATGCCAACACATTGGGTGGCCATTCGCGTCGCCTAAGACGATACTGGATCTGGTCCACTTAGAGGCTGTCTTCGATGTATTGGACATATACCTTTGGTTAAGGTACTCACATTTAAGAGTTCACTGTTAACAAAATTTTTACTTCATGAAATATTTTAGTTATCGATTCATGGATCTGTTCCCCGATGCCGAAATGGTCAGAGACATGCAGAAAGAACTGGATGCTTTAATACAAAATTGTATAATCCAACTGACGAGATTGCTCCAACGTTCCGAAACAGGTCTGGCGTGCATTCTTTTATGTAGCATTGAAATAACGGATAATCGTTAAATCGTTAAATGGAGGAATATATTGATTTAGAATTGTAATAATTAACGGTAATCGTTTTGAAGCAGGTGTCAGCAGTGGTGTAGCTGCAGTTTCTGATGAGGACAACTTTGAACAGCACACGAGAAAGCAATCATACTTCCGAGGTAACTTGGTAAAAATAATATTAGCTTAGTGGTAAAATAAAGTACTATTAAGGAAAGATGATTATTTAAGAAATTATTAATGTATTTCAGGACAAGAATCTAACACAGTAGGCAATGGTAAGCTGACAGAGAGATTATTGGCCCAAGGCTTACTCACACCAAATATGCTCCAAGAACTGCGGCGAGAATGGGTCGAAGTAAGTATACATAGAATTAAAGTATTAACTTACAAACGCATACATTTACGACATTCTACAGAATTATGGATTAATATTTGTAGGGCAATCACGGGGAGTCAAAGTTTACGAAAAAGCCAAGGAGAATTTTCAAGCCAAAATAAATGTAATTGGAAAATAACAGTGTAGTAATTGACCAGGTGTACATATTGATAATGCCAATGCATCGACGTAAAAAAGTGTATTTTTATAGCTCAGTACTTAAATTTTCGTTTCTATCCGAGGTTAGAATATTCCTAACTTAGATGTACACATGTGCCTACAGCTAACAGAAACAGGAATTTCTTCAACAAGAGGGAAGTAAGATGACTGTGCATATTATATATTAAAATTAAGCTCAGCTGAATTATCTTCCTGTAGTATCTGTAATTTCTTTTACGTCTTCGTTTTCAATTAAGAGAAACGATTCAATAGTACGCCGGAAAAGAGTGCGAAACTGGGGCTCAGACTTTATCCTCTGAAGATACCTCTGTATGATCCGCTTGGGAGGCAAAGTCATGAAATTGTTAAGCATCATGTATCTATACATGCCTGGAGACTCGATATAAAGCAGGAGGCATAAAAATACCCAGCTCTCCGAATACTGTGTGTTCTTGGTGTCGTTCTTCCCATCATGGGTAGCTCTCAGACACTCTTTTATCATTAACTTCTGGATTTCTGGCAACTTCATTGACTTAATGGCTCCCAGGATTTGTTTCTTGGACACTGTATACGATGATCGGAATTTGTCTTTGAAATCTTTGTTCGGTATTTGAAACCCCGGATCATGCCTTACTGTTTTTTGAAGGCCTTGTACTTTCGTTGGATTTGATGCTTCCAAAAGGTACATCAATTTCTTTGATCTATTACACGATCTACTGTTTTTTAAAGACTTGCACTTAGAGCATACCGCAGTTTCATTGTTGAGAATGAATGGACAACCTATGTGTCTCCATTTGTCACCTTCCCTATATGCCAAAGATGAATCAAATTGTTTAGGCATCTTCTTGTTAGAAATTCCTGTGAAAAATATTTTTATTTTTAATACATCACATATGTAATAACTAAATTGTTAGAACTAATTTTTACAAAGAGGTACCTGAGCACAAAGTTCTTTGATGAAACTCTTCAATGAATTCTTCAAGATCCGACAACGAACGAACTTTGGTACCCATATTATCTGACGTGAGATCATATATCACAGGGTCGATTTCAATGTTACCTGCACCACAGCGCATTAGCATGTCACTCTTGACAAATACTTGCTTCTCGATACATGGCATTCCATTTCCTAACATACCCAAGAATATATACATCACTGTAGTAGCATGTTTCTTGGATGCAACCATGCATGACCAGCCTTGTGGCAATACTACTTCGGTATAAACTTCTAAGAAGTCTTCAAAGAGCATGATTTCATCATCTAATAGGGCTTCGTTAGATTTATTGTCGTTTGAGGCAGTGAAATCTTTCACGTACAATATTTCATCCCTATTTGTCATGGTTACTTTGAAATGAGAGTTTGAATCAAGATCCTGATATTCCTTGTATAAACTTTTATTAATCATATTAACATCCTGTGTCTCTGAAGTTTTTACAGGTTCTTCTAAAATCATTGGTGTTTCTATTGCATGTGCAACTGGCTCATTAATTATAGTAGTCTCCATTGTAACTGGATCTTGATTCTCACTTAAAGCGTTTTCACCCGAACCGACATATGTGAACTCATCCTTTATACGATCCTTACTAATCGTATAATCGTTATGAACCTTTGATCCATCGTCAGAGTTCTGTACGCTCTCACTTAAATGGGTGTCCAGTGTATCAATGAACTCATCAGAGGCATTGTCTAACACCATGACGTCATTCCTGTACAAATTGGTATCGAAACGGTTCTCAGTCTCTCTAGAATTTTTACATTCTCCGTTGTTAACAGGAATGTCGTTACTTTTGTAACTTTCTACAGCCTCTTGGGAAAAATCTTCTCTAGGTATCAGAAAGGTTTCTGCTTCATGCCTCTCTCGAATACATGCCTTAGCTTGAATTTTCCCAGGAGGAAAAGTATTCTTGTTGACTTTAAATTGCACATAATCTTCCTCCTTATCCAATATGTTAGTTTTGGGTATTAGATTTAATTCCGGTACAGCATCTGGTTTTAATCTACATTTTTTATATTTTATCTGTAACAAAGGATTTGGAAAGATGTCTTAATCAGAACCCTTAACTTAATCTATGAAAATGCAATGCAGAAAGCTTACCGTGACTACATGTGGAGGAACTCCACTCACCCAGTGCGTAATGATATCGCTTTGATGGAAATGCTTACTGCAAATATACGTTCCATCTGTGACCATGTGATTTTCCCCAGCGAGGGCATCCTGCCATTTCTTCCGTATTTCTGGATCCTTAGGTGCGGAAAAGAAGCTGTACGCATTTTTGTAATTTGTTTCCTTGCAAAGCACGCACTTGCGCGTCATATTCGCATATTTCTAGAGCGACTTTACGCTCTCTGACGTGCCTTGCAACTGTCATCCGTAATTATTAACTACTCATTCCTTGAAATTCTTATTCAATTCCCATGTCTTTCCGATTCTACACATATATTTATATTTATACCAATCGCACTCACTGAGATTATAATTTTAGGTTATGCAACCGAACGACGATGAATGGAACAACGAGACTCGAAGAATAGAGAGACGAGATGGGAGATTGCCAAAGAGTATTAGATTGCTCACGGGCAGGTCGCGCGATCGTCCTCTTCGAGAACTCAAGCTTACGTTGAATCGCTGAGTTGTGCCGCCGTTGGAGGCGCGTCCGTTAACCGTCTGCATGCTGCACCGATGGCAGCACAGAAGGCGATCGTGTAACCCTGCCCGTGAGCAATCTCCCAACTCATCCCTGTTTCTCACGGTCTTGGTCCGCGCGTTGCCGCGCAGCACCGCGATATTCCGCGAGACGAAATACGTGCCCGAGGCGGCCGAACGAGCAGGCTGGAGTAAGCGCACCTTGTCAACTAATTAATCGCACGCTTTTTTCCTTCGTATCCGTGAGTGGCTGCGTCTGCCCGCGACTGCCCTCGAGAAATATCGAATGGCCGTACGCAGCGCGTGACGTCGGCCACGAAGAGGCACTGGCGTTGTCTGGCGTAGCTCCTTAACCTAGGTAAATGTCAGAAGACGTCACACGGAGAGTGACCTCGGGCCAGAGCGTCGGGTCTCGAGGCGTCATTTTAATCGAAAGAATGAAACGCCGGACGGAGAATCACATTTTCGACTTTTCGTTCTTTCACTTCGACCGGACTCGGCCACGAGCAAGCGGTCGTTGAAGCCTTTTCTGGCATCCTTTCGCGGCGCAACTTACTCTGACAATGATACGCACAATGCAATAAATCGGAACCGCGCTTTTACGCACCTAAGATTCAGAGGATTTTCGTCCAAATTCTTAGGAGATTAGATATCTTAAAGGTCGTTCCAAAGGAGGTCACGAGAAACTGTTGGTTCTACTGCAGATAAAAAATTAATTTGGACGTTTTCGAGTCGATTGGTTAGCAGTTTTCTTTTGCAGGGTGTAATCGGAGTATGTACCAAATTTTATGGACAGCGCCTCTTTCGAATTTAACCATGCCGCCGAAGCAAAGGAAAATCGCTATTATGGGTTATAGGTCCGTGGGTGAGTAATCGTCGTGTTGGAGGTAAACCTGAAAAAAGTAAGATGGCATAAAATTTATTCCTTGTAGGAAAGTCGTCTCTCAGCATACAGTTTGTCGAAGGACAGTTTGTTGACTCTTATGATCCAACGATCGAAAACAGTAAGGATACTTTTTTGGTAATGCGAAAGTCTTTAATTAAAATTTGTATCGACTCATTGCCCTTTTCCTTTTGCAGCTTTCACAAAAAGTACCCGGGTTCACAGCCAAGACTACGAGGTTAAGTTAGTCGACACGGCAGGTCAGGATGAGTATAGTATATTTCCCACGCAGTACTCGATGGACATTCACGGATATGTATTGGTATACAGTATAACTAGTGCGAAGAGTTTTGAAGTTGTACAAATAATTTATGACAAGCTATTGGACATTACAGGCAAAGTTCAGTAAGTCTCTCCCGTTTGATTTCATTCGCTCCGCGTTTGCAAATAACTGGTCGATAACATTACTAATAATCCCCAATTTCTAACATTTTTTTAGCGTACCAATTGTATTAGTAGGGAATAAAACTGATCTCTACGTAGATCGGATGATTTCCACGGAACAAGGTAAACGTCTCGCGGACTCTTGGCATGCAGCTTTTCTGGAAACTAGTGCAAAACAGAACGAGGTAACGACATGTGAACGATTACTCTTAAACGTATCAAACATAAAGCCGACACCTTTTAATAGGAAGAAATTATTCTAGTCCGTTGCCGATATATTCCACACGTTATTAATCGAGATTGAGAAGGCGGATGGCAACGTTCACGAGAAGCCAAATTGCATCGTCTCTTGAGTTCGATTAGCTAGGGTCTTGGAACGATGCAACTAACGTTATCACAATTTTGGCACATGTAAATGAGTCGAAGAAGGAAAACCTTAATTTAGTTCGGCAATATTACAAGCACCGAGAGGAACGCCTGACGCCCTGGTCGCAACGGTTCTACGGTCGCTTAATTTCAAAATTGGATCGAGGGGAAGCAAGACCAGTAAATTTTGAATAGTCTCAATTATTGTTCACCGGCTTGGTGTTTGTAATGTACTCGCCATTACGTATTATTGGATACAGGAACGTGTAAAAGAAAAAAAAAGAAAGCATCGACCGCGATCTCTCTTCGAGCCGACAAGTGCGTTCAATGGGATACATACCGGAGAGCATAGGTCAGCATGGTACTCGTAATTGCAATATCTAGTGAATACCCTGCATCTTTCCCTGCGACATGGAGCTCAAGATCGTCGTTAGTGGACTCCTGCATCGGACGTTACGTACCTGGACATTGTGTCGATAAACGATTTTTTTTCTCGTGGGTGCAGATGTATCGAGTACACCGATGCGAGTTTCAATTCGTCGGTGAGCTGTCAAAGATCACGTGTTCCTGACACATCGGTCTCATTTCGTTCTCTTTACTTTATATTAAGGCTATAGGATTACGGCACACCTAGTGCCGTACCTCCGGGAACTCGTTGACGATGCGATGCTCCGAATGAGCTTCTGTCCGCCGAGAATTCGATTTTTGACATTTTTTTAACAAGCGGAAGTTACGATATCTACCATCATAGGTACATACGCGAGAACGATGCATTTGAGAGAATAGTTCGCTCTAGGCGGGCATCGCATCGTTCGAGTTCTCGACGTACCGTAGGTTTACGTGCTAAAGATGTATACCACCCTCGAAAGAGAGAAGACATGTAAATACAAAGAGAGCCTGACGTCGTACGACGCGAGGTATGTAATAACCGTAAAATAAAAATGGAAACGAAACTACTCTCCTGCGCGCACACGTATCGCAGACATTTCACGTGGCAAATTGTTTGCAAATTGTAAGTCGATTTTCATCATACGACGAGTACGAATTTCTATCCGCGAAGGGTCTCGATCCCTCGCGAGAGATCCTTGTGAACATGAAAGATACCATTTATTTATCATTTCCTGGGACAAACGAGTTTACATAGAAAGGACACTTTGAATAAAACGCAACTGGCCCGACCACTAGCGGATCGGAAGATGTAGACAAAGTGGATCGTTAGAATTCCTACAGGTGTATCACCCTCGCCGTACAGTGAGGTCCCTAACCAGGTTCGAAACAAGGCGAGCGACCGATCGTTTCTTCCCCATTTTTTTTTATTTCCTTCCCTCCTATTCCTCCCCTCGAGTTTTTAATCCCCGAGAGGAGACGGATCGCTCGCACGAGGGGATAGCTACGTTACAATAAATATAGCCATATCCACGTAAACGCGTATCACCGACCAAGCACCTCGGATTTCGAAACGAAACACCAAACGAGGTTACCAACGCGAGAGCGAGTAGACGTTTAAATATTATAAATTATTAACACGCGCCGATGGAACTCCCCGAAACGCTCGCCTCTTTCTTCCTCTCCCTCCCTCCTCTCCCCTCTGCGTCCCATTCGCGTAACAACGGTACTCGATCTACGAGAAAAATTCTAGTAAGGTACAAACGGGAGTTTCATCTCGGTTCGACAGGCGGATAATAACATATTAAGCTCGGGTTTATTTACTTAATTCTACGTCTGCGACGCGCTAGAAAATACAGGCCCGCGCCCTTTTCAATTGACGAGTTCGCCCCGGCGAAAGAAACTCCTCAAATGGTTCGTGTCTCGGTCCATTGGCAAACAGGCCAGGCCACGTCCGACTTGTACTTCGAATCTCTCCGGTATTCCTTTCTTTCACCGAGGCTCTATCGACGAGAAGGTCTCCTAGTCGAGGAAACGCCAATTTCCCGATCGTACCTCGCGTTCATTTTTTAAAGACCCATGCGAAAGGGTCATCGAACTTTCCCCCGAAACTGGGTACATAGAATGGTTTCAAATCTTACGATATAAATATGGAAAGTCTCCACGTTCACGTTGTAGTTTCGATCTGCGACGGAAGTTAAGGGAAACTGACGTCTTTCGACCGGTCACCCTCTCGATCGAAAGTGCATTCGTTATTTGAGCAAGAGGCCCTACCGCGCATGCTCGCATCCCTACCTAGCGGACTAACTAACGGCGGCGCCAATAACGTCGATTACGTCGATTACGTCGATTACGTCGATTACGTCGATTACGTCGATTACGCCGAATCGCCCATTTCCCAGGGAAAGAAGGAGAGGCCAAGAGCATCTCCGTCCCCGTACGAGTCGAAATTTCCATCCCCCTCGCGTAATCATTAATCCTTCGAGCGCTAAGCCCATTTGGCATATGGGCGAATTTCATCAGGGCGTGCAAGCAATATTGGACCAAACGTCGGACGAACTTATGCGTCCACCGCGCTCAAAGGGTTAAAGGTGGTAGGTAGTTCCATTTTTTTTTTCCACCCGTAGACCTAAAGCAGGACCTCGTTAGAACGGAGCAGGAGGTGGAAGGTCCAAGGGAGGACTCGAAAGTGAAAAGGTCTTGCTTTGGCTCCGAGGGCTTTAAAAAAGGGGGCATTAATTTCGACTCGAGTGGCCCTTCGCCGTGCGGCGTCGTCGACGAATCGCGACGGATCTACCATAATTAGGTACGGTTTGTGCACGGTGGTCGTTGAAGTCTCTGTGCGCACGTATCTGGGTAGAAACGGCCGATAGGCGAAAATGATCGCGACGACCAACGTCGAATATCGCGACCGAACGAATCGGGGGGAGGAAAAGTCGCGGTTAAACGAGCTACGAGAAGTACGCCCCCGGTTCGCCCTTGTACACCCACGTGGTGCTCGGAGTATGCGAAGGTTTCTCTCTACCACAGCCCATATAACGACATCGTTTACGCGCTTAGGCGATATCGTTAACATTACATATACAATTAGAGTGATACGTATGGTACACTTAACGCAGGGTATAGAAAAAAAGAACCGGTCGGTTCTCGCTATCTAGCTCTCTAGGTTCTCTCCCAGACTTCACCCGGACCGAGTCGACGGGGTAACCGGGACACCCTGCCGAACCCTTCGGATTAACCCCTTACCCCCTCACTAGCGAGTACTATCTTTTATTTCTCCTTTTAACGGGGTTTGTCGAGTCGATTTTACAAAAGATCACAGTCCAGAAGCGTCGGCGTAGGGACCGAGGGATCGCCCTCGGTCGGAGTTAGGATCAACGGAAACGAGTCGCCCTATTTTTCTCTCTCCTCGACGTCGCCTTAAGTCGTTTAATCGAGAACGCGTAGATTCGCGTCGCTCGTCGGCGATTTCTCCCATTCCTCCCATCCCTTCGACTATTGCAAGTTGGACCTTCGGACAGACTCGGTAATTCGGCAGTACGTCAAAGTTCCCAAAAGGCCGACGATCGTTTAGACCGGTCTAACGGAGTCTAATCGTTAACGTTTAACATTTAACTCTGGATAATCGTTCTACAACATTAAACCGTCGAGCCCATTTCGCGAGACGGCGAGGGTTGATTCGGCCCTGACTTCGACTAAGCCTAAAAACACGATTAAAAGAAAAGAAGAAAAAAAAAGGGAACAAAGAAAAAGAAAAGAGCGAACAAAAATAAATTATAAATCTGCTATATGCCCTTCGTATATACGTTTTACATGTGTACATATATATATATATCTCACTCTCTAGCTTCTCTTTCGGTTTCTCTAGATGGATCGGAAGAAGAACGCGAATCGGGTTCCCCTTGCGCCCTCGGCCCCGTCGAGCTCCATCCCTCCAAGAAGTCCCCGTTCTAATTAAATAACATTATTGTAACGTAGTCGTTGTACGGTGTAACTAGTGGTCCACGAATCGAGGCCCTTCCATCCGAACCCGAGGATGCGCGGTCCCGATCTCCCCGAGGCATAAAAAAAAAGCTTCATCGAACGACGGAAATATTTCTTCGAGCAGTACCGAAGGGATGTATCGACAATACAAAGAATAATTACCCTCGACTCAAACGAACTCAAATTGTCATCCCGAAGAAACGTCGCGTCGAAACGTTTCTTTGTCACCGTACAAAGAAACATTTCTCCGGTTCGATAACCTTTTTTCCTCGGTGGATTGTCTGGCAAGAGAGCGAATCGACGCCCGCCCCGAACTCCTCCGATTTCCCTCAACGGATCGGAAGGATCGAAATCTCCCCTTGAAATTATCCTCCCCCTTATCGCCTCGTGTCCGGCGATAAGACGATTGCCCTTTGGCGCGGAGAACGGTGGAGGGCGCAAGGCTCGAGACAAGAGTCGAGGCAAGAGGGCGCGAAGATTGAAAGTTTCCCCTCCCTTTCTATCTATATACATACACCCTTCTCGCTATTGTACCTTTTACCTTCTAGGTCAGCTAACACCGAAACACCGATTATCATTGACTAATTGCAATCGCGAGCCGAGGTCTCCTCGAAGACCTTCCCCGTCGATTCGATCCTCGAGTTCGATACCGCGACGATAGTTCTCCCTTACAATTGACGATAAAGTCCGAGACCTATCAGGAATCGTCCCCTTTCCCGCGATATGTCAAATCTACATCGCGCATTAATATACAGCGGATATATATATATATAACCAACCGATCGAAACGACGACATTACTAGTTCTCCTCGAAAGCCGGGTTGAACATCGACGACTCCAAAAGCTTCCCTCTAATTTCTTAATAGCGGACGTAGTAATGATAATATTAATAATAATAGTAATAACAACAACAATGGGACAAAGCTGATAAAAAAGGAGTAGACGCTCCAATAAGGTAAATATGACGAAAAGATGACGTTCGTTGGACGATCAGTTTCTATCGGTAAACGCGTGAATGCAGAGAAAAAGAACCGAATAAGAAATGGCCATCGTCAAGGATAGTCGAAAGAAAAAAAAAATATATATATAGAAATAAAAAGAAGCGATAAATGAAACAAAGGATCACGAGATTTCCGCGGAACGCGCAGTTTAGTGTATCGATATTAAAGCCCGGATATCCCGAGGCGTTTGAAACGCCACCGGGGGCTGATATATGTATATATATAGATATATTTCTTATGTACAATTCAAGGATACCGCGACGTCGGGAATGCGATATATAAATACACGTACGCGCGACGTCGGAAGCGTTAACAAATAATACCATTTACAATTGCGAATTTTTTTTTTTTTCTTTCCATTGCGTCCTGCCCCTCTGTTCCCCGTCCGTGGCTCCGAGAGCAAAACTTTAAACTTTAATCAGTCTGAATTAATTCCGCCACCTTTCTCCGCCCAGCTCGATATAACGTCTCTCCCCCCAAGTAGCAGATATATTAAATATATTAAATATATTAATATACCCCGCCCCAAGACCCCCATTTTTGTTTCTCTCCCCCTCCGCGGTTCGACGTTAATATTTCCCCGATTGCAAATATATATATTAATACATGAAATATACACCCCTCCCGATGTACCCCACGGCTTGCACCTGTATATCGTTATAACAAACAAGCGGACGGGAATGACACTGTTGCTAGTTAGACGATAGTATATGTACGCGCATACTATCCGTTCGCTCAAACGCGAGATACATAAGTAAATATAAATATTAGGTATGTTAGATGTAGCAGGTATAATAGTCGAGGTACCGGGACACGCATCCGGACCCGCCTCAGAATACCCATCCGAATACGTGCCCGCGTTAGGTCGCTTTTCGCGCGACCCAGCCACGGGAATTAGTGCCTTAAGCGGTGCATCGAATACGCACAAGCCCACGTTGTATCGGGCCTCCTAGAAAGCGCTATTAAAACTCGCTAAATACGAAATACGTCCCCGGTTAGATACCCCTTGGTCCACCGAGGGGTCTCCATGTGATATGCACGTAAAACTTGCAATAACGAACCCCTACGAGTTTGCACGTGAGCCTCCCCTTTCCCCACCTCGCCTATCTACTTCTCCAAGGTACATTTATATGTCGCGTACAGACGTATATACACGTACATGTATATATATCTGTGCAACGCGAGTGGTATATATTAATTTATATATATATATTTTTTATATATCCGCATATCTCTATTATTTTAACTGCAATTCCGCCCTGGGCTGCGCACGTCTCTCTTCCTTGCGGCGCATCAATTCACACACGCAGTTTTCGCTTTTTTTTCTCACTCTCTCTCATTCGCTCCGTGTACTCGATACGGACTATACGGTATTAGGTAATCGTAACGTTAGCGTAGTACCTCTTATTAACCAGACTTGTAATTTCACATTGAGCCATCTATGTCGCGATTGCGCCGTTAAAAGGCGAAACTCCTGCGGTTGACCGCGCGCAGAACTGGTTGCATCTTTCGACATTTTCCTTCTTTCTATCCCGCAAATTTCTCATCTCACGGGGAAACGCCGCCAAACGGAAAAGAACCGAGCATCGGTACGCTAATTATTGACCGTAAATTATTTGAATTACCGATAAGTTGCGATAAGATAAAAAAAAAAAAAGGCGAGGAGAGAAGGGTTCAAGGAAGACGAAATGCTCGCGGAGAAATGCAACAAGAGAGTCCGGGGACGGAAGGAGGCAAAGAGGAATAGTCTTTCCGTTGGCGATCGTTTTCGCCGCAGCTCGGTCCTCGCGGCCGTTCAGGCGCGGGTCAACCGCGTTCACGCCCATTAGTCGTCGGCGCGTACATACGCGGACTATCGTCTATGCGTTTACGTCAATATGTAAACCGCGCACACCGAGTACGGTGCACTCTCTAATAACGAAACAAATGTTAAGGAAGAAAGTAAGCAAGAAAGAAACGCAGGGATGGGAAAGCCCAGAAGGTCGATTCGTAGGGACCCGATTCTCACGTCCATACCGATATTTTTTCGCATAGGAATAGATTCGCAAAAAAAAAAGTCTTATCATTGCAAAGTCGCGTCATCGGTCAACTCGAGAATAGGATCCCTGTGTTCTTGGTTCGCCTCGTTTTCCCTTCCCCCGTTTCCGTCTCTTCAGCGACATATCTTATCGAGCGAGTACAGGGACGCCAGGCGGGTCGCAAGCTTAACATTGGTCATTGTTGCATATCATTAATCGCATTTTGACGTTACCATCCGCGGCACGCTTCGATAGGTATCGGTTAAACCGTGTCCATGCGTGCACATATACGTACGTATACCCGCACCCACATACCGTGTGTACTTAATATTACATATCGTTAGATACTTCTCGTTGGTACCGTTATATATACATATATATATACCTCTGTCGTGTATATACATATACATATATTTAGTATATAATATCACATGCAAGTAAAACAGGATTGTCAGACACATAACCTACTAGATAGAGCTCTAAACCCCTATGTAGTGATCCGCGACTGCGTGGCGCAAGACTTACCGACTCGTTACAACTCTAACCGATATTTATATATATATATATACCATGTACGAGTTGAACTTTCGCGATAACTAATTTTGCCGATCGGAGATTACTCCTTTGATCTCTTGTATGCTTAAAAGCGGAGAACCGGCCTTCTAATTGGAAAACCAGAGTCGAGGTGCGCCTCCCCGTTACGTTCCGGGTATCGAAAGTGCCATATCTCTTTCCCTAATAGATTTGAAAGAAAAAAAAAAAAAAAAGTAACGAGCACCTATCGTTCGATCGATCGTCGATCGATCAACGATCGGGGAAGTACCCTCGGACGATTGCACCTAATCGCGTGCCTAACTACCGCTAAACGTTACCCTAACGTCGACTAACTATTCTCTCGGAGAGGACACCCTGATACATTACATCCACGTATTTATCGTTTAATATCTAACACATCCCGTAATTAAGCGCCATTTAAACGTAGAACGTGTGCCCGTGATCGTGATCGCGATCGAGTACCCCTAATCAGGATCCGTCGATCTTACGATTTCCATTTCCCTGACCCGGATGGAATCGTTAGACGATCGTAACGATCAACGTAGACGCGGTATCGGAGTATCCTTAATCGTAGATACGCTCGCTAGCGGAAATCGTTGCGGCCTCTGGCACAATTTGTCATCGCGTATTCTACGTCGACTTCGTACCTAGGTCGGGAGTACGAGATATGCTTAGTAGTGAACTGCTAGATTTCTTCTTTCGTTCTTCTCCTACGGACAGTTTTGGTACAACCGACACATGGAACCTTGCATCTATACGTCGACTTTTACGCTACGCGTAAACGTGTCTCTTGGTGTTGAATACAATTGAAACGATTCGAGAGTGCATAGAAAAATCCCGGTCACTCGACGACGCGAATAACGGTGAGATCGTTGTTAAGCGACGTTAATAAAAAAAATATATATGTATTAAAAAGAAAAACGCATGCCCCGCCTCGAAGTACCGAAAAGAAAAAAAAAAACCTGTAGGAATAGATATTACTCATATTTCTTTTTTTTTCCGCTTTAACTCGCCATTGTGCGTTTCTTTTTCAACGTTCTCCCGGATAACGTTAAGAGTAGAAAAATCTCATCGCGCGATAAACTCCGCCACCGGTCGGGGAAGAAGAAAGAGAGAGAGAGAGAGCTCCCGAGGGAGCCGAAATTTTCTCAAAAGTAGAAAAAATCCAAGTACCGAGGAACTCCGAAGGAGAGGAGTACGACGAGGAACGGGGGTCCGTCAACGTAAGGACAAACTGCAGTATCAAAAATCTTCCGACACGGTGACTCGACCAGGTTCGGATTTACCGTGAATATATATATATCGTAATTGAGCGTAAGAACGTGCCCTGTAATTAGCCCCTGTTAAAGCGAGAGAAGAACACCGTTAAGTACACCGTGCGTTGCAAATTCGTTGACATTCCGAGCGACTCTCGGTAGGTAATCGAAGGAAGATCTCCCATCCCCGCAAAGTGCATAAACTCGTTCAGAAAAATATCGGCACGACCGTCCTCGAACATCGGAATACCCGCACCGGAGGAACCAAGAGGTCGGAACGAAAGAAACGAGTCTCCCCATGCACGGAAAATCGGTCCATCCGGGATCTAACGTAGAGGAAATTCAGAACGCGAGCCAACCGAACGAGCGAACGAGCGAACGAACGACGGAAACCTAATAGTAGAAGCAAACTCTTAGCGAAGTCCTCTCGCAGCCATGTAACAAGGAGATCGCCGTAGTAGGAGTTATCACAGTTAAATACACGGACGTATAGCCACGCATCCGCCAAAAAGCCAAAGGAAACGTACGACGGTGCGCGACACCTTTCCATTATCCTCGGTCGGATCGAAAAGAAGCGCCATAAGTTTCCACCTCTGAATTGAGAAATTTACAAAAATCATTCTCGCGCGAAATGCAGAAACACGGCCTTCGCAGTAAACCGCGAACGCCGAGAAAACCCCGGACGCCAACGAAAGAAGCCTTTGAACAATGTCGGTAACCGCGGTTCGTTGCATAATTCCGGGTTAAAAGGCGAAGACATCGTCCAAGAATCGGGCGAAAACAAAAGCCAGAGGACCGAGCCCTGATTTCCTCCTCGTAGAGAGAGAGAGAGAGAGAGCCGACCTCGCGAGTCCGCGAGTTGGATAGCTAAAAGTCGCACAAAATACATGACTCTCGGTTGGCGACCGACAGAGTACGGTACCCTAGGATATCCAGCGAATAGTAAAAACGTTAAAAACGAAGGCGAAGACGCGCGTGCCCCCTCCCCTAGGCCCAGGGGGGTTCTCGTCGCGTTTCGCGTAGTCTCTCCGCCCCTCGGCCCCTTGTAACCCCCGATACAATTCGAGAGAGCGCGACGCCTGCTACATTTTTTATCAGGGGGTGAACGAGCGTCCGTCGGGTTCGCATATGCTCTCCCGAAGATGCGAAACGAGTCAGGCATCGAAAGAAACGAGGAACGGGTCCCTCGTCGAGACGAAGACATTATTTAAGTGGTGCCGACTTCCCTCGGGATGAGTTAAACGCGAGATCGCTTCTATACCGAAACTGCGACGAATTTTGCAACCGGTGTAACCGAAGGGACAAAGTGTCGTCGAGGAAACAGTTTCCCATTTAACGAGAAAGGGGTCGGGGGAGGGGAAGTTGACAACGTATCTTTCGGTTGATCGTCGCGGTCGTTTCTAGGAAGCTACGGAGTCAATTTGCAAGGCACACCCCAGTACGTACGCATGCGTGTACCGTTCGAACGTGCAACGAAATAGACGGCACGCGTGCAAAGGCGCAAAGACGCATTACTCGGGGACGTAGGTACGCATACCGGATATACGCGTAGACGCGCGAAAGACATAATACGTACGTATTAAACGGTCGAGTGGACAGCATCCGGATTGCTTTGTAACGTAGACACGACGGATACACCTACGATGGATTAGGACCTCCCCGGAGCGAGACCGGGAGCGATAACGTATCCCGCCGAAAAGTTGCTCAAAAACTCCCATGGAATACCTCCTCGACTACCGTAAAAAGCAAACAATTGACCTTAGAATTTCCACGGTATCCTCGAGTGTCAACGACGAACGATTCCTACGACAATTGGAGGGGGCGACTTTTACGACCGATTAGGATATCTCCCTCCGACCGGACATTGAATTCGACTCGACGATCGACCGACGCCGTAGGTACGCGAAAACATTTGGGACTTTCTCGGAGAACTCGAAGAAGTTAGTCTCCGTAGAAAATGATCCCTGACACGACTGGGGTCGCTCTCGCTCCGGAGCGTCACCGCCGGTTCCCGAAGTCTCTCTCTACTTGACACACATTTTGGGTCACACACTTAAGGAAGGCCACATTTAACTATTCTAGAAATCCTTTAAATCTAGCGTTTGGACTAACACACTCATAAAATCGAGCCGAGATCCCCTGTGGGGATCCGTCTCTACCTAAGCGAGTAATGGTCGGAGCTGTTTCGCGAACGGGTCCATCCGAGAGCACCCACGAGACCCCGAGGACGTGACCGGACCAACCCTCCTCGCCATCGTCCACGGGATCCTCGGAATCGGTTTCTCGGGATGGCCTCGTAGCGCGCGTTAAAAAACTACGGAATCGCGATTGGCGCGTAAAAAATCCACGGCGGAACCTTTCGAGGACGAAGAGTCCCGCCGGTCGCATCCTCGCTGCCGCGAGCCAGCCGGACACCTCCTCGACGGAGGAGCCCTCTTCCTCTCCTCGCGCGTGTCGGAAAAGCGCCAACCCGAGGAGAGTCAGTTGGCAACGATAATAAATTAGCACCAGGAATCAGAAACGCCAGCTAGATCCTGCTCAGAAGAAGCTTAGCCGGGCCGGGAACGGCTCTTGCGGTTCTGCTTATAATTACAGTACTAATAGTCGGATACGCGCGTATATACGCGTATACGCATATGCACAAATGCATGCACGCGTATATACGCGTGTACGGTTCCGTGTATGTGTATAGGTATATAATGCAGTGTATACGTAACGGAGTCTGAAGCAAGCGGAGTCACGAGACACGCCCTGGTCCCGGTCATCGATAGTCGAAGCGAGTCCCGCCGCCTCGATCACGGTCTCGCGGTCGTCGGGGTTGCTCTCTTCCGAGTTTGCTAGGTGCAGCTTTGGTAAACCGGTGCTCCTCCCTTCGGGGCGGTCGGACTCAAGGACGGAGGCTGCCGCTCGATCGGCGGGCTCGTCAGGATCGGGTCCTTCGAGGTCTCCAGCACCTTCTTCTCGATCTCCACGTCGTAGAGGATGGTCGCTTGCATCGCGTTGTACATCCCGGTGCGCGCGAAACGGCACGCCTTCGCCAGCTCCAGAATGCTGCCGGCTAGAGCGAGGATGTCTGGAAGAAAAAATAAAAGGGCGTTTATGCGCGCGTCTAAAGCTGGCACGTGATCGTGCCGCGGGGATCACTCGGGGGTATCAAGAATATCGAATCTACGAACCTTTGTCGTCGTGCACGGCGATGCAGTGAGGATTCTCCTTTTGGCGCTTGTTAGCGTTGGCGATTTCTTGCTTGCGACGTTCCTGCACCAGTTTTATCGCTTCCAGCCAGTACTCCATGGCCTTGTGGACCCGCTGGTTCATCGAGGCTCCTCGCAGACGCTCCATCTTGGAGTTAAGAAAACCACGGAACGGTATTAACCCTCTAACTACGGCGGAGTCGGAATGCTGATATTTGATATGAATTCGATATTGATTTGTCGCCACTATAGTGGTGCTTCGTAATTAAAGGGGTAAGTGAATCGCGCAAAAGAACGATCCAGGGACCGACGGTCCCTTCGAGTGACTAGTGGAATTATCCGTTAAAATTGACACCAACCTTTGCAATAAGTGTGATGACCCTCGCGTGTTCCCTCAAGTGGTCGATGATGAGTCTATCGACCCGAGACGGATTCCCCTGCAACCTCGGGATAGGGATGTTGTTGGCACTGGTCACTCGTTTCCCGGGGAAACGAGCCGCCAGTCCGGCTTCGCACTTTTTGCGCTCCTTCTCGAGCTGTTTGAACTGCTCGTAGGTCTGCTCGAGCCTAAGGTGCAGCACGCTGGAAGGGCCCGATCTCCTGGCAGGTCCGTTGCCGTTCCTCAGGTTCAAACCACCGCCGCCGCCGAAGAGGACCGATATGGGATGGAGCCTGGGCATCGGCACCGGGACGGGCATCGGCATGACGGATGGAAAGACCGCCCTGGCCGCGGTGCCCTGCATCAGCCTCGCGTTGAAGGGAACTTCGTTGGACGACATGCTGGACATCCTATGCATCCCGTGCATCTGTTGCTGACGTTGCTTCATGATGTGGTTGAAGATATTGTTATTGACGGAAGCTCCGGTCATCGGTTGGGCAAGGTGGTTCGCCCCGGAGGGGAACATCTTATTGGTAAGGTTGAACGCGTCCATCTTGTAGCCACAGCTGGTACCACCGGTTCGCTTTAGGCCATTTTGATAGGCCACCGTGTTCTGCGGCAAGGTTTTTATGCTCTCGACGTTGTTGGCAGTGTAACGTTGATAACCATTCGTGGCCTGGTAATTGTACTTGTCCATTGATTGCTCCATGTTTCGGCAGGAGAGATTGCGAGGAAAACTCATAGGCGAGTAGTTCTGGGGTAATTTCTGCTTTGGTGTCGGACTGTGTACCTTTAGTAGAGTATTGCCGGCCCTGTGGTCCACGAGGGAGTTGCCGTCGGTCGAGCACAAATCGCTCGGCGACGTAGCAGCTAATTCGTTCAAGGTGGAGTAACGATTCAGCAGGCGTTTGTAATTTTGCTCCATCGGTCTGTCCAATTTGTAGCCGTGGGACTGTTGCAAAAAGTATTGCTCGTTCGGCATCGACACGTTTGGAACGTTACCGATGTTCACGTTGGCCGACTCTTGTAGGTCCTTGTATTCTTCGAAGTTGTTTCGTTGAAAGGTGCCGGCGTAACAGTTTTGCAAAGCAGGGTCCACGGGAGAGAAGTGCTGCAGTGGCGAATTAGACAGGAAGCCGGAGTCCGCACTGAGATCCGTCAGTGCCGAACTGGGCCTGTAAGCTTGATTGGAGGCAGTCCCGGTGTACGAATCGTGCATACCGAGGATTGGATTACCGTGCAGATTGTGAGAAACGCTTTGCTCGAGGTTACAATGTAAATCCACGTCATTGTGAGAGAGGTTATCGGAAGAGTCCACGGCTAGATTAAGAGCTATGTTGAAATTAAAATCCGGATCGGTGCAGGACTGAATCTGCTGGTAGTTACCGAACAAATCTTTGGCATAGTCCGACGCGAGGATGCTTTCGGACCAGTTGTTAAGTTGTGCGTTGTATTCTGGTCCATTTGTAGTCGTGGCCAATCCATTGGACGGCGATGCGTAATTTCGTCCAATGCACGAAACCCCGTCGCTGGCATTAGGTGCAAAGCGTTGTGGCTCGGAACACTGTAGACCGGTTACGAGACCTCCGGGATAATTCTGAACTCGATCAACTGACTGGCTCGTTCGTTCACCGAGGCCCAGGGTGTTCAGCCCGACACAGGCATTGTTGTACTCTCGATCATTTTCCGTTTGAAATGGGATACCATTCGGTAGTTTGCCAAAAGCGTAACGAATCTGAAGTCCATTGACTTCGGTGGGGCAGGAACTCGTACCGTTTCGGGGTTTACCCACTCGGGATCTCTGAATCGTTCCATCGTAACCAGGGACGTACACGTCGTCTTGGACAATGGAGTCGTCGTCGAGAATCTTTGCAACCAGGTCATTGACCATCGAATTACTTAAATCTAGACATTCTTCGTCTTCAGGGATTCCCTACAATTTAGAGAAAAAAACCATTGATCTCTACATGCTGTAAGTCTTTATATTGGAGTCCTGCATAAATCCCCAAAAAAAAATCTTTTCGACCGTCGCAACACCGACCACGTAATTGAGTGACTCGTTCCCCCCATCGTCCCTAACCTTAATATTCCATAGTCCACGAGTTGTCCTATCCTTAACAATTTTTCATTTGTTCACCAACCTTTCCTACCTTCTCGTTAGAACGTCCATCCAGCAGGTTGTAGTTCCAGGGGTCGTACTCGCCTCGGATATCGCTGCTGGTGCGATTGCTGGTCGGCATCTCGAACATACTGATGTCGCGTTCGACCTGCAAACACAAGAAGCCCTTACGAACCATAACCACCCCGGGCGCACTATACAACTTCCACTAATCTTAATTCTAAAAACCTCACGTAAATAACTCTCGCGATAAATAACCTCAACGTTCCCCCGCCCCAATCGTTTCAGGAAAATATTTCCTCATTCGCACCTCTGAGACGCCGTTTCGGAGTCTAACACCTACACCAAACCGTGAGCTGTGATGCATGGTCACGCATATTCTACGCACTTGACCGCACGTACTCCAAGTATATCAGGAAAAGAAAGAGGGATTTATAAACGTTAAAGTCGGCCGCCGCAGAGGCAGTCGTCCCTGGGAGAAACTAACCCGATCGGGGCAATATTCCCCGTCGCAGCCGGTATCCGACGAACGTCGCAGTTGCCGTTTGATCGCGTTGCGACGGCCATTCGCGACGGAGGGGGACACGGCCGCCGGGGCAGACGGAAAGGAGAAGTTCAAGCCACGCGAGAACGCGCGAAATACCTTGCCGAGGGCGAGAGCATTGTTGCCGATGATCGCAGCCAGGTTCTGGACCTCAGAGAGAGCCATTTGTTAGGAGTCAGGATTGTCGCCTGCCATTCCCCTCGTCCCACTGATTCGCCCCGACTCGTCCGCTCGTGGATGGTCGCGGCCCCCGTCACGGCTGGTTACGGCTTCCGCGAGTCGCCGCGTGCCGCCGTGGCGCTGCCGCGACTTAACCTCAACGCTCGACCCGCTCGCCGTACGTCGACTACGCCTCCCGCTCGTCACGATTCGTTGTCGACAGATTCTTCGTGGTTCCTCGTTCACGAGACATTACCCGCGTATTTAACTTCCCGACGTTCGACGTAGTAGCGACGCGATGGACGGTCGTACACTGGCGACTCCGATTCCACGACGCGAATCGGACGCAGGCGTAGCTGCGACCAGCGCGCCCCAAAGCACCACCAAACGCCCGGTGACAAGTGTCGAGACGCTCTCGCAGCAGGTTCTCCGAATTCCGTCTACAAGATCCAATGGTGCGTTCGGAAATCCATCAGAGATACGCCCGAAGAAGCGACGTCATTGGTCGGGAGCTCGCGCAAGATGGCGCCACCCGTGCGCCGCGAGCCCACGAACATTTAACCTCCCGCCAAAACTAGCACGCGATTTTCTCGCTCGCCGTTGCCAGATGCGAAAATTATTCGCGAGGAATGCGGACGATCAAAATGCCTCGCATTTCAGGGAATTCAGGGTTACGTTGGAATTCGTTCAACGGAATTCACGAACGGGTCGGGAACCGTCTGGAACTCGCGCCGCGCGTTTCCGCTTTCGAGATTAGAGACGAACGCGAGACTGACCGCGAATACTTTCCGAATCTTTACCTGGCTGGATGTTTACTCGCTTTAAAAATTCGGGTATCACGACTAGAGATAGATTGATCCCAGGGATAACTCACGGGTAAATATTTCGAAGACGCGAAGTCAAATCAGACGGGGAGCTCCGAAACGATGAACGCGGAGCGCATCAATTAATACTTTAATCGAGGATTAATCAATGCGACGTATAACAATCGGTTAATCCGATTAATTTAGGAAAATCGATAGCGTCTCGACGATCGCCCGTTCTCCGTCAATAACGGAGCACAACATAGGTCGGTTAAACCCGTAATAAGGGGATGATTTGAGTACTCACTTGGGGTTTACGTCGAGTCGAGGCGTAATCGAATTTCTTCCACCGAATCTTTTTCGATCTTCCGAGACACAGAGACCCGGGAACCTCGTCCTGGTGCGATGGTTCTCCGGAACTCGTGTTCGAGGACGTTCGTTGCAGCGACGCGCCTTTTCCAAACCGGAGCGCCACCCTCGACTCTTTCCTCCCCGATCACGACGCCTCTATGAACAACGCCACCATCTACACGGAATCCGACATACCGACGATCGGTATATCTCTGTAACTTGAAATTTTGCAAAAGGTTCGCACTCGCCCCAAGAATAATCCTCCAGCAAACCGATATTTCCATTTATTAGCATAAACGTATGTAATTATTGTACTCCTAGGTATCGGGAAGCAAAAATACAAGTAGAATCGTTCTCTCCTCTCGCGGTAAATAGTGACGTTATTGTTACAGTCGTCGATTCGAAATGAATTTCATGCACGCTGTAACTGTGCATTAACAATGAGTACATAATCGTATAAATAAAAGGTTTACTTTCCATCTTCGACGTTTCGATCCTCCGCGAATAGGTTGCACCGTCCCAATGTGTCGAGATAATTAAAATTAAAACGCTCCCATCCATCCGCTCATAATCTCTGCGGAATCGTTCCTTTTTCTCGCAACAAGGTTCCCGATCGCCGAGGGACAACAATCGTGTTGGAAAAATTTCAAATTCTATGCTTTATTTTGTTGCCGGTATGCCGCGTTACCTGGCGCGTCACAATCTCCTCGATCGTTTAATATTAGGATTAATATCGATAGGAACGGCGGAGGGAAGGTAAACGTTAAACGTCGAGATGGTATGGCCATTCCAGCCGAACTCCGACTCGAAGAGGCATCCTCGTTCTTCTCCCCTTCGGAGGCAAAAGACCGATGGTTAAATTCCATCGAGTAACCACGTAGACGCGATTCCCAAAGGTTACTTTAAAAACGATATCGCGTCGGCTCGAGTGGAGGGAGAGAAGAGGAAATATATAAGAAGGCGATTCTGGCCGCGAGAGGAAGCCTGCTCCCGAAGGGGAGCTACGTGGTTCCTGTGACGTTCGGCAAGTATTTACATATGTACAAGGTTCGTAAGCACCTCCGATATCGTCCCGTCCACGGTGCACCGTGCACTTGGTGGACATCGCGCGTACCACCACTGGCCACTCTGTCGTTCCGTCACTTTGACCGTAACTTCTTGAATAAAGCTACGGCGGCACCTTCGAGGATCGGCTCGCTAAATGAACGTCAGTCGGTCGTTCGGATAGGAGGTGTAGAAAAGCAGATAGGCACTGGTCTTCTGAGACTTGACGAGGGTCGGCGAGGCCTCGGTGACCGTCTGGTCGTCGTACTTGTACCACCTGTAACGCGGGAGTCGATTATTTCAACGTTTCCCACCATCGGAGGTCGCATCTCGGCCACCTCGGATGATCGACTCACTTGTTCTGAGCAGCACTTTTACAGAACGCCGTGTAGTGACCGCTTTGCATCGTCCCATAGTGGTTCGACATGGCGTACAAGCTGTAATTGTAGTGATGCGCCGGAGGAGCCGGTCTCGCGTCGTTGTCCGCAACCAGGTACGGCTTAAGGTTAAAATTCGTAAAGGGGAAGTCCACCGCGGTGTTTCTCTTCTCCAGCCAGCCGTCGCTCTCGCCGAATCGATTCAGATGAATCACGAGAATCGGGGCCAATTTGACGAAGTCGAACTTCTTAGTGGCTTCGCGAGCCATCTTGCAATTGGGACACTTCCAGCCCGAGACCTTCTGCTCGCTGAGGAATTTCTTTATGCAGCCCTGACCGCGAGGATGATTTTTCTAACTTAGTCATTTTTTCGTACACGCCGGTAAACGTAAAGGGATAAAAATAAGAATGAAGCACTTACGTCCAGGTTGCATCGTATCGAAGGCAGAGACATCGTCAAACTGTTGAACGTCTCGTAAGTGGTGCTACTGTTTCCGCAGGTGGCGCAAAAAATGCTCGACCTTAGTTGCCCGAAGAACAGCTGAGAAATGATGGACTGTTGTCCACCCATGGCCTTGTCCCATTCTTTCTCCGCTATGCTCAAGGGACCGTCGACTCGAGCCACGACTTTCTGCAAAACATCCATCCTTTTCAATCGGACGTCAACATTTGATACTTGTCGTAGAATCATTATTTAATTCATTAAATTACCCTCTTGAGGTCATTATGCATCCAGTCTAACAGAAAAGTTAGGAACTCATGGGAGTCTTGTTGTTCGTACCCGTCGAATTGCAGCTTGTACTGGCCGATGACACCCTTGAGAAGATGATTATATTTAAATAGCAAATTTGTTACGCGATAAGTGGTAAATAATTTATGTGCGGTGTAGCTAAGGGATAGCAAGGTACCTTAAGATCTCTAGGTGATATACTTTTGTATTGTCCTCTCCACAACGCCTTGATCACCTGGGCTACCTCTTCGGCAACCTGGCCGTGCGTTCCGTTGTCGTTGCTCGTATTAAGATCGTCAACGTACATGTTGTCGTTGAAATACTCTGCCAAACTGGCAGTGTTGCTTAGACACTGAATTATGCTGTTCATGTAACAGGAATTCCCGAGATTTTTCAGGCCCGTGATACCTGGGTGCTGGAATCATACGAGAAAAATTACGTACACCGTGCATCGTTGCACTTATTGCCGTCCTCTTTACACCAATTCCCCTAATTGAACGCAACCAGGTCCGAGAATCAAATTACCTTCTTAAAGTAACTGACAATGTATCGAGGAACAATTCTTTTACGCTGTTTGGTAGAGACCATTCTAATGTCTTCCTCTTTTATATTTCTTGGCTACGCAGACACTACAGAGACTATTTTACACCGGTGTAGAAAAGTTCACAAGAGCTTCTCGTGACTACGGGCAAGCTCGGTGGCACCATCTCTGACATCTTTAGATAAGAGTTTTACGAAGAAATAAATCAAATTTAATCAAGTTTATCACGAAATTGTAAGTTGAATAGGTGGTCGCGGAGAGGCATTTTACGCTCTTGTCTTTCGGAGACTAGGAGGCCTCGAAAAATGGTCGTAACGTTTCCGTTCGACGGAGGAACTGTAACTGGTCGAGTATCCGACCAGTGAAAGATAGTTGTTTGGAGAGCGAGTCGGTTATACAGTGTTCGGTGACGAGTTCTGGTCATTAGATCGAATTGGATTGGGAAACCTCACACGTGCTCAATGTTTCCACGTACATGTTCACGCGTTTTCTGTGCAATGTCTTCCAATTAGTACAACTGGACCGTCCTCCCGGATTTATACCATAAATTTTTCACCTAATGCACGGTAAACCGACTCGTCAGATTTACACTAAACAATGTGAAAGCATAAGGTCAGCACAACGTAAGTGACGAGTAACAATTATAAAAAAGAAAAACAAGGGATATCAATCGATATCCAATTATCAATTAATTAATATTTTTCCTTATCGGTGTAAATTATGAATCACATGTGCCGTTAAATTAATAGAGCAGATAGAAATAGATCTACTGTCTCCTCTAGAAAACGTGACTAATGCTGATCCCTTTAGCGGCATTAACAGCAAACGTCAATGTCTTTGAATACACGAGAGAGTGTTTCTAAATGCCTAGTATTTTTAGACTATGTTAACAGCGACTTCGTCTACGTAATAACAATGAAACGCTAACTAAAGAGGATTTTCAGCTTTCTCGCATTTAAAGCAGTGGTATTTTCTCGAACTCTCGTACCTTCTATTATGGAGAAATAGTAATAATGCCTGAAAACTGTCGACTGTACTCACCGTTGGGCCACTCTGAAAAATGGGATCCATCCTTTGCTGGCGATCTCTCCAGCTTTGTTGGGAATGTTTGATGTTGGTATTGTCGTGGATATCGTTTTGGTTTCTTTGTAGCTGCGGCTTTGAAGATCGATCCACCTGAGGTGCCTTTCGGATGTCTAACTGTTATCGTTATATTGAAAAGATTACGGATGTTTAGATGAAATTATAGCATAGGTCTACTAGAATTATTAAGTGTAATTCAAATACAAAGGTAGTTGTTTACCTGTGCAAGATTTGGACTAGAATGTGATCGCTTTAAACCAGAAGTAGTTGACGGACCATCAGTTTTCAGGGGCTCCTTGTAAATATCACTTTCGTTCTGCTTCTGCATGCTCGATACTTTCATTCTCTCCTTTTCCTCTAATTGACTACCAGCATAATAATATATTAGATATTACATATGGCAATATTGAGGTTTTGTTTTCTTTTCGAAAGTGATATTAATGACATACTTATACAGCTTCTTTCGTTCTATGAAAATGGTCTTGATCTGCTGCTCCGCGGATCCGATACTAAGGTCTAACTTATCCTTTTCCTTGGCTTCGGTAGGACTTAATGTTACGTCGATTTTCTTGTATTCGGCTAAATTTTCCTTGATTTCGGTACTTCGTTTTTTCTGAAAATCAAATGCATGAAAGTCTCAAAATTAATAAATCGACGAATATAATTAAACTATCCATTAAAAAAAAATCTATTCTTTACCATTTCTTCTAAATCAACGTTTAGTGACTTTATACGATCACGAATCCTTTGTTCTTTGTTTGGATCCTTATTTTCTTCATTACAGCACAATTCAGTTTCTGTTATTAACATTTCCTTTTCAAACTTTTCCAGGCATTTTGTTACTTCATTTAATTGTTTCATTAACATTAGTACAGATTTCGAGTCTACGGTGCTTCCTTTTATGTTTGGCTTATTACTTCGATCTATAAATGGCTTTGGAACACTGTCGGAAATAAAGGATTTAGACACTGCCTTGTTGGTACGATTTAATGAGTCATCTTTATCTCGTTGAACCATGTCAATATCTCCATTTTCAGGATTTTCAAAGACTGATTTTTCGTTTTTGTTAGAAGAAACAATATCTGCAGAAACTGTTCTAGGACCAATTGGGATGGAATTAGATGTTTTATCATAATTGTTGGCACTGATGTATGAATTATAAGTGTTATACAAGGACTGTTGTTCATCTGTACTTCGGTTATCCGAAAGAATATTCATCACTGGCTGTTTCTTATCAGCATTCACTGGTTTTAATGTTCTTGGTGGTATTGGATTTGTTTTCATTCTAATACTGTTAGAATCGTTTTCAACTGTCATCCAAATGGGATATTCAACTTCTTCTAAAATTTCATCCATTGCATTCTCATGCAACCTAGGTGGTTGCACGTTTGGATTTGAAACAAAGGGTGGGTAACAATTTAACCATTCCGAAAAGCCGCCATCTAAGATAACTATCTTTTTGTACGTTACTGAAGGGTCCCAGAGTTTCAGAATTTCTTTCAAGGTATTTAGAGGGTTTTTAGGAGTTAGCGATACATGCGTTGTATTCCAGTCCATGAGAATAACTGTATCGATGTAGTCCTTCCCTCGGTTCTTGAACAGTTGTAAGGAACGTTTGTCATTTTGAAAATATTTCTCAAAAGACGATGCGAGGACCCTGGAATACAATAACGAGATAAAAATAGTTACAGAATTTGAAAATATATCAAAGTTAGAACTTTCAAACAATTACCCTAATTGTATTTGATCAGCAGGAATGTTTATACATGCTTCACATGTCAATTTTGATGCCTGAAAGTCACGCTGGGGCCTGATGTCAATTACTAGGAATCTACTGCACATTTGCATCAGGTGAAACAGCTGAACACATGTTATTGATTCTTCTTCCATTGATGGATCGTCAGTTGGTGTTTCAGGCAATACCAAAGCCAAATTGTTTGCTGTCAAATCTATGGTACCATTATGAGATTTTATAGGTTCCGGATCTATTTGCATCGTGTCTACAGCGGTTGTCATCCCTGCTACCTTCTTCATTGTAATCTCTGTTTCATAATGTGCTTCAAGGGTTTGGCTCAATTCTTCCACCATCCTTTTCACTTCATTGATCTGACAGAAAAGTAAAGCATTGAAACAATTTTATTTATAATCAGTGACAGTATAATTCACATGAAATATTTATGTCTCACCTGAGTATTTGGTACGTACGCCGTATAAAGTTTTTCATTTTCTTTATACTCCCTTGTTTTTTTTAACCACTCAACAGTGTTTAACCATCTCTTAAAGAGGACATACGCCTTTTTACGTTCTCCAGCTTTCTTTGCTTTCTCTCCTCTATCCTTAACGGATGGTAACTTCTTGCAGACTCCAGAAGGGGTCTTATTGTATATATTGACTTTTGTTAATTTAATAAGATCGCTCATAGAACAGCACCGCTGTATCGCTTGAGTCAACTCGTCTGACATCATGGACCGTCTCCTACCATCGATTCGTATCACGAGAAATCTTCACCAAGCTACCTGTATAAATTATAAATTACATAAATCCAGACATTCGTCTTCATTTAGATTCATTATTTTCGACTCTAAAATAACTACAGACCTTGAATCTTAAATATGCATAGGCGCTGTTGAATTTGTCAAATTTATACATTGGAGGGAACCACTCTCTTAACGATTGCCAATAAACATGAGACTGAAAAAGTGATTCAATTAGTAATGCATTGTGGAGTAGAAATTGCAGATACGTAAGAACTGGACGGATAATACGACTTTCGAATGTCAAGGCGACGTTTGCTTAAATCTTACCATTGGGTAGCGTGAACGTCGGTACTTTGGGAAAATTCGGAAAATCGTAACTTCCTTCTCTCGTGGTGACTTCTTCCCTAATGAGTGAGCGCGATTTTGTGGAACATTCGTCGAACAATGGAGAACATCGCTTCAGGAATACCAAACGGTTACTCGATGCTCCATGTTAATTCGCACACCCGAAAAAGAGGTTATGTTAGCTCGTGGCGTAGAAAAGTGGTGCGCGCAAAATGTGACGAAGTCTTCGGTCTCGCGCAGGCTTCACACCGCCAATCGGATATCAAAAAGCTGTTGCAGATTCATTCTGTTCCGGTTTCATTTCGAACGTATGAATCCGCTCTCAACGGAGGTAGAGAGTAGCAGACAAAATCCATATCTCGGCATGGATTCATGAAAAAACGTACGGAGCATAAATTAATAATTTCGACGAGGAGATCGAAGCTCGAGACGTGATCAGAAGGGGACCGCGGCCATCTTACGTTCGTATGTAGTGAAAATGCTACAAAGGAGTAGCTTCCGTGATTTTGTAACTTTCACTAGGGTGTAAACATTAAATACTCAGCTACAATAAGTTTCCTCATGCCGCTATTTCTCTACAGCCAATCATAACCTCTTGTTAACGTTTTGTCGCTTTGTTGCTGTAGCGCTAATGAAATATCGGTTTTATAGTGGTCGATCTGTGTTGAGCTGAATAGAACGCGTGGGTACGGTTTGGTAGGGTTATGTTTCATTAAGTTGGACAGGAGTTTAAATTAATATTACTACCTAATGTCCTAGCGCCAGTATACAAAGAGTGGTTAAATTTGTTAATGTGTACTAAAGAAATTCATTTTAATTTAATATGGCACGCTGTTCTTAAAATTGCCTTAGAAGTTAGTGCATTATAACCTTAAATTAGAGGAGAACCGTTCATTGGTCATGTATACTTAACTACTGGTATTCGAATTTGATAAGGGATACTTTCAGGCATTCAAAAACTTGGTTAATTTCATCTATATTTAGACATAAGAAGGGAGATAATTGACAACAACTGCAATATTCACCATGGTTGTTTTCACGTGCAATCATTGCGGAGAGTCATTGAACAAGCCTAAGGTCGAGAAGCATTATCTATTTAAATGCTTCAACCCCAAGTTTGTTACATGCGTGGACTGTTTGAAGGATTTTCGGTAAGTTATTAAATTGAGCTATAAGCTTATAACGATTAATATAATGTGTATTGGTTTTATGGGTTTATTTATTTGTAAGGGATGAAGAATTTGTGGCACACACTAAATGCATATCCGAGAATGAGAGGTATGGTGGTAAAGGTTATGTTCCAAAACCTAATGCGAATAAAGGTGAACGAAAACAACAAGAATGGATTAATGTTGTGAAGAATGTGCTTGCCAATTCTACTGATTTGACTACCGCAGAACGATCTATGTTAAATACTTTGTCTAAGCATGAAAACATACCTAGGAGGAAGACAAAATTTTTAAATTTTATTAATAGTATTTTTGGTAATAAAGTACCTATGTATGTAGTAGACAGTGTTTGGAATAAAATGGAGTTATCATTTAAAGCAACTACTGAGAGTTATGAGAACACGCAAAAGACGAACGAGGGTGAGTAGTCGTATCTGGTATTTTGTATGGAATGATAAATTCGTATGACTGATAATTTTTTTTTCATTACTAGACAAAGAAGTAGATACAAATAGCTCAAATGATGCCTTGGTTAAGGATCTGCCAGGAAGCAACATTGCCGAGAATGAAAATAATGAAAATTTATGCAAGGAAAATAAAGAACCAGCAGACAAGCAAAAGAAGAAAAAGAAGAGACAGGAAAGTATGGAACAATCCGAAACTGACGAGCAGCCAAAAGCAGATGGATGTACCAAGAACAAGTCAAAAAAGAGACGAGCACCCGTAGATGTAACGACACAAGAGGAGCAACCTGTAATCAAGAAAGTAAACCAGGACATTCTTGAATCGGTTGTTGATTCTTCTATAATTGACTTGCAACAGACTGAACAAAACGGTATTAACACAGAATTCGACTGGAAGAATTCCATTCTGGAGACAGTTCGTTCAAAGGGAGAAATATCATTAAGAAAACTAAAGAAAAAGGTCGTGACACGATATTTGAACCACTGTTCCAATGCTGTGGCACCTGAAAAAGCCGAGAGCAAGTTTGCAAAAAAACTTGGTAAATTGACCAACATAACTGTCAACGATGGCAAAGTAACGCTAATTTAAGTAGACTACTTTCTAAATGGAACAATAAAAAATTGTTTCCAAACCTTTGGATCCTATGTCTCGTATCCCCCATTTTTCTCGTTTAGAATGAAATTTCAAAATTATCGCCATTTAATTGTACGGAATACAAATTTGTGAACCATTCTTTCTGAGTCAACAGTAGCTTTAAGTTACTATACTCCTTTCTCTTTATGTATCATTTAGATTTAGGATTGTTAGTTTAAATTTCGCGGAGTGATTCTGGGACAAGATGGCCGCCGTTGCTACCGTCCGTTTTGCGTTGCTAGGCAGCTCGCCGCCGGGGCCGTTACACTTTTACTTTCTCCGTGTAGATGGATTGACCTTGCGAACGATCGAGCGTCCGATTCACGTGTACTCGGTGGCAGCTATCGATAGAACTTTCGCGGTTGTGTTTTGGCAAAGAACGGCAGCCCATAGAGGGGAGCATTAGCATTGCTGGGCTCGAATAGCTGACGTTTCGAAGAGGTATGCGTCATCGATACGATATCTGCCACACCTGCATTATATCAGGAAGGTACGTATGCGAATGAGTGCGTATGCGCTTGTCGTGACGACACATGTTCTTGGACATTTCAGCTGATAGGTCGAGATCGTTGAAGAGCTTTGTTGCACTCCGTTTGCTGTAGCCTGATATAAAATACTATTGGATGAAAGTCATAGGACGTAGTCTAAGACAAAACAATGACTTATAGCAGGTAAACACAAGTAACCTACAGGTTATGGCATATAAGATGGGTTTATGGCATGGTCGTTTAACAAATAAAATAAGAACGCTTTGTGTATTTATATGGAAAGGATCGAAATTAAAATTGAATATAAAAACTAGTTCTGAATTGTTGCTTGCCGAGGAGATTCAACTGTGTCGAGCGGCAACACGTGTAATGTAGAATATAAGGCAGTGGTTCGAGCAGAAAAAATTTAGTATAGGTAGATAGGGTGCAAGGGTATCGTTTACTTAGTGTGTTTACGTTTCCTAAGCAGAAAATTTCCTGTACTCTATGAGAGGTTCATTGGAGATCCTGCTTCGGTCTTCAAGTTACCCAAGAATCAGAGAGACACGATATGAGGCATCGCTCGAGACGTCCGTCCATGCGTCAGTTGCGACATGTTGCAGGCAGTTCGGTTGTTAACCGAGCTCACCCGTCCAACGGAATACGGTCGTAGAAACGAGGGTACAATGGACACCAGAACATCTGCCAGTGAGGGACCCGTTTTGTTTCGCGAGATACATAAGAATGGCTGGCTCCGCCGTACAGATAAATCGGAAAAAGAAGTCAATCGATTCTGGGTAACATTCTGCATACACGATGACACGGAACCACGTTTGGAAGGTTTTGGGGACCAAAAGCAAGCAACCGTTCACTCGCCTTTATGGGCACATTCTTTGCGTAACGTCCTGCACGTTTCTCCGACGTTGTGTGCCACCCAGAGGAATGATTTTGAGTTTTGTGTGAATTTCAATGACGATCAAGTTTTAAGGCTGGCAGCTCCGACTTATCAAGCAATGTGTGATTGGGTACAGGCAGTCACTCGTAAATTAACCGATATGAAAATTCTGCAGCCAAAGGAGAATATCTACTCTAAGGGGCCCGAGAGGGTTGCCACAAGGGATCCGACGAGCCCACTGCCACCGCCACCAACACCTATCGGGTATGTTGTATTAAATTTTATAAGACTATAATTTCCCCTTTAATAATTACGATGTAAAGAGGCCTTATTTTTACATGTATACATTTCAGTTCAGTTAGTATCCAGAGATCGTTGTCCCAAGGTTCGTCGACTAGTCTCCCCGGTACCTCGAATAGTGGGAGAGACGCTAGACTGGATACTACACCGATGATTTTTACTTTCGATGACATCCCTGCGGAGGATCGTCGAGGTAGACCGGTTCAAGCCCAAGTTCAGAGAACGACGCCACCCTTGCCTAGTCCGAGGCCGATCCCCAGTCCGAGGACTTTGCCAACTTCCGTAAACGATGACCCTGGCAATTCCAGTTACGAGAGCGTGTTCATGGCTTCTTCCTATTCCCCTCTGGGAGACACGGTTAGACGGGAGTCAAGGGAAACCGACGCTTCGGAGGATAGGTACGCAGCCCTCATGGAATATCGAAGCACGGGAAGCTCAGAATCCAGGAGTCATTCCCGATCCGCCAGTGGTCGACCTGGGTTATCCAACGTACGTCGACAGTTGACATTAAGGGAACAACAGGTGTACCAACTCATAAAAGAGATGAGTCATCCAGCTGGAGTTAGATTGCAGTTGGGTCGTAGAGATTGCAAGGACAGTATCGCCTTCGTGGACACCTTCGGTGCAGTATGGTACGCGATCTTTTTTGCTTCCGTCAAATTTCTCTGAATTTTGCCAAGACACGATAATTGAATGGCCGTGATCGATACGATTAGAGGAAACTTAATAAACAAATTTAGGGTCGCCGGATGGAAACAACGCGAGCATCCGTTACTGTACAATGCTCTGCACGTCGGCGACATGGTCCTGAGCGTGGCTGGGATATCTCCCCCGGGGGCTACGGTCATCCGCGACATTCTGAAAGGCTGCACGACACCTCGGGTAAGACCAGAATAATTTAAAAAAACTAATTTTTTTATTTAACCGATTTAATTGCCCATTTTGACGCGGATAGTCGGGGCACGTCCGAGGTTTCTTAGAGATTCAAAATAGTCTTTATTGATACACTTGTCATGCTTTAAATACTCGAGCGGTATCGACGGTACAGAGAGCGCGACCATGCCGAGTAAGAGGAAAAAGACGTTTCGACGATTCTTCCAGGTGGAGGTGATCGTGCGAAGATTGCCGTACGGCCGAGCCATGACCCTGACGAGAAGAGCAGAAGGTGAGGACTTTGGGCTGGAGGTCAACGGGAACGAGGTGACCTCGGTCACGGGGATCGCTCAGGGGCTCGGGTTTCCTCCTTTGGCACCTTCTTCGGATCCTGCCGCCCCTTCGGGCTCAACGGTAACCTGGACCCTGACGGAGGTCAACGGGCGACCTCTCAACATCTTCGAGGGTGGTGCTCGTGAACGGTTGGGAGCCGTTGGCCGAGATGTCTCCATCGTGATACAACCTACGGATTTCGTGGGGTCCCTGCGCAAGAGATTGCGTTCCGTCCGCAGCTACAAGAATTACGTCGTCCAATGAAGGCGAGTCCGCTTCGGAGTCTCCTTCGAATCGGGAAGACGGAAGACGATGGAAGCGAGGGCTTCCGCGAATTCCCCGAGATTCGGTGCCTTCAAGCAAAGCATTCTTCCAGGACCGAGTTAAAGATCCACTTAGATTTACACTTTGTATGTAACGATTGAGAAGGTACTCCGTTAAAGTCGGGAACAAGCGTCGAAGCACGAGGTCCTTGCCGTTATCGGGCACTGGACATCGCGGGAGATTAACACTACCGAGATTGTAAATATTAAAGCAGTCATTTGTCGAACGTCGAAGCGGTATCAGTTTGCATTCGGCGAGGAAGGCCACCGAAGGTGTTGAATAAACGCGAGGGACAATCGAAAGCGAAGAACGGGAATGCGCGACACGAAGCACGTACGTTCTTTGCCGCCCCAGGTCCCTTGATCGCGTTCCACGAATGTCTGCAGGTTGGTAGGGGGATCGAGTTTAGCTCAGAGATGACGGTGCCTCTTAAACGAGGACGGGGCTTGCCAACGAAGCGTATGGTAGAGCGTACCCTGTGATAACGCGCGTAATCGTTTGCCGATTTAAGGAATCGACCGTCCGCGTGCCATTTAACCGCGCGTGTACCAGATAAGGAGGGACGGGCAAAGCGCGCGAATAAAAAGGAGACGCAACCCGAAGGGCCGATTTCGATCAGTCGAGACCTCGTTCTCGATGGATCCTTGATTCGAAGAGGGAGCCTACCCGGTCACCAGTCCAGCGTCTTGGCCGACGAGTACGTGGGACTGTTGGCCGAGTAGAATTGGGAATACCAGCGCCGGTAGGGCATGATGCCGCGGTCTTCCTTGACCAGAACGGGCCGCCGTTCGTATCTCTTGTAGTTCCAGACCGCCACGTCCCGCTCGAACATGACGCACTCCCCGATTAAGATCAAACTCGCGTAGGGGGTCAGCAGGGGACTCGAGTAAACGACGTGGGTGACGCGCTGGACGAGCGGCGACACCGGGAGGACCGTCTGCACGATGAAGACGGGGCCCAGGGTGGACGTGATCAGGAGCTCGACGTAGGCTGGCCCGATCTGGTCGACCTTGACGTCGAAGCAAAGGAACTCGAAGCGGTCGAAGAGCACCAGACAGTGCCGAAGATTCATCGTGGCTATGTGCCTCTGGCTCCTGTTCTCCTCCGAATCGCCCGTCGAGTCCGCGGCGTCTTCCCCGGAGGTCGGGACCCGGCCGTTGATCTCGTTGCCCTCCGTCGAGTCCTCGGGATTCGGGCTCGACGAGGGCTTGTACCTCGGGGTCCAGACCACGTTGGTCCAGGAATGCCGAATCAATCCGGGGAAGAGGTCGCCGATGAACATCGCCGGCCCGTGGACCGCGGTCAGGTGGGCCCAGTCCGCTCCGTTCTCCGGGATTTCCTGCACCGAAAAGAAACGAATGCTTTCTCCTTTCGAGGGAGGGGGTTCCCGAAAGGGCAGGTACCGGTACCTGAATGTGACTGTTGACCAGGTATTGGTTCCGACCTTGGTACCTCCAGGTACCATTGGACAGGTTCTCATTTTGCGAGATGCTCCACTCGGGATCGGCCGATTCCGCGTGATACCACACGAAGATCCCGTTGTTGACCTCGCAGCTCTTCCAGGTCCTCACTTTCGCGTACTCGGGAACTAACATTAATAGACATTTCATCGAATTAGAAACGCTTGGTCCACGTTTTCGTGGATTGACCGCGAGTCGGGATTTCACCTTTCTTCGAGTAGGGCACGGCGTCGCAGCGGCCGTCTTCTCCTCGGAAGGACCACCCGTGGAAAGGGCACTCCAAACAGTCTCCTTTAACCCTTCCACCTTCGGCCATGTTTGCCCCCAAGTGCGGACAGTACGCGTCGATTACGCGGACGATTCCTTTCTCGGTCCTGCGCGCACAAATCTCGGGGTCAACCGGGCGACTCTTTTCATTCGTTGGCGGTCCTCGCCCCCGATTTACCTGAATACCGCAAAATTCTCCCCCAACGCGGAGACGTGTTTCACCTCCCTCGGCTTCAGCTGCCAACTCTCGAGGAGGCAGAACCACCCGTTCGGATAAACCGGCGGGAGTTTCCCGAATTTCCTCTGGCCGGTATCCGCCAACGAGCCGGCCAAGGACCGGTGGGATCTCGTGAGTTTCCTCAAGTCCTGGAGCACGCGATAACGATTTCCTAGTCCGATGATTTCGGCCGGACCAAGAGTAGGTGAAAGCGTAGGAAAGGATCCGGAGATGTTACGGGGTATTACTTTCAATTGCGGCGGGTGACCCCGGGGCCCGGTGACCGCGCGCGCCAAGTGCGATCTCGGTGCGCGAGTACCGGAGGCTCCTGCGCGCGGACACGCGCGCAAGTACGACCACCCTACCCCGATTGATCCTCCGAAACCTGTTTCCACGTTATTACTCCCGTTTTTTCCCCTTCGTCGACATCTTTCAATTCCTGCAGGTTCGATTCCTCAAACCGGTGCGGGAGAACGAGCACTCGTTTAATAACAACCGATCCCCGAGATTAACGAAAGAGGGGAGAGAAGAGTACGTAGATGTCGTTTGGTATCACCGCACGCGACGGGTCGACGGTTCTCGATCTCGACTCCGCGATCGATCTCGCCGAATGTCCGAGCAATTGGGCAATCCGCGGAGTTACGGCCAGGATTGCGAAATTCAATCTATCGGCGAGGTCGATCGCGTTTCTTCGAACGCCGCCTCGCTCTCGGTGCGTCCTATGATATGTCGAAAAGGGAAGACAAGAAGCGATCGCGATGTAGTATAAGGGGAGTAACGCCGGTGGTCGGTTCCTTAGTTACTTCGCGTAAGCGACGAATCGATGGAAGATCGATTAGGGGGGAAATGGTCCTTAAGAGCGATCGAAACGTCCCGCGCGTTTGGATGGGAATCGCGACGAGGTCGGCCGCGTCTCGGTGCAAGTTTAGTGCAGGCGAACTCGCGGTGGGCTTTACGTTTCCGAGCTATTGCCGCCGATTCGCCTCATGGCTGTTGCCGGTGCGATTTCGGTGCAACCTCGGTGCGATCTCGGTGCAACTTCGGTACGGACGAACCGAGCCGGTATATTACGGTAACGAAAGATTCCGCAAACGTAATCGCGCGGACTTTTCGAATTCCGTCGGCGAAACCGTGGTCCGGATATCGAGATATCGAATCGTACGGTCAACCGAGGGGTTGGCGCGGAAAGGAGGATTCCGTTGAACGGGCAATTGGTTCGACGAGGATCAGTTATCCGGAACTTTACGTAAGACGGAGGAATCCCTCGATAACGATTATTGGAGAGGTCAGGGAGCCCGGGCCCGAGCGCGGTAATTCCTCCGCGTCGAGAGGGGCTCGATCGGGACGAAGGTGTACTCGTCGATGGGAACCGTCCTTTTCCTTTCTCGAAAGGAGGAAGGGAAACAAGGGAAACAAGGGGAAGACGGAGACGTCCAGGGGGAGGCGAAGTTACCTTAACCCAGTTGACTTTCCAGAAGTAGGCAAGGTAGAGGAGGCAGGTGATCGCGCCGACGAAGCCGGCGATCCAGGAGCCGATCATGTCGGGGCGATCGTCGGGGTCTTTCGACGAAAGGATAGAACTTTTCGGAGACGAGGACTCGCTCGTTTCGTGGGGTGGGGTCCGCGTCGGACGATTCGGCCAACTGAAACGCACGGCGGTCGGTCTTCCGCTTATATACGTAGAGAACGGCATGGTTATCCGTCTAGGCCGACGTCCGAATCGAGTTTCGTCGACTCGGGGGCGTGGAGCGATCTCGCCCCGATCTCTTGGGTCGAACTCCCATCCGGGGAGGATCGGGATTCGGCGTCGAGAGGACCCCCGATTTTTCCAGGGAGCGGGGAAATTTCCGAGCGAAACTCTCATCGGGGCGAAGTACCGACCGATCAGCTGATCGGCTTTTCGACTCGATTCTACCCCGACTCGCTCGCTCGCCACCCGGTCGAGCAACTGGAAGACCCTGAACTTGACTGACTCTTCCTTATAGGTGCATCGGCTTGCATCACGCGCGAGCGAACCTTGCACGCACGCAAGCGCGCTCGCGCACTCGGCCGGCGATGCTTTTCCTTTTACCCGAGACCTTCGCGTGGTCGGGTCCAGCGAGGTTTTCCGTCCCGGCGGTTTTCCGTCCTTCCTCGCTCGACCTCGGGAGGGACTCGCCCGAATCCCGGTCAAGGAGAGGAGGGCCCGGGTGTTTCGGAGGCGCGCCGCGTGACGTAATCCGCGATAACGTTGGACGGATTTTCGGCGACGACGGTCGGGGGGCGAGGGCCCGGGCGTTCGTTTACGGTTTCGACCCTGGGAAGCGGGGCCTCTCCCGCGGAGCCGGCTCTCCGATTCTGCTGACGGGGAATTTCTGCGAAATATCCCGTCGTTGCAATTATCGCCGGCGATCCGTCTGCACGTGCGCGGGGCCCGCTCCTCCCGACGGCCCACCTCGCGGCGTCGGGAGGAGAGAGAGAGGACCGGTTGTCCGGGGACGCCGACGGCACCCCCGGGCCGCGGGGCGGATTCGCCGGGTCACCCCGACCGGACCCCTCGAGCCGGAGCGCGCGTCCCTTCTCCCTCTCCTTCGGGCCCGGCGTCTCCCTCTCCCTGGGCCGGCCGGGGCGCTCCGAGGGAGCTCAGAGCTCTCCGGCCGAGTCCGCGGCTCGGACACGCTCCAGATCGGCGCGGGACGGTGGCTCCGACTCGGCTCGACCGATGGCCGCCCTCGGCTGGCCGCTGGCCCTGCTGGCGGTGGGGCTGCTGGGGCTCCTGGGGCTGGCCCTGCGGCAGCGGCCGCGTCTCCGGCCCAGGGGCCCCCCGGGGCTGCCCCTGATCGGCAGCCTGCACCGCCTCCGCGGGCCCGGCGGCCCCTTCGCCGCCCTCAGCCGCCTGGCCCTCGTCTACGGGGACGTCTACGAGATCCGCCTGGGCGCCGCCCCGTGCGTCGTCGTCAGCGGCTACGACTCCATCAGGGAGGTCCTCGTCACCAAGGGCAGCCACTTCGGGGGGCGGCCCGACTTCCTGCGATTCCACCGTCTCTTCGGGGGCGACCGGAATAACTGTAAGCCGGGGACGGGGATTGGGGCGGGGACGGGGACCGCGTTCACGAGGTGACTCGATTCGCTCGCGTTGCAGCCCTGGCCCTCTGCGACTGGTCCGACCTGCAGTGCAAGCGGAGGTCGATCGCGCGCGGCTTCTGCTCGCCGCGCGTCGGCAGCCCGCGGGAGGACGAGCTGTCGAGGGTCGCCGTCCAGGAGGTGCAGAGGCTGCTGGCCGACCTGGACCGCGACGAGAGCCGACCCGTCCTGCGGGGCGAGCGGCCCCTGAAGCCGCTGCTGCTCGCCGCGGTGGCCAACATGTTCACCGGCTACATGTGCTCGACTCGCTTCGACTACCGCGATCGGGACTTTTGCGGGGTGGTCCGCCGCTTCGACGAGATCTTCTGGGATATCAACCAGGGCTACGCGGTCGACTTCCTCCCGTGGCTGGCGCCCCTCTATTGGCGGCACCTGCGGCGCCTCGACGCCTGGGCCACCGAGATCCGGAGCTTCATCCTTCGGAGGATCGTCGACGAGCACCGGAGGACGATGGACCGGGCGGGCGGCGTCCCGCGGGATTTCACCGACGCCCTCCTTCTGCACCTCGAGAGTCCCGAGTCCGAGCTCTCCTGGGAGCACGCCATCTTCGAGCTGGAGGACTTCCTCGGAGGGCACTCGGCCATCGGCAACCTGGTCACGCTGATCCTGGCCAACGCGGCGCTCCGCCCGGAGGTTCAGCGCCGCGTGCGGGAGGAGTGCGACGTCGTCCTGGCGCGGTCCGGCCGGACGGCCGGGTCGCTCGTTACTCTGGAGGACCGACGCGACATGCCCTACACCGAAGCCGTCGTCTGGGAGACCCTTCGCGTCTCCAGCTCCCCCATCGTGCCCCACGTCGCCACGAGGGACTCGGACATTGGCGGCTTCCACGTCCCCAAGGATGCCATGATCATCGTCAACAACTATCCGTTGAACCTCGCCGAGGAGTACTGGGGGCCCGACTCCAAGGCGTTCCGGCCGGAGCGGTTCCTGCGGCGCGTCGACGGATCCGCCGAGCCCCGCTTCCGGCTGCACCGGCCCGGCCACTTTATGCCCTTCTCCACCGGCAAGCGCACCTGCATCGGCCAGCGCCTCGTCCAGGGCTTCGCCTTCGTCCTGGTGGCCGCGCTCTTCCACCGCTTCGACGTCTTCGCCGTCCGGCCGGCCGACGTCGAGGCCATGCTGCTCCCGGGGTGCGTCGCCGTTCCGCCCGACCCCTGCCGGCTGGTGCTCGCGCCCCGGGCCCGGCCCGGGCCTTGACTCTCGGGACACCCTCGGCGAGCTTTCCCGCTCCGGAATTTCCCTTTTTGCCCGCTGCGGATGCGCCTTTCCTCGCCTCGCGCGCCCCTGACGCTGGAGCGCGCGCGGGGCGGGACCGCAAACCAGTCCGACGCGACTCGGGCCCTCTCGCTCCCGGGCATCTCGCGAAGAGTCGGCCGCGAGCGCGCGCCGAGTACTTTAAAGCGAGCGGTAAATAAAATGCAAGGAAGAATGGGGCTATTTATTTCGTTTTCATCCTTATGGCCGTAGGAGAGTAACTCGCTCGTCCGCACGAGCGGCAGTCCGGTTTTCGCGCGCCACCGACGCGGCTACAGGTTTCGGGCGGTCACCGCCGGATGGAGGCACCGCTCGCGCGCGTCCGCCATCTCTGGGCGGCGACGCGAACCCAGTCCGCTCGTGGAAGGCAGCGATTCTCGCAGGTGAGTCGCCCCTTTAACTTCTCGGCGCCCTGGAGTGGACGTCGGCTCGATAGTTTTTATCGTTAAACGCGGTAACCTCCGTGGCCTTCGATACTTCTCGATGTTCCTTCTTGACGCGTCGGAGGAACCGCACCAACCGCCGCCATCGGCGCGTCTTTCGAATCCCGCTCGAACGCTACACGCCGTGAGGTAGGTGGCGGCCGGTATTATTAGAATTATCTCGGCTCGGCTTTCGGAGACGAAATTCTATTTAAACGGTCGTTTATCGTCGACTCGATTCGAGTCCACCGACCGATCGTCTTTTCTGGACCAGGGAATCCGAATCGAAACTTTTTTTCGAACTGGGGGTGACAAATCGTTTCGAACTCTACAACCTGAACGCGGAGGCTATAAGGAAGGTCCTGAATGAAATTTCATTTTTTTATACACAATTTTTAAAACCTGCATTATCAAATTTGTAAAAAATTGAAATTTCATGAGTTTCGGGACCTTCCTTATAACCTCCGTGTTTATACCGTAAAGTTTGAGTCGACCCGGTACGTCCAGTTTGGAGTAAAGTTGCGTAATTCAACCAGCGTTCCTTGACGGCACGTTAACAACACCTTAAGGGAACGTGGGAATCTCCTTCGTTGTTTGAAAACATGCAGAGGCGTCTCGAGCGCGAGTCGAGGTCGAGTCGCAGTCGTGCCGGGAAGGTCAAAGACCATGGACGTCGATAACGGATTTCCAAGTGTAATGTCCGGAATCTGGGTGGAGTTGGATTCGCAAAATTTGACAAAATTCGCCCCGCGTTCAAAATCGAGCAAGGGCCGCCGTCGAGGAACCAGGGCGTCGCGTCGGAGCGGGGAGGAGGGGGAGCAGAGGCAGGTTTCGGAATCGGTCCTCGGGTTCGCCTCTTATCTCCCGTATCGCTCGGGCGGTTCGTCGCGGTTACGCAACCGCAATGTCGGTCGGTGGGTCGGCCGGAGGCGACGGGGCGCCCGCGGGCCAGAGAGAAGCGGGGCAAACGCGTCGGAAGAGAGTCGAAAAATCCGCCGCCCTTCCGAGGGGAGTGGAGGAGAGGAGACTCCTCTCTCGGGCGAAAGAGATCGAACGTCGTCGCGACCAGCCCGACGAGGATGACGCAAAGGTTCCGAGAAGAGGACGAGGTGCTAGGACGGCCCGGACGGCCCGGACGGCCCGGACGCGGGTCTCGAGAAAATCTCGGAGCGGAGGAAAAACCTGAGGAGACCTCGAAATACCTCGGGTAGAAGTACACGGAAGGATCGCGCCTCGACGGAGGAGGGCGCGAGGAGGGCGCGAGGAGGGCGCGAGGAGGGGGCGGCGCGACGGCGGCGCGGCGCGGCGCGTCGGCGTCAGGGCGCGTGCGTGCCCGAGTTCGCCGAGTCTCCGCAGCGACGCAGGGGCCGAGGATCGGCTACGTGGACTCCTGGCTGGCAGTGCCCCGGCAGTGTTCGAAAAGTCGGCGGCCGGCACGAGCGGAGAGACGGCCCGGCGCGCGAGTCCGCGCGAGTCTTCAGCGAGCGAGAGAGGGACGCAGCGAGAAGCGGGCAGAGGCCGAGCCGTCGCGACGCGGGGGATGCGTCAGCCCGGGCGGCCCTAGGGAAAGGGGTCCGGCCCGGGCCCGGTCGCGCGCGACCCCCCATGGGCGACTTCGGGGCCGGCGGCCTCTTCTCCGGCGCCCCCCCCGCCTCCTCGCCGGCCAAGCCGGCGTCCGGCCCCGCCATGCAGGACGAGCTGCTGATCGAGAAGCAGCCCCCCGGGAAGCCGGCGCCCCTGTCGCCGGCGGGCCTGGAGGCCCCCTGCCCCCAGGACAAGCCCAAGGACGCCGAGCCCGACGGCGCGCCCGCCTCGCAGGCTAGGGACGGCCCCGACAAGGACGTCGCCGCGACGCCCGCCGGCCTCCAGGCCTTCGGCGAGCCCGTCAGGGTGCCCAGCCTCTGGCCCGACGACGTCGGCCTCCACGCGCTCCCGGTCAACGGCTCGCTCGCCGGCTTCCAGAACTTCCCGGCGGGCGGCCCGGGCCTCTTCGCCGCCAACTCCAACCGGCGCGCCATAACGGCCAGCCACAACTTCGCCCAGCACGGCAACGGCGCCCGACACGGGCTGCAGTCCCCGCAGCAGCAGCAACAGCAGCAGCAGCAACAACAGCAGCAACAGCAGCAGCAACAGCAGCAGCAGCAGCAACAACAGCAGCAGCAGCAGCAGCCGGCGTCCTCCCACCCGGGCGTGTACCTGCAGGGCAAGGGGTACGCCGCGTGGTCGGGCGGGCCCCAGGGTCCCCAGGGCCCCCAGGGCCAGTGGGGCGGAGGGCCTCAGGCCGCCGCCAGTCCTGCGCTCTCGCCCTGGAGCCGCGGTCGGTCCGTGCCCAATCTGCCGCCCCTGCCGACCTCGCTGCACGCGGCCGCCGTCGCCGCGGCCGTCGGTCTCCAGGGCAGGAAGCCCAGCCCCACCTTCCCCGGACACCCCGGGCCCAACCAGGGACACCCCTCGAGCATCAGCCCCGTCAAGTTCCGGCGCAGCACCTCCTACCCGGGGAAGGGCAACCTCTATCCGCCCCAGCCTGCGCCCACCTTCGAGGTCACCGCCGCCGAGGAGCGCGACCTCCTGCAGCTGCCGCCCTATCAGACGGTAAGTGCCCGCGGGTGGGGAGCCGAGGTCCGGGTAGATGCCAAGTTATGCAACGGCCTCGGCCGACTATCTTTAGCCCGGGCGCGGCGTCTCCGAGGCCCCTCGGGAGAGGCTCTCGGAGAGCTCGCCAGTGGTCGCACCGGGAGGGCCGCCCGGTCGAAGGTCGCCGAGAGGACCGACGAGGCGCGGGCTCGAGTTTCCAAGTCGTGGCGAGTCGCCCGCACTTGGAACGTCGCGGGGAAGAATGCGGTCCGCGCGACATCCGTCCCAGTTTCTCCGCTCGAATGTCGGCAGACGAGAATTTCGAGGCTCGCTCGCCTTCCCGAGGGCGGGAAAACTTTCTCGGGGCATTCCCGAGCAATTCTGACCCAATTCCCCCGCGACCCCGCTAGCTCGGCGGCGTCTAACAGAAGTTTAAGCTCAGCTATTTCAGCCGCGAGCCGAAAATAGTACTTGCATGCCATCCGAGCGGAATGGCGAGCCTCGTTACCGCTACCCTTCGCACTTTCGGCCGGGCTTTGCGAGACTCTCCGCCAATTTCTACGTTCGATCCCTTTCCCTTCCCTCCGAAGGGATGCGGAATTCCCGGTTACGAAACGCCGGGAGACCGTCTCTCTCTCTCCTTCCCTTCCTCCTACCGAAGATGCGTTCGATCCGCGAGAGGAGGGGGCGCGTTCGAATCGCAGCCCCCGTGGCTTCGAAATCGATTGCGCGCCGCTCTCGCGGCGGTAATTAGCCGCAATGCCTACGTGCGATACCTCTTATCGAACCCGTTCACTCGCCGAGTTCGATTCGGTATCGTCTTCCGCGCCGTGCCCGGTAGAAAACGCTTCCTCGACCTTATCGCCCGCGCCGTGCGCTCTTGTCCGACGAATTCATCGGCTACGATTTATTTATCGCTCGCTGATAAGTTATTACGATTCTACTGCTCTAAAAATGGTAATCGCTAGGTCCGTTCAATCGGCCGACTCGATAGCGTCCGTTTACATCGCTCCCCGGATCGACCCGCAGAGATCGGAATTTCCGCGACGCGGTAATCGTTCATTCGGACGTCGTTTCTTTCCGTCGATCGGCCGCGATCGCGGGCTTCGCTCCGGGAGGACAGGATGCGCGATAACGACGATAAACGCCTAACGTGTAATTTCCCGCCATTCCCGGTGGCCGATAAACACAGACCCCAAGCGAGGGGTTTAAATCCCGGCGTATACGCGTTTACGCGGTTTATCCGGACCGCCGGGACGCGGCGGAAAGGCGGCGGGGTTGCTCTCGCTGCACCCCGCAAATTTTATCCGACTCGGCGGCCTTTTCACGGATAAATCCGAGGGTGGACTCCGTCAGGCCTTTGGTCCCGGCCCGTTTTCGCCGCGACGGAGGAAAAGAGACTTCGATCGCCTTCCTCCTCCGGAGATATCTCCCTGAACCACCAGGATCACCTGGGGAGTCTTACCTCGAGATAGACCCTTTCGCTTCGACTGCGCGAAGAAAATGAAAAAAAAAAAAAAATCAGTTGACAAAAGGAAATTCGTTTAAATTGTATTTATCTCGATCAATATGTATATTGGTATTCCTTATCATTCACCGGGTACGTTCACCTTGCGGTGCACGAGGATCGGTTTGGCCCCCCGCGAATGTCTATCGTCGGCCACCCCTCTAACCCTTTCCTCGACCGATAACGGGCACCCCGAGGCGCGAGGTCTCTCCGTGGGTCCCCTTTTCCCGTTTTCAGTTCATCGTTTCCATTCTTATCGGCGCGCTCGCGATAAGTAGCGGGACGAGGCTCGCTAGTGCGCGCTAATGCGCGCTCACGTGTCGCGCACCGAGAGGACTCCGAGGTCGCGCCGTGCGCCGCCATTAAAAAACCAAGTCGATCCAGATAACGATTTTTATAGGCCACCGTCGCGGTTCCCACTCCTGGGGCCGTAGGTAGAGACAGCCGCCGCTCCTCGGAGTATCTCGCCCCGATTTCAGGAAAACCGATTCTCGAGTTCATCCGATAAACATTCGTAGGCGAAATTGGCAATTTCGTGCGCGACTTAAAAAAACATCGACCAATGACGCGACTTCGCAACAACGTGAAATATTTCACGCGAGTCCATTCGTATGCGAGAAAAAATCCGGATTAACTGGAGAATCGAGTTCCGTCCTCCCCTTCCTCCGGGAAAAGGTAAAGGGGTCGAAATTGACTTTGGTGGACCCTTCGTCGCTGATCCGCGTATCTCTGGAAAGACGCACCTCCCCTCGTCAGGGGGGGGGTCCACACCCCGGAGGGGGAGGGAGAACGGTGTCGCGAGCCATCGACTGGTCACACTAGGCCACCGGTCGATACACCCCCGGTTGGTTCCTGGCCCCAGCTCGGATATCCACGTTCCTCCCTCGATTCCGATTCCGTCCGGATCCCCGCATATAAACGCTACTTCCGCGACTCTTTTCCCAGCGATTTCTTTCGACCCACCGGAGGCTTCCAGGGAACTCGCGAGTCCGTCGTCCCGGTCGAGTCCGCGACCCGTTGGCGAAGGGAACGTCTCGAATCGGCCCGGGGGCGATTACCCCCGTAATCCGGGGATGATCTCCGGTCCTCGCGGATAGGGCCATTTTTGCATAGAAGCTTTCCCGTGTACCGACGCGGGCAAGGTTTACGAGCCAATAATACCGAGCACTAGCCGGCCACTTAACCTCCGCAAACTTCTTGCTCCGACGTTAAAGACCGTCCATTTTCCCTCCGGTCGGCGACGGAGGTGTTCCGAGCCCCTCGACGACCGGACGTCTCCTCCGACGTCTCCCTCCTCGAGGGGCGAGAGGTGCGGTTTCCGCTCGAGTGGCGCTCTCGGGCCCCGATGACGGATTTTTCTTGTTTTATTTCTCCTTCTCTCCGTCCCAAGAGGCGCGCCGAGCTCTTTACCGCTGGTCGTCGGCCCCGCGGAAAACGCGGAAAAGTCTGCGCCGGCACTTCCGGCTCGATTCCTCCGGGCTTTCGATTATACGCGGAAACCTGGCGGATCGATTCGGAGGAGTGGCGGCGCAAAAACCAGAGAGAGAAACGAGCACCCCTCGGTGCGGCGACACCACCCCGCGACGGCCGATTAATCGTTTGCCCGCAACCCCCGAGACGGCGAATTTCTTCCCCGGATTTTGGGATCGCTGCCCCTTTTACTCGGTTCTCATTTTTTCCCTCCCCATTATTTTCGCATTTTTTCCCGTTTCTCCTTCCCTGCCCCCCGCCCACCCCCTCCTTCGTTTCCCTAGACGAAAAGGGCGCCGAGGAAAATGAAAACCCGAGGAGCGAGACGAGAGCCGAGGGCTCGGCAACGGAGCCGCGAAATTGCGCTCTGATTTTCATTTTTTTTCTCCCTCTCTCTCTTCTTTGCGCGAGATGTCGACTAGCCGGAAACGAGGTTTTCTCGGCGCAGGGGTTTTCGGACCAAGACGGGGTGGATTCGATATTCGCGACCCTTATCGCTTTTCCTCGCCGGGGGGCGCGATTTCGGAAAGCGCTCGGAAAGAGACGTCAGAAAAGGTTTAGAGAACGGGGAGGAAAGGCGATATCCCGGTGGCTCTCTCTCGGGGCAGAGGTATTCCGGGTCGCTTCCGCGCTCCCCCGGGGGCGACTCCCCCAGCGGCGCGATCGAGGTCGCTGCGGGTTATCCTAATTTAAGACGAGGCCGCCCCGAATTCGGGGTCGCGGCGCAGAGGGCTGACCCAGTTGCCCCTTTCCTAGGTCAGCATCCGCTGGACCAGGTTGGTCGCTATAGATTTTTCCGCGGCTCCCTCCTGCGGTTCCGCGGGCTTGCAGGGAAGGGGGGATGCGCGGAGGTCGGGCGGAAGCTGCGCAGACGATGCGCAGGGGCCGCGCAAGGTGCAGGGCGCGTCCTGGATGCGCGGGCTCGCATCCCGCAGGAGAAGACCTCGCCCTCCCCCGGCGAGGCACCCCGGAATCTGGGTCACCCTCCGGAACTCCCCCCGGCTACGTCATCGCGATCCGCGAGGGCGAGAGAGAGAGAGAGATAGATAGAGAGCGACAAACGGGGAGAAACCAAAGAATTTTATCGCGCGATTAAGGACGCTTAATGGGACACGCGGGGATTCGCGGGGGGTGCTCGTGATCTTATTTACATACGCTCGTTTAGAAACGCTGACAAGGTACACGGACGAGGATTTAAAGGGCCGCTCCCGTTTCGCGTTCCCACAATGGAAGGACTGGGACGAGGTATCTCGCACGCGGAAATTCGGGGGAAAATGTTCATGTGGTCCGAGGAGGTGAGAGACGTCGTCAGGAAAAGCGGATTTAAGGGCGTCCGTCGTCGGTCCCGGTCGTCCCGGGGCGAGGACGGCGGTCGGGAAGTCGGTAATAAATTAAGCGAGGGGGGAGGGAAGAGGTGGTGGGCGCTATCGATTCGTGACGTTGCGTATTCCGGCGAGCGTACGTGTCGTCCTCCGGCCTCCCCGCGACCCGCGGGTGGGGGGGTCGGGGGCGACCAACCCCTCTCGCGCTCGCGCCAACGGGGTGACCTAGTTGTGCCGGCCCGATGAAACCGGCTCTTCGATACAGGCCTTACGAGAGCTCGGCTCTTTGCATCTCCCCCGCCCTCCCCCTGGTGACCCAGCTGCGCTGCCTCCCCCCGAGCCCCCTTGATGGCCCCGATGGGGGCGGGGGTGAACCACGCGCACTTGCGGTTCTTCCTCGTCCCGTCCTCGAACTCTTTTCCGCGACCTCGCGACTCTTATCCCCGGCTCCGTTCGCTTCTTCTTCGGGGGTCGAGAAGGAGGGGGCGCTTCCACCCCCCGCGAATTCTCCCGTCCTGTTCCCGGGAAGAATTCCGCGGGCGTCGCTTTGTTCGCCCGGGAGACGACGGGAACTCGAATCCGGCACCGCGATTCTCCCTAGCGAGGCAAGACAAGCGGGGGGGCGGTGAAATTTCTCTCCTCCTTATCGCGCCTTAATTTGTTTCGCTTCCATTTTACACCTTTGCGCCGACCCTCTCTTGCGCCCCCTTGTCGCGGAGGGCGAGCCGTCTCCTCTCGTTATCTCCTCGCTCGCAAGATAATTGTTCGGGGGCGCACAGTGTCTGACGGATGTTCCGACGTCTGCACAAAAACACGGCGAGGCCTCGCTAGCGGAGCAGCGCCGCTTTCGCGGCCGGCGGGGGTGGCGGCGGGGGTGGCGGCGCCGGGCGTCGCGCTCGCGCGCAATTGTGCGAAGCCTCGCGCCGCAAGCGCGAGAAAAGGGATTCACCGTGTCGTACAAAAAGCGCCAGGGAACAAGGGTAAGACCGGTCGCGTCTAGACCAGAGCAGGCGAGGAAAATGCGAAAATGCAAATAGAAACGACGGGCGACGCCTCGCGACTCTTTCTCCGCATTTCGCCACCCTCGCGCCTTTCTTTCACCTCGAGTCGCTCCCGACGACGCTTACGGGATCGGCCGAAAATATCCCGGCGTCGGTCTCCTGGATAATGGAAACGACGCGATGGACGGTCCGCTCGACTTTTGGTAGGGTCGCTCGAATTTCGCCTTCGAGGGACGTCGGAAAAGGTCGAGACGGCGAACCGCACCTCTAAGGGCTGCATTTCGCCCCCTTCGGGGGAACCCCGAGGTGCGTCTCTCTCCGGCACCGCCGCTCCCGTGTGGCACGCGATCTTCCGTGAACGAGCCGAATGGGAACGGGCAAGCGGCCTTCCCTTGGATCTAAGCTCGCCTAAAGTCAGGGAAATGAGAATCCGAGAGGGGGAGAACCGGATAAGGGGACCGGGAGTGGAGTCTATCGCGACGGGACGGCCTTAACAACGAACTACCGAGTTCGGTCAAAATGGCTGGTTTTAGCTTCTGGCCACCGTGGGAAAAGAAAATCCGTCGGTAGTATCAAAGGCACGGTTACGGAAAATTCGATTGAGAGCGTTTTAAAAAATGCCCGTCTACTCTGGAATTTTGCAACTTTAGTACGACATCTCGAGACGAGATCGCGGTTTCACTCGGGCGGATCGCGATTACGCGCAGCCGGTTCGGCTCGGAATAATTCGATTCGCTTCCGGCAGCAGACGGTGCCTGGCACCGGAGCGAGGGGGAGAGGGAGATAGAGAGAGAGAGACGCCGCGGTAGGGTGGGACTCCGGAGGGGTTGTTACTTTTTATGAGCCGCAAACTCCGAAGTGGGTCAAACGCTCCGCGGTATCCCTTTGCCACTTTCTCCCCCGGTCGATTCGATCTTCGAGGACCGTCGAGGCGGAGGTCTCGCCGGATCGCGGAAAAAATATGAAAATGCCGGGGAGATAAGGAAACGGGCTCGGGGAACGAGCCGAGAGGAAGGGGAGAGAGACTCGGAGGAGGAAATCGCGACCGAGTCGGGCGTCGGTCGATCCGGGCGGGCTCTTCCCGGTTCCCGGGCGCTTCCGGGTCGGCCGATTTCCCGGCTTTCCGCGCGAGAGGGGCGGACGCGGATTCCGGAAGGCGACTTCCGAGGAGCGCCGGCTCGAGGGGAAGCGACCAATGGGCGGCCGTGGCCCGGGGGCGGCAGGGGCGGCGGGGGTGGCGTCGGGGTGGAGCCTGCTCGGGGTTGCCGTCGACGCCCTGCCCGTGCCTCCGCTTCCTGGTTTCCCTATATTGATTTTCCGACGGGCGCGCGAGGAGTCGAGAGAGGGAGGGAGGACCGCGTCTATCCCCAGGAGAAGCGACGCGCGTCGGAGCGAGAGGAGGGGAGGAACCGGGACGGGCGGAACAGCTGCGGACTCGAGGAACCGGACGGAGTCGGAGGATGGCCGGATCTTGGCGAGAGAGGGAGAAGGAGCAAGGAAGCGACCCCGGCGGCGAAGGGGATGCGCGCGGACCCGCGGGGGAGGGAGGGCGAAGCTCGATGGAGCGCGGGAGGCGCCCTCGGTGGGAGGAGCGACGCCACCGAGAGAGGGGCGACGCCAGGGGTCGCCGAGGGTCGCCAGGGGACCGAAAAATCGTGAGCGGCCCATTTTTTCGAGAGACCCCTACGGCCCCGAAAACCTCCCCCGATCTCCGTCTCATGCTTTTCCGGGACTCTCCGCCGCGAACGCGGCCAAAGGAGGGCGGACAGGGTCGCTACCAACCCGAGGCGACCGTTTCCGTCGATCGGGCTCCGATCGGTCAAAGGGCCGTCCTCGCGCTCGGAGACGACGGCCAAGGAGATGCCCTCGAAGTCAAGGTGCAAAGGCTCGGCTTTTCGGGGAGGAACTTTGGAAGCATCGATCGGAGTCTCGCGGTTTCCTCCTGGCGCGTCCACTCCGGGCGGTGCTCGCACCCTCGCGGGAGGCTCCATCAAAGTTTGGCGCGACGTAAGAACTCGAAAGGAGTGGCCGGCGTCGCGGGGAGTGGACTTTTGAATGCGTCCCTGCATTAACTGCACTCCCGTTCTCGCAAGTGGTCTATTACGGTCCTTTCTCTCTTTCAACCCGCCCGGCCCCTTCCCGTCGTCCTCCTCTTTCAGCGCCCTCTCCTTCCGATCTCTCGATCCGCCTTTGGCTCTGCCTTTGCGGATCCTCTCCCTCCGTCGCTCTCGCCGTTTCTTCGCTTCCTCTCCCGCCCCCTTCCGGTCCCCCTTTTCGTCTTTCCGTCCGAGCGCTCGGCCGTCTCTAAAACTCTTTTCTTGACCAGAAGAGCTCATTTCGATTAAGGATAATGGGGGGAGGAATGAAAGGCCCTCTCTCTCTTTCTCTCTCTCTCGGCATCCCTTCCGGCACCCTCCCCCGGGGTAGATAAGTTATCGCCGCGGCTTTGGGCCCGTCCTCCCGGCTTTGTCTCAGGAACGTTGGCTTCGGTTTCAGGATCGCATGACGGCGAACGGGAACTCACCCCTGGACAGCATGCGCACCTTGGAGCATTACCTGAGCGACATCATGAGAGCGGGAGCCGCGGACACGCCGGAGCACCTTAAGGGTGAGTTTCGTTGTACCGTCGACGGCGGTCCCTTTCGACCGGCCCCCGTCGGAGACGGTTCCCAAGGGAGGATCGTCGTTTCGACGGGGTCCACGGAAGGCCGACCGCGGAATACCCGGTGGAGAGTATCCGGGGTAGTCCGGAGTACGCGTTGGCCCGTGAGCATACATATTCATTGAGGGAGTAAGCCCCTTCCCGAGGTTTAACACCGTCGACGCCGACGGAACGGGGAACGGAAAAGCTGCTGACCCTTTCGCTCTATCGTCGGGGGATGGCGGGGTAAAGGGAGGGCGAGCAAATCGGGAAGAGGAAAGAAAGTGAAATTCGCGCAAAGGACGGTTTCGGACACGGATTTCCCCTCGGTCTCAGGGAGCACCCTCGGTTTCCGGGTGCGACAGGTTTCCCCGTCTGCGTCCCTGTCTGCGCCCCTTTTACGGGTTTACGAGGCACCCCCCGAAGGCGAGTCAAGGGCAAGGGTGCGATCGCGCTTTCCCATAGGGAAGCCCTATGGTGTCGGGCTAGACAGCCGCGAGATCGGAATTCCGTCGACGGCGACTTCGATCGGCGTTGGCGATTTCTTCGAGAATAAACGTCGTTTGAAAAACTCTCTTCAAGAATAAAAATTGAGTACGGACTTGTAATTATTGGAATCGATATCCGGTCCCGCGTTCTGCCTAATTATTCGGCCCGGAGATATCGGGCACCTGTATTTTTTACGAGTGTCCCCAGCTCGGACGCATCTCCGTCTGCAGCCGCGTCTGCACCCCTCCTCTGGTTCGCACTCGCGGAAACACCCCTCGACGGCCAAGGACGAGGGGGTGCCTCGACACTCTCGGGCGGAAACCCTAGGAAACCACCCCCAAAGAGCGATGCCTCCGGATTCCTCCGGCGACGACTTCAAACGAAGCCCTCGCCGGAAGTGGATCCCTTTTTCCTATCCCGGAAGACGGCCCTTTGTCGCGGCGACGTTTATGCGGAAACTCCGAGATCGTCGGCTAAGACTTTCCTTAATTATGCAGAAACGCGGAGATGTCTCGAGTCCGGGGATCCTCTCCACCCGTCTAGGGGTGGACGGCTACTTGTCTTTTTAATTGCCGCCCAAGTTTCCCCTCCAAATGGCGCGACGGGTATCGGGATGCTCGCTCCACGTGCGACCGGTTCGATCCCGGGGAGCGAGGTTGCGGAAAACGCTTGCGGCCGGACTCTTTTAATTCGTTCCCCCGGGGTGGGCGTTTCGGGGGTGGGAGACCCGACGGATATAATTATTCGGCGATGTCTTCAGACCGGCGCCTTCATTGTGCCCCGTAATTATTATCTCTCGGGGAACGGGTTTCCCGCGACGGACACCTCGAGCGTTTCGCCCGCGCGTCCTCGCAATTAAAATCGACGAAACCGCGCGACGTCCGGGACGGCCGACTCGCAATTTTCGCCGGGCTGGAAGACGCTTCGGAAAGGGTGAAACTGACGTCGTCCTCCCTTCGTCACCTGGTTTCTCGGATACGCATGGACACGTCGCAATTAGGGACGCCCTCCTCGGCGCCGAATTCGTTATTCGGGAAACTCCGGGGACGATAAGACGGAGGACTCGTTTCAATCCGGGTAGCCACGAGCGGCGCGGGGGTTGATTAAACCGGGAGGGGCGTCCCTTTTCTCTTTGCCAAGGGACGGCATTGTGCCTCGCGGAGGATCGAGGGCCTGTCCTCTTCGGCCTCGTTCGGGTAGTTTGGAAAAGTGGTGGCGTCTCGGTGCAGGTCGGACGGCAAAGTATCGAAAGGGTTAGCCGGGGGTTGCGAGGGAAGCGATAGGGGTTGCGAGCCGGCGGAGCGGGCTCTTTATCCTAGAACAAAAAGCTCTTTGGAGGCATTGTAAGGCTCCGCTGAGTGGGCGCACTCCCGGCGACGCCATCTCGAGAAGCGTCAGCGCGACACTTCGGGACGGCAGTAGGTCAAGCCTCGGCGAATCCGGGGACCTCCCTCGGAGGAGGAAGAAGGGTCCCTCGGGAGTGGGCGAGGACGACCCCCGCGTATTGGGGATTAATCGGTGGTGTTCGATCAAGGGGGCGTCCCCGGCGGTTTCGCCGACGACCGCGCTCGATGCGCCGGGAAAACGCAGGAAACGCGAAAATTGGTCTCGGGGTGTCGGGACGGCCGAAAATTTGGTCAGGGTCGGCGACACGAGTTTCCGGTGGCGAGATCACCATTTCAAATCGAGAGGCCTTACACGAGAAGGGAAACGCTCCCCGTGTATGAATTAAAGATCTCGGTGCTCCCGCTCGTCCGTTCATCGGCCTCCTTCTCTCTCGCTCCCTGTCTCTCGGCATCGGTCGCCTCGCGTCTCTCCGCCCGCGGAAAAACGGAGGTCGAGCCGAATCGCTCCGTTTTTCGCCGAGACAAATACTCTCCACGTGGCTACTCCTCCATGGACACGTTTCTTCGATTCCCTCTCGTCGATCTCGCGACGGACGCGGGGAAGGAGGGAGAAATTGGGACGGGGGCTCGGGTCGCGACAATTTCCGCAGCTCGAAATTCGTATGGATCGAAAGACGTGACGTCAACGCGGGTAGGTCGCTGCAATGCGGCAGCAGGTGGCAGTCGGTCAATGGGCGGAGCCAGTGGGGACCAAAATCTAAATAAGCCACCCCTGCGGGGGAACGGAAGGTACGAGCTCGAAAGTCCTCGCCAAATACGATTTTTAATTAACCGGAGATCGGAAAGGAACTCGCGGAGGGGTGGAAGGCTAATTCCGGGTAGATCCCCGATGACCGGAGTGATGGATGCGAGGAGGGATTCGGATCGACGGGCGTCGCTCACCTTTGACGAAAGGAATCTAACGACCTGCGAGAATCATCCCCTTTGCCGAAGGGAAGCTTCGCGAGGCCGTCCACCGACGGCACTCCGATGAACGGGTGGCTCGGATAAAACCCATCGGACTCGTCCCATGGACCTGGCCGGCGAAAGTAAAGGGGCGAACGGGTGGATTTTTCCCGACTCGACGTCAACGGAGACGGAACTCGTAGAGAAATCTCGCAAGGAAGGGTGACCACCCACTATGTATGCAAATGGTTCACCGCCGGACCCGTGGCAGACTTTAATTAAAGCCGGACCCGATGACGGCGGACACCGGCTTTTTTTTTTTTCGTTCTCCCTGGATTCGAGAAACGGCCAGTCGGATCGCGGCGTACCTCGCGAACCACGTCCGATCCCTCGAAACGATTTCTCGCGCAAAGCCTTCTCTCGGCGGAAGACTCGGGGGGAAAAGTTGGGCCATCAGAGGAAAGCCGGCGGGGTCGGCGTAATCGAGAGTCTACCGAGCGTTATAGGTCGAATCAAATAAACTGGCCTTGGGGCTCCGCTCCGTCGACCATCTCCGTCCCTCTCCTAGATTTTCCGAGCGGAGCCTCGGGAGCTTTCTCATATCGGGGATCGATATCCGACCCGGCGAGGAGTCGGGCGCATCCTCGACTCCTCACATAATCCCAGGCAATATCGCATCTGGCTGGCGCCACCTCGTAACGGACACCTGCATCGTGACCGGAGGAGCCCGATTTTCCGCGGTTTCGCGTTACGTGTTCGCCTTACTGCGAGCTATCGATCCCGCGAGGCTCCTCCACCCCCGCCCCCGGCCGGGGGAGAGCCCGGGGGAGGCGGAGGATCGATCGACCGGACGATGCACGAGTTTCCCAGAAGCGGCGGAATCCCCCTCGGTGGGGTTAGGGGCGCCCCCGGGTGCCTCGGAAAAATTCGGGGGTCGCGGGACCCTCGCTACCCCCGCCCTCGAATTTTCTTAACGCGTCTCCGCGGGACTCCCGGTCCTCGGTGTATCCGACTCCGCCATTCGGGTAATTGGATGGAAAACCATCCCCTCTTGGCTCTCCACCCTTTGCCCCCCTTGCCAACCCTTGTGCGGGGGTAAACGACGCTCCGGGGTTCGCGCCAAATGCCGCGACTCCGACGCTCCCACCCCCTCCCGGGGGGCGAGAAGAATTAACGTAATTAAACCAGCGGGAATTCGCGAAAATCCGCGAGTGGGTCGAGGCGGTCCCGTCGAATCCACCGGGGGTGTAATCGAGCAAGGCGCGCGTTTTCGGCTGCGGAATGGTAAAACGGCGCGTCGCGAGTTCACGCGGACGGGGCGGTATCGAGGTATTCGTTTGAAAAGTACCCGAGAAAACTGGGGCAGGAGCGTGGGAGGCTTTCCGGCCTCTTGGATTCTCTCGGCTCCCGGATGAAAAAAAAAAAAAAATAAATAATTGCGGGGGTGGATCCCCCCGCGGTTCGTTGTTTTCGAGCGGGCGAATTTCCCTCTCGGTCGGTAAATCGGACGGTTAATCGGACGGTTTTCCGGGCGGTCGGCCGATAACGAGGCCAACGAGGGGGACTCGCGAGCTTCAAAGGAAACGGCGTTATTGGTTCCACCGGCGAGCTTTAAGCCGACTTTGCCGCGCCGCGATAAACGGCCGACCCGATGTTAGATAACAAAAGGAGGCTCCGCGATAAACCGCTTTTCCTTGGGAACTTTGCCGCGCTCGTTCGCGGTCGCGTTAATTAAACGCCGCGGAACCGCTGGAGTAGTTCTCTCGAATCGAGGGGACGGGAACGGCGAGCGGAATCCACGTCGGAGAAAAATCGGAAGGTCCGGAGAATCCATCCGGTGGCGGAAGGAGAAGCTTTCGACAAGTTTGCGAAATCTTTGGCTAGATTGCCATTTAAAAAGCAGACGCGGAATGTTCGAAATCGCCCATCGCCCGTAGACCGAGGGGGAAGGGGAGGAGAAGCGATTTCTCCCGAAACTGCGAAGGGAGGCCCGCGGCGGAATCGCGTCCCCCCTTGTCGGTGACCGATTACGCGGAGGGTCCGTCTCGATGTAGGCCAGGACACGCGTCGTAAACCTCGTTGTACCCGAGGACGTAAACCGGGCTCTGAAGCTCCTCTCGCGTTTACGTTCCGCACGGAATTCGTCCTCCCAGGATCCCGGACAATACCCCGAGGAGGATCCCGAGG